TCTAAGGGTGTGCTAATAACACCTTTCCATAAAAACAGAGAGATTCAGGAGGTACAAAGTGAGCAGAACTCCCTGCTGGCTTTCTCTCCTGCTGATGAACCTCCCAGATTAGCCTAAAGCAAACTACACCTGAGTCCCTTGGAGCCTAATGCACTCCCACACCCATATTAGTATAATCGATTAATCCCGATTAATCTAATTATTGTTTTACATATATATATATATATATATATATATATATATATATATATATAGATTGATTATTAATGGAGTGTAGAGACTGTAAGACATGCCTCTAGCTGACAGAGCAACCTACTTAGAGCAGTAATTATATCAAAATTGTAAAAAATAAAAATAAACAAATATATATATATATATATATATATATATATATATATATATATTTGTTTATATTTATTTTTATATATTTATATTATTTAATATTTTATATATATATATATATATATATTATATATATATATATATATATATATATATATATATATATATATATATATATATATATATATATATATATATATATACATTTTTTTTTAAGATAAAAAAAGTTTTTCGTCTGTCAATAGTCTATTCTGAACACCTCATGTGGAAAAGTTTTATTTTCACTTGCTTTAATTTAGTTACAAATCTTCTTTAAGGAACCTTTGGCTATCCGATTATTAATGGATTAATCAGAAAAAAAATCGACAGATTAATCAATTTGCAAAATAAACGTTAGTTGCAGCCGTAATATATATATGTGTAAATATTTATTTATTTATCTACATACATAGAAGAACTGTAAAGGGAAGTGAAAAGCTATAAAGCATGTATTGCAAATTAAATCTGAAAAGTAAAGGCGCCCGTTCAGATTTAACCTAAATTGCAGGGAATTTTAGATCAGAATGGAGGTAAATCTAACAAATTAGAAAGTCTCAGAAATCTAATCTTATTTATACTTTTTGTAAGCTGCAGATCCCACTGAGGTAGGAGAATCCATTAAGAGGTTTTCACAAAAGAAAGCCATCAGAACTGTTATTTAAAATATGACAGGCCATGTAGGGGACAAATAAAGTATGAAAGGAGGTGCTCATCATGCTATGGGGAATTTTTGTAATAATATGAAAAGATCAGCTGGTCACAGTTAACTAAATTCTAGATGGAGCTAAATGTTGGAAAATCCTGGAAGAGAACCGTCAATACTTCAAATAAAACTGGAGGAGATCCTGTTCAAAGTAAGCTGATACAGCAAACGTAGCCTGGACAAAGGCACAGTTAATCTTATCCAAATATGTCAATAGAATCAGTTAGATAGAATTTTAATCAATCTGTCTGTATAATTTGATTAAACTGTGTTTTTAATGTGTCTAGAGATGATATGCCTTGTAATTTAATTTAATATTCAAACCAACGGTGTAACAGACCATAATGAAAATAAGAATAACCACAAAAGGTAATTCACTAGGAGCAGTGGGTAGCCCTGCTGCCTTTCAGCAAGAAGGTTCTGGGTTTCAATTCTTTCTGCATGGAGTTAGCATGTTCTCCCTGAGCATGCGCGGGTTCTCTCCGGATACTCCTGCTTCCTCCCACAGTCCAAAAACATGACTGTTAGGTTAATTGGCTTCTCTAAAGTCCCTTTAGGTGTGAGTGTGTGTGTGAATGGTTGTTTGTCTCTGTGTTGCCCTGCGATGGACTGGCGACCTGTCCAGGGTGTACCCTGCCTCTTGCCCGTAGACAGCTGGAGATAGGCACCAGCACCCCTCATAACCTCACTTGGGATAAGCGTGTAAGAAAATGGATGGATGGATGGATGGATGGATGGATGGATGGATGGATGGATGGATGGATGGATGGATGGATGGATGGATGGATGGATGGATGGATGGATGGATGGATGGATGGATGGATGGATGGATGGATGGATGGATGGATGGATGGGCAATGCACTAGGAAGGATTAGACTGAAATGGTGTGAACAAAAAGCTTTTATGAATAAAAAGAAAAAAATTGACATTTGTGAAACAGAATGAAAAAAAGATTAAAACAAAAATTTCAAAATCCTAAAAAAAACTTTATTTTTTTAACCATGAATGCATATTATGGATAAGATTTCAAACAAATAGACTTGTAAAGTTACTGAAGTTCATGTTTTTTGTGAACTGGTGCCACGTTAATGAACTGAACAAATTCACCATTTATTCTTCAGATCATGTGCAAAATGCATTTTATATATTAAAATGTAAAGTTGTTTTATATGTTGTAAAACAAAGCCCAAAAACCCTTGGTGCAGAAGAAGGGATAACCTTTGCGGCAGCCTAAAACTTCTTAGGTGGGTGGCGTCTGGCTCGAGTCTGGAGATGTCGCAACCACTGAATTTCCACCTTCTAGATCTTTGTGGTCACACATGTAAGATGTTGGACATATGATAGGGCAACAAAAGTCCTCTCTGTTTAGATATCTGAAGAAGATAAACATTAATATGGCAAACCCAGCTTACTTCAGTGATAATGGTGATGTCTATATGTGACATTCAGCTTTTGATATGGTGTCTGAGCCTACTTTGTGTATAAATAGTGTAGATCTTGAGGAAAGTTATATTAAGTGTGAGATTTTTATTTGTTGTGTTTTGAAGACAGGACTGGGGTTCCCCCTCCTCTACTATGAGTGGTGACTATCAGTCTGTGTGAGTGGGTCTATTGCATGTTTCCATTTCTCTTCTTCTTCAGCACCTTTTACCTTTGACATTTAGGCCTACCCCCACACACAAACACACTTCCCTCAGCGGATGCGCCATGCGAGGGGCCGCAGTGAAGCATGCCGTCCCCAGATGCAGGGGATTTCCCCTGGTGTTATACCCATCTGCTGCAGTTGTTATGTTTGTATGTGTGGCTGTCTGTGTGTGTGTGTGTGTACGAGTGTGTTTTGTCCACTTTCTGGGGGACTCCCAGACTTGCAGACTGAGGGGGAGGATCAAAAATGACAGTGAAAGTTTAAATAGCAAATCATCAAAAATTATTAACCTGCTGTGTGTGCATTACTCTGTACTGAGATAGAGGGGGCAGGAGACTGATTACTTTTGTTATTGAGGATTGTGTATTTATCAGGTTAAAAGCTCAGGATCATTTGCATTCACTTTTTTCCTTTGAAAAAAACAACACATCATCACCACTAATGTGGAAACAAGGTTAAAAAAAGATAGTAATTGAATACTGAATGTATTTTAGGATCACATGTCAGTGTATGGGCGGCGCAGTGGGTAGCACTGCTGCCTTAGAGCAAGATGGTTCTGGGTTCGATTCCCATGTTTAACAGACTTTGACAAAGCCTTGCAGGTCTGCATGGAATTTGCATGTTCTCCCTGAGCATGTGTGGGTTCTCTCTGGGTACTCTGGCTTCCAAAAAAACATGACTGTTAGGTTAATTGGCGTCTCTAAAGTCCCCTTAGGTGTGAATGGTTGTTTGTCCTGTTTGTCTCTGTGTTGCTCTGCGATGGACTGGCGACCTGTCCAGGGTGTACCCTGCCTCTTGCCCATAGACACCTGGAGATAGTCACCAGCACCCCACTGTGAACCCCCTTAGTATAAGTGTGTAAGAAAATGGATGGATGTCAGTGTACTGTGCTTTGCCAAAGCGTTCACACCTCTTTCCAATTTAATGATTTTGCAAACCATGTATAATGTAGGGGTTTTCTTTTCTAGAGGAGCAAAATATTGTGCATAAATGTGAAGTTGGAGGAATATAATTGATGTTTGCAACAAAACAAAAAAATCCTTGGATGTAGAGTCCATTTCCACACGGAATCAGTTCTTGGTAGAACCATATTTATCTGTAATTACAGCTACTGCAAGTCTTTTGGGGGTAAATCTCTGTCATAATTTTAGACTGATGCTTTTTGCTCAGTCTCAGTTAGACTAGTTTGAGAACCTCTGTGAAATAAGTTATCAATTGTATTTATAAACAGACATTGAATACTAACATATGATTATATTTTTAACTGCTCTGCGAACTCTGAACTCGAGTCCTTGGGGTTGGTGCCCGACAACATCAATATGTGTCTCTGCTTCAGCAAATATGAATCAAGTAATTAGGTCATTAATGGAGCTCTGTCCTCCCTCAAAACTACTTCAACTAGCTTTGCTGTCCCTGCTGAGGTATTCCCACTGACATGATACTGCCACCACCTCTGCTTCATCAGAATGCAGAAGCAGTTTACCTCCACATGTTGGACGAAATATAAAAAATATTCTTTCTCTGCAAACATTTTCATTTATATGTTTGATCTGTCCCCTTCTTTACTTGTAGGAAACCAAACAAGACTTCAATTTACTTTTAGTCATCCATAGGTTTCCTCAGCCGCTGCTAATTTAAAAAACGATTTGCGGAGTGACCAACCAGTAATTGTTCTGTGGACAGATTCTTCCAGTTGTGACATTTCTGCAACTCCCTCAGAGTTACAATGGGTTTTCCCTAAATAATGCATTCCTTGTTCATTATGTCAGCTGAACATTGTTGTCTGGTTTGCAATTGTGGCATACTTTTTTCACTTTAAGATGGTGTTTAGATGGTGGCAAATATGAGAACAAATATTTTGTTTCAGTTGAAGTTTGTTTTCAAATGTTCTGGAAAAAATCTCTCAGGCATTCACAGGGAACAACTGCCTATCATGTTTATACCATACGTGCCCAGCAATAGATTATTTGTGTTCCAAGAACATGAGGCAATTGGTTGCTTTATTTTTATTTTTAGGGGTATTGAGTAAATAGAGCTGAATAGATATAAAGGGCAGATATTATGTTGTTTTTAAATACAGAATATCAATATATTAGTTTCTTTATTTGAATATTTGTGTAAAAAGTATAACTAGTTTTGAAGTTCAAAGTGCATGCAAATAAATATGATTTTTACAAAGTTATAAATAACGACAAAAAAAAAAAAAAAAAAAAAAGTGAGTAAAGAGGTAGGAACTTTGTTGCTGTGGATGACATTCATGGTCGGAAACTATTCATTGCCGTACCGGGAAGAGCGTTGTTTACAAATAACTTAATAATGTTGGGCGAACATTAGAAATAGTTGACTAAACTCTCGTATTGAATATAACAGTTGATTTTGTGAGCAGTTTGACGGTTTAGGCCGAACATCACCGGTATAAATCCTCTAAATGAGCTTTTTTTCAGAAGGGTAAGACTCGCAGTTTCTCTTTTATCGCTGGTGTTTACAATCTGTCAGCAGCAGGCCAATATCTGAGTTCATTTAAACGTGTTTTCCTTTTTTAATGACGCTAGACATGTTTCATTTCAGTATAGTCGTTCAGGCTACCGACCGAGCTGTCAGTAAAGTGAATGTCTGTTTAATTTGATTCCACTTTCTCTTTAGATTTCTTGAAAAGTGACCTGACCTGGTTCCAGTAGTTAAAACTGAAAGGAACAGTAAGAGGTAATGTATTGCGTTTTAATTATGTTGCCTCACTGCGGGGTTTTCTTACTTTTTGAGAGCTCGGTCTCTAATAAATCAATCTACCAGAAGATATTTAATTTTCATGTTGCTAAACAGTTTAAAATAAGACTAAGGGCAAGTTTCTACATTGTTATTTTGACAATATTGAGATTTTTTATGAAAATTTCAGCGCTGACAGCAACATCGTTTGCTAAATAAACAGAATAATTCAATACATTTTCTCATGTCTTTAAGTTAATTGTGTTATATAAATATGAACAAATTCTGCCTCTTAAATCAACTTCCCAAATTTGTTTAATACAACTGATATTATTTACGATCCAGTATTGACTAAAATATAGTCTGATAATGGCAATACTAATATTTTGCAAATACACCTGCTGTGTTTATTAAATATCATTAACAGCTCTATAAAAAAAAAAAAAAAAAAAAAAAGTTAAAGAACAATCCACTGGACTTTGTTTTCCAAGTTTGAAGATGTTTCACTTCCCATCCAGGAATCTTTCTCAATTCAAAATGTCTGGATTAGTGTTGAGTTCCAGTCTTTCTAGAGTAGCCCATAAAAGCCTTGTTATGGCTTAGAAAATGTGCAAATTAAACCGGAAGAACAGGTCCACCCCTTAGTAATGGGGAGTTGTTGAGGTCTGTCAATAGGCCCTGGGCCCCGTAACTCAGAGGCCCCGCGCAAGAGAAGAGAGTAATTAAACTAAAAAAGCCTTGAAATACTTTCAATCTGCAGAAGGGTCAAAGCAGACCCAAAGGTCCATTTCCCTCTGATAATGACAATCAGTGTTTCTCGGAAAGTGGTTATACCTCTACCACTAATTCCCCCAAATCATACTGCTGTTTCCGTGAGCCTAGCTGGCTTTTTGCCAACCGAAATGACCGTATTACCATAATGCATGGGTTAATGGAATAAAAGGCTGGAAACAGATTTCTACAAAAGTTGAGAAGCAGGAATCTACCAAATACATCTTGGTGCGTGCATTGTCTACGCGCAGTGGAAAATCAGCAGCACAATAGATGCTGGAATGGAGAGGAAGGTGAGTAATGCAGCCTTGTTTTGGAGACAAGTCCTGGAGCTTGTAAGCCCTGCTGCTATGTGTCAGCTGCAAAATGATGTTATAATGTTAAGCTACAATAAAGGGCCTGGTCATTTGCGCTGCCCCCGGCCCGGCTCTGACTTATTCGGTTAGTGATCCAAAGTATAGAAATTTGAATTTAAAAATAGATTTTAGTGCCTAAGCAGCCCACTGCTTAGGCACAAGGGGGGTGGGTTAAATGCAGAGTGAATTTCGTATTGTCATTACACTGTGACAGTGTAATGACAATACAGATGTACTCTACTCTATGTAATTATCAATCTACACATCACAGTATTCATGCATTTAAAGTGCACAGTATGCATTTAAAATGGAGAAATTAGTGCAGCATGCAAGCGTGTGCACTTGATGAAATGCATGTCATACTGTCAGTGTGTTTAGATCTGAAAGCCCTGATTGTCTTTAGAATAATGTTTTTCTACACATTGAGGAGCTGTAGCTTACAAATAAACCTAAACCCACTTGGTTAGATTAGATTAGAGACAAAAATAGCTGTAAACTTAATCCAATAATTTTTAATTTAGATATGTTTTTTATGTGTGTATAAAACCTGTGCCAGCTCCAAAAAGATTCAGAAAGATTAAGCAAACAAAAAATGTTTTATCCTAGTCACCTTTTACGCCTATAAGGATCAGTTCCATGTAGCCAGATTAATATTTAACATATTTTCATATTTATCCCTTAACTTGTTCCAAATAATACAAACTCTGCTTAATACAATACTGCTTGATGTAAAATCCAAATCATTTAAACTCTGCTTTGCTCCTATCTTTGGAAAATGTAATCTATCAAAGCTGGTTTATGAAATTGAACAAAATTGGATTTTGTCATTAATAATACTAATAAATAATATCGACACAAAGCCATTTTACCATTTGAATTACAGTATTTTATACCTTTACCAATTTGTGTTTTTGCTAAATAATCTGCTAATTTTCTTTGGTTGATCCTGTCCAAAAGGTAAATCTAATCAACTCCCGAAAAATTCATATTTTATTTTTTTTAACAATTGAATCTGTTTTCTCCACTGTTTTGTAAGTGTTAACATTCTTATCTCAGAGATAATTTAACTATTGTATTGTGCTGTGTTTGTTAGGTCCCTTACTGTATGTGCACATTGCTTTTGAATCTTTGTGTGTCAAAGAGAGTCTTAAACACACAAACACGTTTAGTAACATGTTACACATCTTAGTACTGTCATATTGGATATTTGGAAATAGGTAATGTGTAAGATTTTGTGTAAGTCTATAGTTTTCCACTGGTTTAAGGTGCACTTAGAACTGAAATGCATGTACCGGTACTTATTTTGCAGGTAATAATGTGGGATTGTATATCTTCACAAATCGTCTTAAGAAATAAGATGTGTTCATATAATGTAATTCACATAATAAATCTATTTTCGATTTTCTGTTAACAAAATTCCTTCATGTGCTTCAAAAAGGAGTATTATCTTAATGTGTCAAATAGCATTAGGGAATCCTGTTTTTTTTTTTTTTTTTTTGTAAGTAAAATAAAAAAGTAGCCCACCTTTATGTTTCTCTTTTAACATGTGGCCTAATTAATTTTAAAATATTGTAGAATCTAACCTCATTCTTCAGCTGGGGAAGGTTAAGATATGCGCCTTTCTGTAAAACTAAGAGCAAAAGCCAAAATACAATCAAACAATGACCTTCCTTCCTTCCTTCCTTCCTTCCTTCCTTCCTTCCTTCCTTCCTTCCTTCCTTCCTTCCTTCCTTCCTTCCTTCCTTCCTTCCTTCCTTCCTTCCTTCCTTCCTTCCTTCCTTCTGTTTTTCTAATCTTTTTATCTATTTATACCACTTATTTTATGTTCCTTTACTTTCCTTGTGTTTTTGTTTGCCATCTTTAGTTTCTTTTTCTGTCTTCCTCCTTGCTTTAGTTTGCCCTTTAATTTGTCAGGTTTCAGTTTTTAGAGATGATGGTGTGCTTATTGCATCATAAGGTTTACTTTTTCGCATTGTGTATTTAATACAGATCAAGCTCTGCCGGTACATGCGGTTTGTTGACACGAGGAGATAAAGCGGAGTGGCTGCAACATACAAGTTTCACAGAGGGGTCGGCTGTGGGTAACTCTGCAGGACACATGGCAGAGGAAGGCAACAAGTTAACGCTGAGGCGTCTGGAGGGACCCATCAACAAGTTCATTAAAGTAGCTCTGCCCACGGACTTGGACAGGCTGCAGAAACACCACGGCAACATACTGAAGGTCAGGGATTATTTCTGCCAGCTCAAATGATCACACCCAGGATGTTGAATCAAAATGAATAAGTACATTTATGATCTTTTATCTTTACAGTATCAACAGTGCCAGCAATGGGAGCATCTTCATTACGAGCACATAAACGCCAGCAGAACTGTTCAGGTGGATTATAAAACATTTAAGCTAAGATGACCTTTTAAGATTAGGAATGTAGTTAATAGGCTTTATTTTTATTCTAACCTACTGCTATGTCCCTTAACCCATATTACTCTTCATCTAATTAATTTATATTGGTGAGAAATGGTCTTAAACTTTGTGGCCATCTAAATGTAGACCTCAACATTTCCTACACTTGTAACAAATGAGTTTCCCAATTTAAAGATCAAAGCATAGTTTAAGGGCAGCTATTGGTTGCCTTATCCTATTAAGCACAGGCAGCAGTGGAATGTGGCCCGCCTGAACGATTCCTAGTAAGTTTTTGTTAATGCATTGTACACTAATTTTCTTCTATATGAGCAAAACTTATATACTTTATATAGTGTGTGTATTTCTATTTTTATACCACAGGTGTTTATACTCTATAAGTTATAGCTTATCTATACTGTAGTAAACTAAGAAAAAGAAGGTTTTTCTTAAGAAAAATGACCTACCAACATTATCTTAAAAAACTTTTTTATCTTAAAAAGTCCATTGAAAAGTTTCTTATTTGAATACAGGATTGATATCTTATAACTTATAAAATGTAAAGCAAAACAGAAATTCCTGGTTGTGACAAACAAAAAATGTGTATTTTAACGGTGTTTATAACACACATCCTATCAATGTTCCAGCATTCCTAAAAAATTCCAACAGCTAATGTCTTAAATGTAAATATATTTCACACTCAGTCTGTAGATTATGTTTGATTTCCCTCTCTATAAAATGTAAGGAATTAAAGGAAGTCAAAATCTGGACAACAAGTAAAAGCCATGTCTAGAGAACCGTACCTCCTGCATGTACTTCTTTGCGTGCTTGTTCACATGGTTGGTGTGAAAAGCCTCCTGGGATGATGTTGCCTGGAAGCCTCCGTGTCTCTGAAGGTGAAATGACTCCAAACAGGCACACACCTATCCTCTCACCGTTACTCCACTAACCCCCCTGGGATTGCTCATGGAGTGCTTTCCCATGTCTTCATGGCGGTAATTCAGGATCGTGTTTGGCGCTCCTGCTTTAGATATTGGTCTGTGTATGTGGGTGTTTTTGTGTTCATATGTCCCATACATAGGCGGGTAGATGGACTCCTCAGAGGAGATGTTTGAAATCAGATGTTTATTCATGCTCCACTCTCTTCTCTTAGCAGTCTTCACTGTGTTACATAGAATATCTCTCCTTTCATGTGCTAGGATGTGTGCTCACATTGCAAGCGCGGTTAATTTGCAGGCTAACAGGTGTGAGACGTGTCTGCCTCTCTGTTAATTAGTGTGTCTTTTCCGTTTCATGCACGCGAAGACACGACTGTGGGCGTATGTTTATTCATATTGTATAAGTAAAGGAGTGTGTTACCGGCAGGAGGTTGGCCCACTGAGCCCGGGTCATGCTTTAGCCTGGAGGGTCGATGGCTGGGATATAATCCTTCTGTCACCCTCAGGGCACTTCCTGTGTTCCCCAGCCTCATATCTAAACCTTATTAAGCTCCCATCAACTTGCAAACAACCCGGCACAGACGCATGTAAGCAAGAACACACAGACAGGCCTGGCATTGAATGCACACTGTAAACCAATTACTAAACCAGCTAGAAAACTCCATGATGGTGTCCACTACTGTCAGCTTTTACTGTCTGCATTCTCCAGACAGTTTTAGAACCAGCATATCTCACCTTTGGGCTTCAAAAAATTAAGAAATCTAGAGTATAACTATGTGTTGATTGAATAAAGAACACACATAGTCAAACTTGAAAAAGAAAAACACAAAGTAATGCTTTTATATTATTTTTATTTTATTCTTGTATCTTATCTGTACTTACGATTTTATTTTCTCTTTTCTGTAAACGATTGCACTGCAATACAAGAATTTCCCGCTAGGGATTAATGAAATATTTCTGATTCTGATTATTTTAAAATCTTAGTTCTGATTTATTTTTATTTTTTATTTAAGGACAGCAGCTTCACTTGGTAATGTGGAATCTCACTTTGCAATAATCTATTTTTATAAATTATGAAGGCTTTTATTTAATGAGTACCTTTAAGGTTTATTTTGAAAGGCCAATGTAACCCAATTCTGTGGTACCTGGTTTCAGTTAAAATGTTTAATTTCTTGTTTTAATAATCTACACAAGGAGATCAAGCCTTTCTTTTGAATTTTTTCGTTTTTTTAGTTAAACATTTGATTTATCAGTAAAGTGGAGCTTACTTTTGAGTTATTCAAACATTTAAGTTTCCTCTTTGATTTAAAGAAGAGCTTACATGCAGCCTTCATTTTAAAGCCCAACTTACTAAACCTACTTATGGTGCATTTGATCCCTTTAGGTGTTTTAAAGTTATTCAAGAAACAATAGAAGATAAATAAAAGTCAGCATTTTTTATTTCAAACATTATCCGATTGTTAGTTGTTTTTGTTTTTTTAAGAGCTCTGATTTACTTTATTACTTCTGGTTTAAGCCCTTAAGAAATAAATCCTCTTTTGATTAATTTCACCAAAGAAAGTCTTACTTTGAAAGGTATATATGTTTGTCTTCTTTGAGAGAAGGCAGCACTTCATGGTCTCATTTAGAGTATTTAAAGTAAAGCAGAATCACACAAAATGCGATAATCTGAACAAATAAGTGCTATTGATACTTTTAGCAGTACCAAATAAATCTAGGTTCCTTCTCCTACCTCTTTTCCTTAATGAACTCTTAAAGGAATAGTACACCCAAAACATGATTAGCCTTCATTTTCTACTCACCCCCATGCTGAACAACACTCTGGAGTACTTTTTTGATATCTCAAATGCATCTGGAGATCTGGGAGGCTTCTTGCTGTCTGCTGACATTCAAATAATGGAGGTCTATGGCGCCCGAGACAGAAAGGTCCATAAAAGTCCATAAAAACGTGTCAATATTCCTCCATACTGCTCGTCCAATGTATTCCAAGTGTCCTGAGTGGGTAGCGTCCATAATTTACTCGAAACGAAGTCATTTAGAATGTTTTTAGAGCATAAACAGTAGTGTATAGGATTTCCTAATAGCGCCCCCATGCGCGCTCACGGCGCTACGGAAGCCGGCAGACCAAACCAGCGCATTCAGCTCGGCAAAGAACTCATGCTCTTCCTCAACACTGAAGTCCTCAGACATTTTTCTTTCGTTGTTTCTTTCTTTGCACAGGTAAACAGCACATTTCTTCTTCTACGCTTGCATTATCGGCAGAGCAGACGCTGAATGCGCACTTCCTTCCGGTTTGGTCTGCCGGCTTCCGTAGAATCGTGAGCGCGCATGGGGGCGCTATTAGGAAATCCTATACACTACTGTTTAGGCTCTAAAACGTTCTAAATGACTTCGTTTCGAGTAAATTCTGGATGCTACCCACTCAGGACACTTGGATTACATTGGACGAGCAGTATGGAGGAATATTGACACGTTTTTGTGGACTTTTGTGGACCTTTCTGTCTCGGGCACAATAGACCTCCATTATTTGAATGTCAGCAGACAGCAAGAAGCCTCCCAGATCTCCAGATGCATTTGAGATATCAAAAAAGTACTCCAGAGTTTTGTTCAGCATGGGGGTGAGTAGAAAATGAAGGCTAATCATGTTTTGGGTGTACTATTCCTTTAAGGAAAAGAGTTCCTTAAAAGTTCATAACTACTTTATTTTAAAATTTTTATGTAATTATTTATTCATTACAAGTTTACCAAATATAATCAAATTTCCCTCTTAGTAACCTTGGAGTCATTTGTCCTTCTGCAGCAACTCAGAGCAAACATCAGAGAGATGGAGAAGCTCTGCAGCCGAGTCCGTCCAGAAGACAGCGAAGCTCTTGAAGCGCTCGTCAAGCCAATAAGGGACAGAGCGTCAGCCGCCGCACAGGACTTCCTGCTTCTGCACTCCAACCCACCTCCGCCTGTCCCTGCAGCACAACCGGCTGCAAGACCCTCCATCACTCAGTCAAGCAGCTACCATGATGTTGAGGAGGCCATCGAGGACTTGCTGTCGAACAGGCAAATTCAGCTTCAGCTTCCCGAAATCCCACTGGATCAGAATGCGGCTGAATCCTGGGATAACCTGGAGGAGGTACAGTGGAGCGGCTCAAAGTGGGGTCGGCTTATAACCCCCAAAATCTGCTTAGAAAAATTGCAACGTGACTTTTAAAAGATCTGTTCAGTATAGAAAAAAAACAAAAACGTTTTGCAGTTTGTATGATCTTCTTACTCTGAAATGCAAACACCACCTAAATTGTTGGTGTTCATAAAGATATTTTCTGACACATGAAATGGATCTTTTCTGGAGCTTATTTTAATGTGGGTTCAAGGTAGTTTGGAATTTTACTGCCCAATTTATGTCATGTTTTTACCACTTTCTTCATTATAGTTAAAGTATAAAGCAAGGTTTGCGGTGCTTTAGATTTTCTTTTGGGGTCTTTAAGGTGATGTTGGGGTCATTTTTAGGAAGCCACTCCTGTTCTTTGCTCTCCCTTTTAGATTGATGGTCTTAAATATTTAGAAAAACTAACAGTGGCGTTGGATGTAGGAGTTTGCCCTGTAGGAGTTTGCCCTGAAATCGAAGGATTGACGGTTCAAGCCCTGACTCCGACTTTCATTGTCGTTGTGTCCTTGGGCAAGACACTTCACCTGCATTGTCTACTGATGGTGGTCAGAGGGCCCGGTGGCGCAAGTGTATGGCAGCCCTGCTTCTGTCAGTGAGCCCCAGGGCAGCTGTGGCTACAATGTAGCTTGCCACCATCAGTGTGTGAGTGTGTGTATGAATGGGTGAATGAATGTAGTGTAAAGCGCTTTGGTCAAGTCTCCTAACTTGAATAAAGACACTATATAAGTACAGGACATTTACCATATAATTATTAAAAAATTATATAGATATTAAGAGATATTTTACTTTGTAGCAGCTCTTTATTATGACTTAAAACTTGAACATAAAACAGGAAAGCTGTCTTGCAAAAAAGAAGAGGACTGTAGTGGGATCTACAGTTTCCCTCATCGTGACGCCGTCTATGACAATCCGGCTTGTAATAAGGTCTCCGGTGTTGTAGTACATTTTTTCTTCAGATGATACTTTATATTCTCTCTCCTTAGGACCTAAAGGAGCTGAGCGGCTTAGTGACGGAGTTCTCTATGCTCGTCCATGTGAGTAGAAACGCTCTGCAGGCTGCTACACCCATATTTCTGCACTATATGCATTTCTCCATCTATATCTCACCTCCAGTGTTTGCAGGAGACTCTCAGTATGTTTGAGCAGCACAGGCTTGTGTTGCCTGGAAAGACTCCTCAGAGATCAGCTCAGGAGTGAAGGGCCCCAGAGGTCCTAGGCAGGGGCCCGAGGAGAGACCTAAGAGTTCTGCAGAAGGAAGGAGGGAGGATTGCTGGGAGGATAGCAGGTCGTCATATGGGGGAGAAGAGGGATGTAACAGAGCAGGTGGAGAACAGACGGTTCAGATTATCTCTTTCCTCTGGGATGGAAGGAGAGGAGCAGGGAGGCTGAGAGGCAGGAGAGATTAACAACGGTGAGAGTGTGGGTTAAGATGTAGCTGGTTTAAAAAGGAAAAAAAACGCAGGAGGCAAAAAGAGCATAGACATGTAGTGGCGTCTCTAGGGCGAGAGATGCCGTCTGGGGAGAAATATTCCAGCAGGCTGAGCCCCAGCGGAAACACTGAGTGACTGTGTGGTTGTTTCTTTGTTTGTGTCACCTTACAGGCTGAGTTTCTCTGCTCGTCTGCCTTCCTCAGAACTTTCCACCAATCTTTAGTCATTAGATTATCTATTTAGAAAATAGATTTTTTTTTTTAGGTTTTGATGTTGTTAAAGATGAAAGAAACAAACGGTTATCAGTGTTTCTCCACCAACCGTCGATCGTCCAAGCTTTTTTTCCTCCAAAAATTTTTGACTAATGTTAAATATTTACCAAAACATCGTTGGTTTATTCTAAGATGAATTGGTTATGTAGTTGCCTCACTTTTAGATCTTTTTTATCAAAATTGATTGTATCAACAAAGATCTGACATCTGTTCTATTTGCATTTTGTAAGGAAATGAGGAAAAACCCTAATGGGTTCTTGACAAATATATCAGTTTATGGCAGAGATTCTATGCCTGGCTCTTAGTCTCAGCTTTTATGCTCAAAGACAAAATAAAAACAGCCTTTAGGACGATAAACATGACAGAACGGCTTCACAAAAGTCTGAGGCTCTGCAGGAATGTGCGTAATACTAGCAAAACCATCAGAAAAAAACAGGAAGTTTCCTTTAGTGCTGTAAGAGCAGGTGAAGGTGGCACAGGGTTGACTCTGAGGAGGAAGTGGAAACAAAGGTAAAGCTCTGCTCTACTTGTTGTTTGGCCCCTGTGTCCATTCAGTCCTCACATGGAGAGAGAGACAGCTGCCTTTCTGAATATTTCATGAGATCCACACAATAGCGCTCACAGTTGGACTAAATCCCAGTTCTTATATACCTACACCAGCCTCACGTGCTTTTGCGTATCATTCTGTAGAGCAGAATTTGTTTAGGTGAAAAAAGAAATCTTTGAACACAACAGGTGGTGACTTCAGCTGAGTGTGTGTGTGTTGGAATATGATTGTGTTTTAATGTGCACACCCTGCGCTTCAGTCCCAGCAGGAGACGATTGACAGCATAGAGGACAACGTTGACGCAGCAGCAGTCAACGTGGAGGAGGGGACCAGGAACCTGGGGAAGGTGGGTGTTTATGTATCTGTGTTTATGTCCTGATGATCCCCTGTGGGTGGGTGTGTGTTGATGTGTGGGTCTGCATGGTGTTTGGGAGATGGGGAGATCGATGGCACTTTGCCTCCCAGCCATTCCACAGCGTTTGTCCCCATCGATCCCTTCGAATATGGAGGAAAGCTGCAATTAAGGAAATAGGGAGAGGAGGGGAGGGGGAGTGATAAAGACGTTGGATAACGGGGCTAACAAGGCAGGACCTACATGTTGGTGCATGTGTGCAAGATTTAAATGATTGTTTCATCATTTCCTCAGCAGTTACTCCATCCTGTAATGTAAACTAGAGGACAGTCACTGCCCTCCGTATGAATCTCATACGTCTAAAGGTTTTTAGCCTAGCGTGATTTTTCTCTACATTAATTAAACAACCCTTCCTTTAAACCTAAGTAACACACTGGTTTAAAAGTTTGCCTCTCGAGTTAAACTTTTTTTTTTTTTTAAGGCAGCTCATCATCAGTATTTGTTTTGATGTTTATCTTTTGTTATAAACTTCAACATTTTAAATATAGGAAGTTATTTGTGTTATATTGGTTGAAATATACAAATCTTGTGTAGCTGGGTGATACTGATACTTTGCTTTCATTCTAACTTTTATTACCGCTAACTCCTCCGTTATTAGCACGTAAAAGCTCTGAACCATTTTTTGCATTTACTTAATCATATTTCATTACTTTAACACAATTGTTTCATGTTAGCAGGGAAGGACATAAAACAATTGTGTTAAAGTAATTATATATGATTAAGTAAATGCCAAAAGTGGTTGCATTATTTTTTTCAGCTGTAACATTATACCACACACAGCTTTTCAGCAGTGATTGTTTTTCTTTTTTTCCTGTCCCACCAACATGTGAATCTACTTTAATCTTAAAGTTGATTTGGGGCAAGTTTTGGAGAGTAGCTGATCACAAACCAAACACATTTGCTCTTTCTGATTGGATGTGTTCTTGTATCTCTCCCATTTTGAGGGATGCCCAAAGAGATTATGAATCTATATATTTTTACCTCCAGGAAAGCGGAATAGTAGGAGGAAATTTACTGCGAGTGCTGCGTGGCTCAGTGATGGAGCGGCTGCACCAGATACAGTAGCTACTCTATAGTCCGAGACCCAGCTATCTCTGTTTCAGTTCCTGCCTGGGCCTCCCCCAATGCACGCCTCCCCTCTTCCTCTTTGCCCTGCATCCCGTCAGACTACTAATGAATAAAACCACTACTGCAATAAAATGCTATAGTTGCATTTACGTCATAGGAATGGTTAATGGTGCACTTGTGCTTGTTTTTGTGAATTATTTCTTAAAGGTATAGTGGAGGGTGTTCTTTTTCTTGGTGGATCACCTAAATAAGTGGTCCTCCTAATTGTCAATCATTGCGGTGATATGTTGATGTAAGGCCATCCTATGTGCTCGTCCCCACTTTCACTTAGCGGTAGTGAGTCTGAGATAGTGGAAGTTTATAAATCTTCTTTTGGAAAGTAAGCTTGTATGAGCGATGCAAACAGTAACTTTTAAACAAGGCGTGCACGAGGAGAAATGGGCTCCTGCATGCTCTCGCACGCGTTTAATAGGCGTTCCCTCTTAGGAGCGGATACAGGGTTGCTCATGTACATTTTTTTTAAGTGCAGAGGGCACTTTTGTTTTTCTTTTTTTTTTTTTTAGACTCACAAAAATCCTCCACTATACCTTTGACTTTATTAAAACATTTTAAAGTTCTAACTCTTGATCAACAGGGATGCAAATTTTTGTGGATACTTTCATTAGATCCAGGTAGTTGCATTTTGTAGCCTAGGGTTTGTTTTACTTTAGGGATATAATGCATTTAAAAAAAAGTGCTACAGGCAAAAATATCTACCTATTTTAATAGCCTTTCAGTTCTGTTTAAACAGCATTCTCTCACCGCTGTCTTGATTAATAGAAGCAATCATATTAATATGAAAATTAACCCAAAACCCTGTATTTGGTGGGACAAGCTTTTCATGAAACTTAAGGGTCAATATAATAAGATAAAACAATGATTTTACATTGATGTTTTTCAAAGAAATTTTGCAGGAGGTGAAGACAAACAAGCAAACGCTTTCCCTGTCATGTGAGGCGGCTGGGTGGGTGTAGAAAGCTGCACAGTAGAGGTTGCTGAGAGATTAAACAGATGAGAGAGGTGTCAGATGTTTCAACGTGTTTGAAAGCTTGTAATCTATAATCGGGTCAAACACTATTTTACACACACAGACTTATATATACAACCCGCTCATTTCCTCCCTCCTCCATGACTTCTATAGCCAGAGTCCTTTTAACTCAGCTCAGATGAAATTAAAATTCCCTCTACTGCCACAGGGGTGTGGACCAGCAATGCTGGCTTTTGAACTAGATTAATTTAATGGTGAAGTGTTAATCAAGTGAGTGTGTGTGTGTGAGGATGGTCAGAGAATCAATCATTAATTGCCATCAGCAAAAAGCACCTTCTACTCTGATGATAACCGCTGTAATAACACATGGCCACATCTCTCTGATTTCTCCTAAATGAAGATAGTTAAAAAAAGGCTTTGATGCAGCTGTGGAAGCGAATGTTTCTATTTACACATGCAGGCTTGTTGGTGTTTTTTTTCCTTTAAGCTTCAAGCTTCTGTGTATTGATGAGTGATCATGAAAGGGTAGATGCATGCACACTCTGTCACAGGGTGCCTTTAAGCCACAATGTCTTGATGTCTCTAAAGGTGTGCGAGGTAAATTAAAACCGAAGCGTATCTCTTCTTCTTGTCTCTCGAGGCGGTTGGCTACAAGCTGGCTATGCTGCCAGTCGCCGCGGCTCTGCTGGGCGGTGCATTAGGAGGTCCTCTCGGCCTGCTGGTTGGATTCAAAGCTGCCGGGGTGGCTGCTCTGGGAGGGAGCGCCCTCGGCTTTGCAGGCGGTAACCTGGTCCGCAAACACCGCCAAGCTCAAGTGGACCAAGGGATGGAACGACTGACGCTGAAAGAAGGGGAACAACCTGAGAGAAATAAGGACAAATGACCCACAAGATTTCTCTATGTGGACTGAAGAGACTCGGCGTTAGACAATGTGTGCACTTTGACCTGATGTTATTAGGAGTTGAAGTTCTGGAGCTTCATGTTCTCTCATCATCAGAAGGAATAACTCGCTGTAGATATTTTTATTTATATTTGTCCCAGAGTGGACTACAAAAAAAAAAAAAAAACACACAACTTCAATTAATTTTTTAAAACATTAACTGAGCACAAAAATTAACTTTTTTTAAATCCATGCTCACATACAAACTCAAACTTATACATACACCTCCACATAAATCTTTCCCAAAAGTTATTCCTCAACCTCAGAGTTTTTGGCTGGATATTGGACAGGTCTGCTATTTATAGACGGTAAAGCTGGTTGAAGGTTGTTGGTTTCCTGGCACAAAGCTCACAGGTTTCCTATAAGTTTGGTTTTTGATCCAGTCCATTTTTTATTTGTTCTTTGTTTGGGATGATTATACAATGAGGTTTGTCTTAAGATTTAATCATTTAGCTGCTGAATTGAGTTAAAGTAACAATTAATAAAAAAACAAACATCACCTTCATGATTCGACCACTTCCATGTAATAAAGTGAGTGTTTCTATTCGTCTGAGGAAGACAGGTTAATACCGCTTTTAAATTTGGTCAAACTGACTGACGTCAGTCTTTTAAAGCATCATCCTAACTAAACTTAATGTAAAATGTATGAACTATGATCAATAAAACAATGCCTGTGGCAGGAAGCCAGAAACTGTAAATTAGTGCTACAATTACAGCAAAGAAAAGCAACTAAATATTTTGTCCAAATCACCCCAGGAAGAAAGCCTTAGGTCGAAGTGCCTTTTTCAAAAATGTTGTAGCTGCTGTATGTATATTTTTAAAACTTTACGTATCAAGGCAAAGTCTAACTTGAAACCACATTTGTCTTGGGCGTTGGCCAATCGTTTCAATATTAGCTCAAAATGTCCAGGCAGTAAAAATATCCAGGTGTGAATGGTTTCCTATTTAAGTTGTGTTTACAGACAGTAACACAGCACACTACAGCTTATAATTGTTGGATTGAATGTATATTTTCTTTTATCAATAGAGATGTAGCCTTGTATGAGAGCAGTGGCGGATCTAGAAAATTTTACATGGGGGGGCGAAGGGGTGGCAAGAGGTCTTGGCAGGGTGGCAGAAGTAGACGGTACATGGGAATCCTTATATGTGAGCTGCTTTAACCAAATAAACACAAAACACTTTTAAACTACAGTAGTTGTTGTTTAATCATGCCCTTACACACTACAAAGTTTTTCTTTTAAATTTACAACAGAATAAGCAAAGTGCAGTGATCGAACAAAAAAAACCTGCATCTTTTAAAAAGTAAAAGTCTAACAAGCAAAATCCCTTTAATTTATTTGTTATAATAATTGTGTCCAAGATGCAGTGGACTACAAGCACTTATTTCCTCATTTCCTTCACTCATTTCTGTGTCTCCTTCATGTATTTCCTCTTTTTCGTCACTTATTTCTGTGTCTCCTTCAGTCTTTTCCTGCACTGACCCTCCTGGGCTCTCCAGTTTACTGCCTTCTCCCTCATTTCCCTTGCGCTCTTCCTCTTGTGTACTTGTTGGAATTTTCTTTGCAAAAAAGCTGGTTATATCCCCACTTTTAGCCTTCCTTTTCATGGCTAGGCCTATGAAGTAATATTTGCATGCAAAGGTCAATATGTGAAAACCTCTGGTTATCCTTGTATTTCATTAGCCTACACTGTAGGGCCATGGAACTTATAAGTTAAGTAGCATATACTACAATACCTATATATATATATATATATATATATATATATATATATATATATATATATATATATATATATATATATATATATATATATATATAGGTATTGTAGTATAGCCTATATAACAAATATAAATGAGAAAGATTTATCACATTCACACACCAGTTATGTTTAGACTACTTAATTCTATTGTATTTGTTATTTCCCCAGTTATAACCTGGTTTCATTGCTGCGTTATCTGAGAGGAATTGGATTTATAGGACTGCTCAGCTAATCAAATCAACACTGTAGCCTGCGTGTTGTAACGTAACGGCGGCATAACGGTTACCATCAGTAAATCAGTTAACGTTATGGATAAAAAAAATATTTTGTATTTTTTCATTAAGCTGTTTTTTTCTTAACATTAATCAAAGGGAAGAGTGCTCTTACAAATCCCGAGGGAAGGATTTGACCGACACACTCGCTGTTTTTGCTAATCGTCTTTAGCAGATATTGACTACAAATGTAACTTTTAAGTGAAACGTGTGTTTAAACTACACCTGGTAAAAGTCACTTCACCTTCAGATGCCCTGGGACAGCTCAGTCTCTCCAGTTGGTTTGCACACTACAGAGCCACCGCGACGCTGCAGACTGTGTGTGTGTCAGACAGACTGAGCGCGAACTGCGCTCTGCACGTTTGAATCAGGGGCGTAGCTAAGTATTTGAGGGACGGTGGCAAATAATACATTAAAAATAAAAAACTAAATTGCAACCTTTTGGTAAATGTATTGTTTTGAGAAGCCTGTGAACATAGTGGCAGGTTGTTTTTACAGGTACGGCTTTTGGATCATCAAAGTTAGGGGGGCAGCTGGGGGGGCAAGGCTCCATATTGGGGGGTCAGCTGCCCCCCCTTGCCCCCCTGTAGATCCGCCCATGTATGAGAGATTCATCTTAGCTCGAAATATTTTGTTCCAGTTGGACAAGTATCCACATTCTATGTTTCTTTTTTCACATGAAGGTTTTACTAATGTCTTTTTCTAAGTATTTTTGTATCTTGGAAAATGTGAACAGCTGACAGTTCATGTGGGTAAAACAGCTTCAAATTAAAGAAGCAATTCTTATATGTATGCAGTGATGTACCACTAATGGTGCCAAAGTCCAGACCACTTCAGACTGAAATGTTTGAGGTTGACATACTACTTCTGTCCAATAAAAAAAATTATAAAACAAAATTGTTGTTCATTGGATAAACTGATAATAGATTTATTTAGACACAGTATTCATATTGGATGCATTTCAGCTTTACTGCCAATAAACCTTTATCAGGATGTGCAGCCCCCTCTGAATTATGCTGCTAACAGGCTTTTAAGTTTAGGATGTTTTGCTTTTATGCTTTACCAGAAAATAAAAATGTTCTGATGGCAGAAGTAGTGGGCATTCATCAATATAGGGTGTCTTAGTAATGAGAAAATAGAAGCAAAGTAAAAAAAAAAAAAGTATTTTTCACCTAATAGTAGTCCGTTTTATATTAAAAATGATGCAATCGAAATAAAAACATTACAATATCGAAAATTTGTGCAAAAGAAACACTTCAGATTATTTAACATGCACATGGAGACCAGTAAGTAATGCATTTATATTAGGAAAAGATGAAATGTTGACAAGACCTAGTTTTCTGCAATTTCCCTTGATATCAAATAGCTCAACTTGTCGTAGGTAAACTAGAAATGTTACTCAATATTACTGCAGTAAATTTAAAAGGTAAAGTACAGCTCCTAAAAGTACTCTTATTTTAAACGTATTCAAGTAAATCTAGCAAGTTACTACACACCTGTTTTTATGTAATGTCATTTATTGTAAAATATATATATATAAAAAAGGGGGAGGGGTGCAGGAATAATAGAGTTCAGACACAAACAAGTCTGTAAAACCTTTTTTATTTCCTTTTATCTATTTTTTTTGTTCTCATTCACCTCTGAGATGAGTGATTGAAATATGGCATCAGACCCCCTACCCCCCTTGTTTCTTTGTATGTGGGCAGATATGTCTCAATGCTAGTCCTACATTGAAGGTTAGGACACGCAACACAAATGAGCCCCACCCCCGATACAAGCATGTTCAAACCGACGTCTTGATTCTCTGAAATTTGAGAAAACCTTATAGACGTAGAGACAAATGCAGTTAAAAAAAAAAAATCGTACAAAGTGGCAGGCTTCATTTCCACCATTTTTACCGTGTGGGGTTTCCTCCTAAAAATGCTCGACTCTTAATGTCCCCCACCCCCAACCATAAGGGCACACAGACAACAAATACACAAATTCATGATATTAATGGAAATCATGTAGAAGCCTTTTATAATCTCTCTGCGACTTATTTGAAAAGAATTCGGGTCTTTAACTCAAATGAAGCTTTATCCCCACATCATGATGCTGCCATTACCGGCTATTTTAATTGCTGATTAATGGTTTGGGATTTTGTGTTATAGCAGAAATCTTAATTGGGTTGTCCAGGGAAAGTCTGATTAGCTTGAAATAAATTGATTAATTAAGTCCAATGTGGCACCGTACTGTAAAAAGTAGAACATAAAAATATCTAAAGGGTATTCTCATTAGCATCTGAACAGACCTCATTAGCCATAACCAAAATACAAACAGTACCAGAGAGAGGAAAAAAGGCATATTACAAAAGGATGGAATAGCTCAGTTTCTTGTCTCAGTTAGAAATGTTGCTACTCCTACAAGCTGTTTTTAATGTCGGTATGATGAAAAGAAATTAAAATAAAGCTACTTTAAACAGGTATTTTTTCTTTCTTTTTTTTACGTGTGCTCTATAAATGAAATCAGACAGAAGTTGATCGTGTTGAGATGCAGCCATGAGGTTAATGATATTTAAGGATCATCTTGTATGGAGACCAGGCTAAATTTGAATAAACCACAGATCAGGACCGTACAAATGGAGTGAGGACAGTTCGTTGATCATCATGAAAAAGAGACTGAATAAAATAAAGAAAACTCTGCATTTAACTTAGACCGATATTGTGATTCCAACTTAGCAAACATATTTACAACCTCCAAAGAAATAAAACTTCTCTTTAAGTCCTAAATGCCCCATACCCCCTGACCAAACACATCTGCTTCTTATTACCAATCCTGCTGATTCAAAATAAAAAATTGCATGGTTAAGTTATGAAAATATAGATTACTCCAACATTGTTGTGTTATGGACTGCGCTCTCCTTCTCCCTCCCCCCCACCGCTTTATGATCTTCGTTTGTTAACTTTTCAGTCTTCCTTCTTGTCCATTCTCAATTTCTCTAGTAAGGGTGTTGGGTGTTATTCTTCTGTCCTGCTGGCCTGTCCCAACCCTGACCCCCTCCCTGACCCCGGGGCGTGGCATTGAGTCTCAGGATCTCTGAAAGGCTGTTCAGGTCACAGCTCGTCACGGTCCCGTCTGAGGATGGTGTAGCGGGTCTCACTTGGTGCCAGCTTCTGGAATGAGCTCTCTGGGGGATTGCTGGCCACTTCTTTGCCTGTTTCCTCCTTAAAACCAAAGTAAGATTCAATCAAAACGGGAACATTTCAAAATGATAAAAAGAAAATGAATAAAATCTTGTGAACAGAGTTAAGTGAACCCTTTGGCCCACCTGTCCAGGCGTGCTGTCTGTGGGGTCAGGACCATGGTGGAACTCTCTGTGAAGCTTTCCAGAGTGAAGATCCAAAACAAACTGTTTTAGCTTTCCAGGAACACTAAGGAGAAGAAAAAAAAAAGAAAACAGATGAAATATGCATTTAGCCAAATTTCCATCAAATTCCCATGCAAATTCTTATGCGAATTTTAAGCAAAAAGAAATTGCTACTTAGACATAAGAGATCAAGGTAATGAACACTGAAACTGAAGTGAAATATCTGCATGTTTGTGGTTTGTACAGCGGAATAGCAAATAAAAAACACAGTAATGGTAAAACAAAAGAAAAGAAGCTATTTTGAATTTTAAGGTAAAAATTGTTCAACCCTAGCTTGGATTAGCAGACCTTTATGAAAGAAATAAAGTCAGATACCAACTTCTAACAATTCTTATCCTGGGCAATAATAGATTTTCATTATTTTTACTTTAAATATCTTCAACAATAAATTGCTTCCAGAAATTAAAATGGCAAAAAGTGTTGACCTTCTAGTATTTTGTGCTACACAGCTCTGTAACATGACAACCCCTGCTGAGCACAAAGGCTGGGGTTCCCAAAACGGTATCCCTAAAGCAGGTAATACAGCACTGAATTTCCACAGTACCCGAACCATACCATTTCAAAAACAAAAGGAGAGCTAAATGGGTGAAACGTTTGCTGTATGATAAACGGTGCGCTACAAGCTAACTGTTAAAAAACCTAACTCTCTGTTCAAAGTACTAATGTGTGCTGTGATGAAATGAGCGTATGTAATTAGATAAAAGCAGCTGGACTTGCTCTAATGCTGTTTTGACTTGCATAATCAAAGAGTATTTTGTTGCAGGTTATTCATTTTATACACATACAAATTGCTGCTGTGGGATTTTTACAGGTGTAATTTGCGCTGGTGAATTTAAACAAAAAAAAATTGCAAAAGCTAAAAAATTCAATGTTTAAGAAAGGTCTGATTCTATGCCTCCATTCTTTTGCAGACCTTTTAGACAACAGAAGAGAAATAAATATTGGAAATGAAAAGATTTTTCAATTCACCGTTTTATTTTTCCTCACTTATTTCACCTTCGTAATATTTATGTCATCTTTCGTTCTTACCTATTCTGTATAGAAAGGCAGTTCTGGAGAGTGAAAGAAATGAATTGTTCTATTATCAGCATCATGTTTTTATTTCAAACATTCCATCACTTTATCCCTAACAATGAGGTGCAGCCCAGAGTTAAGCGCTATTAGACGGAACAACTAGTGGCAGCAGTTGATGCCTTCTGTTGAAGCATGAAAACAGATCAGATCTGGTTGGTCAAAGTGATGTTGAGGGGGGGAATCTGCTGGTGCCATGTCACATAGGCAGCTCTGACCCAGGGTTTAACTTAACTGTGTTTATGGGTGTCAGATTAGGACACACTTAAGCAAACAAGTATATATAACATAATGTGCTAATGTAATTAAAGGCTGTGTGCTACGCATGCAGAGCTGTTGTAATGAAATTAGGTTGTGGAGGATCTAGTAAGGTCCTCCAGGCTACGGTCTATCTGATCAGACAATGATTGTAGGGGGTGTGGTGGGGTTGGGGGGTGGCTGAATAAATAAGATTAAGTTAGATTAGACTGGATTAGTTTAGCACTTATTGCACGTGCCAAATCATGTCACATTAGCTCCGGTGTCCTGGCCCATTCATAAAGGGAAAATTTTAGTAGGTTTGGCATTTCTCTGCAGCTCAGAGCATAGCAGTGTGTATGTGGTGAGTGATAAAATTCATTTGGTTCTGAACAGATCTCATTATAAACAATTACAAATGGGTGAATAATGCACCATGCAACTCATTAATCAGAGCAATTTAAAGGAATGTTTGATGTCGGTCACTGCTTGAGAATTGCATTGTGCCATTTCAGCTAGATTTTTATGAATGTTTATTAGACCTTACTGACCTTAAATCTCTAGTTTTTTGTCATTCCCAGTTTTAGGTAATTCTGGTTTCTTTTAAAGAAGTGTAATCAGTAGCTCTGAAAATATAATATTTTCCAGCCTTGCTGCAATGACTGCTTATTTTCTCTAAGAGCAGAGGTAATGTAACACAGAATAATCGAAATAACTGTAGAACAGAATTCTTTATTCCCATTTAAAAGCAAAGCAAACGTTTGAAACAGTGGGATTTGCTACTAGTGAGTCTGGACTAGAGGTTGTAAAGTAACATGTGTAGCAATGACTTAAGATTTCAAAAACACAAATGAACCGTTTTTATTTAAACTCTTGACTATGCTTTGCAAGTGCTGCAGCCAAAGTGGATTTTGATGTGATGCACATATCCTGAAACAGTTTTGTACTTGGAAGTCAGCAAGAGGTTTCTGAAGAGTTGAAGTTAGAAGCTACTTTTCCACACACTGCTCTTTTCCTGTCTGAACGCCTAAACCTGAGAGAAATACATTATTGTTGTCCTATAATGTCCTTATATCATTTAGTACCTAAAGGATCAGAGAACGCTGATTTTCCAACTGGTAACTAGAAGGCGAATCAACAAGCACAGCATAATTAAAGTTATTAGCCAACCGTAACACAGAGGAGTGTTGTTGGTGCTTTAACAGAACAAGAAAGGAATATCTTGTGTTCACCTCTTTAAATTACTGGTAACTGTATTATGTGCAAATACGAATTTGACATTTAATTTCTTCTAAAATTAGTTATAGATTAGTATTTAACACATTTTGAATCATTTGGAATGACTCCATACTTACGCGAGGTCTTTGAAATCAGGGAAGACATACATGTGCCTAAACGAGTCGATTGCAATGACAGGACAGTCAGCAGGGGTTTTCTGGATGTGGAGCAGAGGATGGCGGAACTTATCACAGTCCGCATGAAGGAAGTTTATAGACCCTGAAGATGGTGCAAAAATGTCACAAACGTCATTTTGCTGTGTAGAAAGTATGAGGGAATGAAATAAATCATGTACTGTATATCAAGCTACATTATCTATATACTACAAAGCCCTACCTTTCTCACTGATTAGCTGTCGGGTAACTTCATTTTGGAACTTTTCTAAACTGTCCGAGTCTTCTTTAAGATGAAACAAGATAAGGAAGGGAAGCCCTTCTTCTGTCAGCTCCTGGAGATCACACACATATACAGGGAAAGGTTTAAAGGTGGGTGGAGGTCAAGGGGAAGTCAGGGCGATGGACAAAAAACATGGATTCCTGACTTCCATTCTAGCAATCACACAAACTGATGTGTGTATAATTATATGCAATAGAAAAAGTGCCAGAAAGAATCCTTGAAGGAACAAACCTCGCCATTTTCAAAGGTGATCTCCCTAACTAGAGGCACGCACTTGTCCTGAGCCCAAGCGTATGTCAGGTCGAAGTTGGTGAGGGAGCCGAGGTAGACCAGGTCAGGAACGCCCTCGCCCACAGGTTTGTAGATTACATTGTCTCCGCTGAAGCGCTCAGACTGTGACACGGCACTGAATGGATAGAAGTTAAAAAAAGCATGTATGAGGGAAAACAGTAAAGGAAACAGAAAAGATGGAGATGTAGAGATGGCAGTGCGCTCACCCAAACGCGGCTAAGAAGGTGCAGTCATCTCGCAGGATGTTGGCAACTTTTTCATAAGTGTGATAGTTATCAGAGTCCTTTGTCTCAAAGTATCCGATAATGTTTCTTTTGCTTCTCTGTTGAATTACAATGTAGGACAAGTCTTTAATAGAGCTCCTTGGTATTTAGCCACAATGGTATAATGGCTCCTAAGTGAATAAACAGAATGTGTGGATTTAGCACTTACATCTATGGTATTAACCTCCTCAATGGAGGGCATCTCCTTAACTGGGTTGACCTGCTGCTGACGGATGAAGTCAGCGATGGCTGTCACTGACCTCTGACCCCTGTACTCCCTCTTCATCATCATTCCATTGCGAAATAGCTTCAGCGTTGGATACTTGGTAATGCGGTAACGCTGAGCTATATCGGCTACACACAGAGGAATGGGAGGAGCAAAGCAAAGACGAGTAAATCAACTGATAAAGAGCAAGATGCTGAGGAGGAAAAAAACAGCACATGGAGATGAAGAGCGCCACAGTGACAGAGACAGCAGTTAAACCAGAGTCTAAAAGCACAGCCCCTCAGTCAGCCCCGAGCTCTGATCTCCCACATGAAAGCCCCCCCGCCAGGAGTAAATATTCTCGCTGCACACAGTGAATGGGTGTGTGTGTGCATGCGTGGCAGGTGTCAATCTCTCTGCGGGGAGTCTCTAAGCTTCCAGTCTTCACAGGATGGAGCAGTTTTGTCATTAGTCTTCAAACAGTTTGCAGGTCATCAATAATTCTCTTTAATTTGCTTTATCTCTAAAGGCTGAAGCTGGCAGCTTACGTATGGGAGCTCTGCTGTGATGGGCATCTCTGTGTGCACATGTGCATCAAATATAGTAAGAGCACAGGTGTTAACCTCTTATTTTCTATGTAAAGAATTCTAGAATTTTTTGGCAAATTCTCGTTGCTAATGCCTATGCTAAAAAACTGATCAGTACGGGTGTCCTGATCCAATATTAATAACGGTCCATTAGCCAAAAAACTAATATTGAATTTTATCAGCCTGCATCTGAAATCTCCAATATATTCATGCTGATAGAAACACTCCTGTTAAAAGTTTCTGTAAGTAATTGGTTATTTTACTAGGGTCAGTTGTTTTCATAGCTTCAGTTGACTTTTGTTCCTTGGTTTAGTAATATTACTTGATCAAGCCTTTTCTAACATTCTATAGTATAAAATAAGTAATAGAAGCTGGTATGATTCATAGAAATATCATTTGAGGTAAATATCAGTATCGGCCAAATCCCATAGGCAATATTGGTAATGTATCAGAAATGAAAACTTTGTATTGAGACTGATCAGAAATATAAAGTAACACTTTTTTTAAATTAAAGCTAAACCTTGTAACTGAGACAAAACAGTTATTTTTAAATTTGCAATGTCTTTGAGATATTATTTGCATCTCAGGTTGAGCTTTTCCTTTTTCTTTGATATTCTTTTTCCCTGTAAGTGGATGACTATGCCACGCCGGTTTTCATTTGTCACCATAACACTGATAATCAGGCCGCTACTCATTTTTGATGAGCTCATCAGCACTATGACTGACATCTGGAGTTCGTCCCCCAGAGCTTTGTCCAGCTCATTTCAGCACACATGCTGGATAAACAGAAGGTGTCAAAATTACACTAAAAATCTGCCCGATACGGTGGTTTAATAATAGGTGTAACAACAGTGGAAGTGGTGCACATTTACAGCCTTATGTGCATATGTAAAGGCTAAAAAGCACTGGGAAAACAGTGCTGAAAAGACAAACCCTAATTTGTTTCCTACACTCTATTACCTATAAATGCTTGGAACTATATATTTTTTTAGTTAAAGACTGATTCTTACTTTTTAAGTCCCAACAAAAACATTGAAAAAGATTTGACTGTATATGACCTCTAAAACAGGTCCATGACAGACCGGGCACCCATCAAGAGCCTGACAGTTTTTACACCAAGGATTAAAATGCTTAACCTATCCCAGTGAAATACCATCCCCATCTTTTTTTGTAACAAAAAGACAAAAAAAACTCTCCACAATTATCCAGTTATCATCTAAAAATCTGGGCTGGTGCAACATTCATGAAGAAAAATGTGTTTGTATGTCCCATGGGTACTTTATAAGTTTTATTTTTAGTAACATCCTGAATAGAGTTAGAGAAAACACAACATAAAGATAAGAAAGATTTTACTCACAATGTTGGTCACAATCGACTCGAGCAAACACCACCTGCTTGGTATCAGGGAACTCCTCCCTCACAATGTTTGACGCCTCTTCAAAAATCGGATGGAGCATTTGACTAAATCTACACCTGCAGAAAGTTTAGATGAAAGGTAAATTCAGCACAAACTGGATGTATATAAAGTACAAAGAAAATAAAAAGTCAAAAAAGAAATTACATGGTAAATCTAGGAGATAGTTGTATAGTTAGTGTAATGAAAGAGGGACAGGAAGCCAAAAACTTAGAAAGAATGTCCATTATAACAGGACTAAAAAAGTACAAAAAGGTCTAAAAGCTGGAAAAGAAGAAAAATATTACTTACCAGTCTGCGTAAAAGTTGACTAAGGCTACACCAGCATTATCTATAAGAAAAACACAAAGTCATCAGATCTGTACATTTATATGAAAACAACTCTATATGTTAAAACTCATAACTGCATATGTTGATTTAGGATATCTCATCTTAAATCTAATAGATTAAACAGATCCCTTCGTAAAGAGACCCGCAGAGAAAACACTTGGGACAGGATGCTAGTAAATATATATATATATATATATATATATATATATAAAACATTTTCAGTACAAAAACTGAGAATGATTCACTCATCTAAGTATCACATGAGTAACATATCACATAAGTCATCATATAGTAATAATAATTTTCTTCTTTTCATGACTCAACTTAAAATTCAATACCTATACGCCTGGTGAAATAAAGCGTAAATTTCTGAAATCATAAAATGATAAATGTTTAAAATCTACACTTCTTATTTTCTGATCAGTTTAATAATTCACTCCCTTTATCTTTCAGACTACTTTATTCTTGTTTACGCCTCCAGCGAAATCTCCATTGCTATAAATGCAAATAGATTGTCAGACAACTTTTAAATACCCTCTAAACGGCATTATTCCTTCTACATTGGCTGGGCAATGTTAAAATATTTATTCACAGCCCTGCTTGAAAGCTCCTATTTTATTATTTTACAGAGTTTTCCTTAAATAAATGTTATAGTCTAGTCTAGTTCAATGGCTCTTAAGTTCACTGAAAAAAAAACAATGTGCATAACAATTTTGAACTCAAATATGACAGCTTTTGAAAGAGAAAATAAAATAACGATATTTAAAACAAAGTTGCACATTCTCAGTTTCCATATGTAATACAAAGAGAGCAAAAAAAAAAAAAAACAGGAGGTGGGGTTGCTGCAAAAGTCAACATTGCAAAAACCCAATGAAACTGTGGGCAGCCATTAATAGTATCATTAGTATGATTATTTCTGGTAAAACAAAATAAATAAATAAATATACAATTTACTTAGATAAAAGCATATAACTGTATTGACTAAAGCTAAATTAAAAGAAAAAAATATGCACAAAAGCAGTATCAGCATAAATACGATGGCCAAAACTGTTATACTTGTTGCAGCTAACAACACAATGTCTTACTTAGGACATCGTCGATGTTGGATGAGTCCAAACTGACGATTTCTGTTTGCCCTGGAGTAGAGAGGCCCATCACCTGCAGACAGAACATCGGTTAATTGAAGCTGAGCACATGATAGGAAAAGATGGATATAGGGAGCTAAAACCAATAGCACCTCTAAAAGTGAATCAAAGGTCGTGGCATGCACGTCTCTGGACCAATAACATACTAATAGATTGTTACAGTCATTCTTATCAACTCTGCATTGGTAAAGCTTACACATCTTCCCTTTCTTCACATTTTATTTTAATATATCCTTATTAGATAATGAACAATTACTTTACACTCTAAATTTGACAAATATTATCATATTATATAACAAACAGTTAATTTGGCTAATTTGTTAAAAAAAAAAAAAGCTGACAAGTATTTAAGTATCCACAGATTTTGCTAAATACTTTGTTCAACCTCTTTGATAGGAAATACTGACTCTTTTACTAGAGAGTGTAATAACAACTAAACGTGTTATTTATAATATTTTATCATTGTTCTTCGCAGAAACACTCAAGCTCCACAACGTTGTATGGGAAGTCCTGGTACAGACATTTTTCAGATCTTTCCAGCGAGGATTATACAGGTATACGTCTGTGATGTCGCTGGTTCACTCAGTGTTGTTCACAGACTCCTTCGTAAACCACTCCTTTTTCTGCTGGAAGATGAACCTTGACCCCATACTAAGGTTGTTTGGAGCAGGTTATTGCCAAAGATGTCCCTGTGCAATGTTATTATCAACTTCCCCTGAAGCCTGAGTAGTGTCTCACTTCCTGCTACAGAATGACATCGCTCTCAGTTTGAACGTTAACACCCATTTCATTGTTTAATCACTTAGTGATAAGATGTGTCTAGTAAATATAATGCCTAGGATTCAGGCCAAAGAGGGGAATCTTTTATTTCATTTCATCAGCAGATAAATATTTGAACTTTTTTCTTTCTTCAAAGAGCAAGGATGGGGCTCTGCTAGAGCGACCAGCGGCTTGTTGGTCAGCTAATACTGAGGCTCTTTTACTACAGTCATTCAGAGTTGTTTTGAGAGCCAACTATAGGAAGTGACATGGTGGATCCAAATCAGTTTAGAAGGACCACTAAGCTCAATAGGACCTTCAGTACTCCACACATTTTTTACCATTCTCTCAGGATATATGCCTTGATACAATACTGTCTTGGAGGCCTACAGACAAATGTTGGAAATCACAGCTATTTCTTCTTGGCGCACAATTATTGACACAATTATTTTGTGCGCCAAGATGAAGTGTCAACTGTGGGACATTATGTTGTTGGGTTTGTATTTTTTTTCAAACCACATTCAATCAACCAAATCTATTACTGATAGTATTGAGACAATTTACAGAAATATTTTAAAGATAAATCGCAGAAATAGAAACTACACCTGAGTTCAAATCTCATAGCAAAGTCTGTGGGCAATTATTAACAGTTTTTTTTTGTTTGGTTTTTTTGTTTTATCAGTAATACATTTGCAAAAATATCTGAAACAATAGTTTTAAAAACCTCGTCTTTAAGAGGTAAAGTGGACAGAAATTGTAGTGGAAAACATTTATCCAGAGTTCCTGTGCCAAGCAAAGTTTTGAGTTTTATTTTGAAGATGAAGCATCAGTTGCCTTATTGGCATTCAGTTCTTTAAAACAAAGCCCTGATATCTTAAACCAGAAGTGCAGGTTTTGAAAACATGCAGGCTCCGCATTGGATTATCAAACTAAGAAAAACAATAAACATGATGACACTCCCAACTTAACTTTGACTATAATTACTAAATTAGTTGTTGAAGCACTTGTTTTATGTAGCTATAGCGCATGATAAAATGCTTTTTTTAGTTCAATGTTTTACTAAAGATGGTCTATTAAGTGCATTAGCATTTAACACTTAAAAAATATACACCTAACGCCAAACGATAGACTAAAGCCCATCATGTCAAGGCTGCAATTTGAGCAGGGCCATGTTTATTATTGTCCATGAATGACTGCAGAACTTAACCCAAAACATTATGATGATAATGTTCAACAAATCAAAAGAGCGCATAAGGAGAACAGTTTATAGTTGTTTCACCTAGTCACCCATTATGGTTTACTTTTGAAAGATCAAATTTTAGCAGAATAGATTTTTCTTTTCGAGTTTCCTTTTTCTGTTTCAGGTTTATACGCCTCCCTCTATCATATAAACTCTAGTGCAAATACTTATTAAAGAAAAGTCTTGAAAATGGTGCGTATAGTATGAGGTAGGATCAGTGATGACTCAATATGCACTTTAACCAGAATATGAGAACAATAGTACTATGATAGCTAGAGCTGGCTAAATATTTTAATAAACAAATAAATTGAAATATCAGTGTCATTTCAATAAGTCAATAAATTAAAAGGAAAACTTAAGTTGGTACTTGAATATCTGGCCTTGCTTCTAAAATCTAAGCATGGTTAATAATGGGTTTCATACCATGCCAAGACTGGGAAAAGTGGCAGTTTCAAATCCAGTAAAACTCTTTGTCGTATGACATCAACAGTTTAAAGTCCTTTTAATTTAATGTAAGAAGGTCTTTAACTAATACATGCACACCTGGATTAATCTGTTCATCCAGTCGGAAAAGACAGGAAACAAAAGAGCTGCCTTAAGTTCAGGAAGTATTGAAGTTGTGCATAGAGGCCACTGGCTTCTCTTAATTGTCTTAGGTGTAAGTGTCTGCATGGTTGTATTTCCTTATGTGTCTATGTGCTGCCTTGCGACAAACTAGTGACCTGTCTAGGGTGTACCTCGCCTCTCGCTCATAGACTGCCAGAGATAGACTACGGCCCCACCGCAACCCTGGCAGAATTTGTTATTATTTTAGGGTTGTTTTTTTAGGATATCTCGCAAAATAAATGTCAAAGTTTGTACAGACAACTGTTGTGGCCATTCTTAGCAGTCTGTCTGGGGCTTTGAATTGTTCTATATTCATATTGAAAGTATATCATATTGACCAAAATTAATCACCCCATCCTAATACACAGTTTGGCCATACTGTCCAGCCCTATTCTATCTTTAGACCAAACAGAACAGTTAAACATTCAAGATAAGAAAGCTTTTCGCTGAACCTCACCAAATGCCAATTTCTCTTGTTTATAAAAAACTAAAATATAAATTTAAGCAATTAAAATGGATTTTGTACTAGTAGGTTTAATTGTAAAAGCTCAATGCAGATGTAGCATAAGAAACTCATAAAAAAGCATTTTCTGATGCCTTTTTACAAGATTAAAACGTCCTTTGTGGTCATTTTATTAAATATCAGTAGCTGCAGAGCCATAGTTGCTTTAAACAAGGTCTACTCTGTATGCATATTGTGTTTTTGATTTCACATAAGGTGGTGTGACAGCTGCACACTGACAAACTGTCACATTCGCCGCGGTTAAACCTATCAAACCATAGCTCTGCACCTCACAGAGAAGTTTTCATTTCAGGGCTAACTAAGCTCACCTCTAGTTCCGGGTTGTTGGCCAATGAGAATGAGCCACAACAGAGGAATTTACCAACCGGCGAACATCATTAGGAGACACATATATAATGACACGAAAAGTAGGATAATAACAGTGTTTAATAGAACAGCAAATGTGCTTAATCCCTTTAAACAGTAAGACAACCAAAAAGCTTCGAAAATCGTGCTAGCAGTTAGCATTAATTTATCAGTGCTCAATGCAGAAGAGTGGGTAGTACCTGCTGCTAACTATAAGTTAATAGTATAATTAATCAAATGTAAAATTATATAACTAAATTGCTCGATGTAGTAAATATACCACATGTCTTAGCATATTTAAAGCTTGTAAAAGCAGGGCAGTATATCAGCGGGCAGAATTTAGCAGTTGACATTAGCTACATCTGTTAGTGACCGTAACCTCTCCCCTTTACAACTAAACTAAAAGGACCCTTACCAGCAGTATAACAGTGGCGAGACGGATATCCAAAGATGGAGATATTGCTAACAGTTTCATTGTATACTGTGGTTATAGAATGAGGTGGTGTTGTTCAGCCTTCCCGGTCAGTCTCGACACCGCTTTTCTCTGTAGCAGGAAACAAACGGCGAACAGATCTCACGGTGGCCACGGAAACCCGAGCCGGGCTTCCGGGTTGGCGCATGGGTTTGTGGGTAGTGTAGTTTTATTGACGTAGTTAAACAAGCGTCAGCTTCTACCTAAAAAACTCTAAAAATGGCGAGTGGATTTTGATGTAGGAGTGTAACGGGAGTTGTAGTGTTTACAGCCGAGATCCAACGGGACGCTTTGGAGGAAAACTTTTTGAAGAGTTTTCTCTGATCCTACAGGTAAAAAATGACTGCAAATATGTCAAATATAGTTTGGTACATTATCAGCTTTTCGAGTGGCTTTACCATTTGACTCGTTTCTGCAATGTTGCGACTACGAAAATGTATTTCTCGAATCACAGGAGAATTGCATCATTGTAGTTAAGATGTTGTTATTCCTATATTGATGCGTTACACCACTTTCTCCATTGATACATCCTCGATAAAGGTTGATTTTGAGCTCTCTCGGGTTATCTTTTCTTGATGTTAACATCGAGTTGATGATCTGAAACCTTAAGAGTGACAAAAATGAATAAATAAATAAATAAACTTTTAGGTATTAAAAAATAGACTCTTTGGTGTAACAAAAAAACGGTTCTTCCAAATCTTTCCATATATTATAACATTTATAAGTAATTGCTGCTTCTATATCAAACTATCTGTCCGTAAGCTTTAAAGCTTCAGTAAAAACATAAAATAAATTCCCTGCCTATTTATTAAAACATGTTATTATCAGATTTTTGTCAATATATATAAATGCTTTTTGTCTAATGTGGAAAACGAGCATAACTTCTTCTGCTACTGATATAATATACGTTGATATGTTGATGCTCTGACTTTTATTACTGTTATCTGTTATACACATTTAGATGATAGTTTATGTATAGAAGGTCTCTATCCTTATGGTAAAGGTTTATGTTATGTTATGTTAACTCAAAAGCTCAGCATTCCCTGTCCCCTAACCACTTGGCCACCACTCCCACTTGCTTCGATGTAGTGTGGTGTACAGGTGACCAGCTTGTGGCTTTGCTGAGGTGTCATAGAAGCCCATGTTGCCATAATAGTGGCCTTAAATTTGTCTGCATTGTTGAAACTGTTGTGTTTTATGTTCTTTTTCAAAGTAACCAATACATTGTGCATGTTTGTTATAGTTTTGGGTTCACAATGACAGCTACATTGGCCAGATTCCTTGGTGATTTTTTATTTTAGTGGGACCTACTTATTAAAGGAAAAATGGTAAATAGCCTATAATGATGTAGTGCCTTTACAAGTCAGGGGACTTCAAATCACTTTAGATTACATTAATTCATTAATTTCTGTCATTTATTTAGTGGTGGCCTAGTGGTTAGAGCATTGCCTTGGGTTCCATAAGTTCTTAGTTAAAGTCCCAGTCATTTCCACAGGCTGCCACTCTGGGTCCCTGAGCAAGACCCTTAACCTCAGAATGCTCCCCAGGCGCCACACAATGGCAGCCCACTGCTCCTCAAGGGGAGGGGATGGGTTAAATGCAGAGCATGAATTTCCCCATTGTGGGACAGTAAAAAGATTTATATTGAATTACATTCACATATTGATGGTGGTAAGCTACATTGTAGCCAGAGGTACCTTGGGACACACTGATAGAAGTGTACACAGGCGCAACCAAGCCATCTGATCACCACCCAAATATGTAATGCTGGTGAAGTATTAGATATATATATATATATAAACTAATAAATAATAATAAATTAAATTCTCCAAAAGTTATTCATGGGATTTAGGTATTCCTAGTTGGTCCAGCACACCTATATAATGGTCATCAGATCATAATACTTCTTTCAGATGTCCAAGTCATACTGGAAAATAAATCAGCATATGTTTGTCACGGCAAAAAAGCACAACATATTCTAAAATTTCCTGATTCTGTCACCCTTCCGGACTCTACAACCTGCGATTAGAAAATTGAAATTCAGTATTTAATACAGTTTAAACTTGTTCCTTCGAAATAGGTACCCACAATCATTTAAACCAGTGTGAAATGTTACCGATGTGTCTCCTGTGTACATCTTTTTCCCTTCACTCAACTTTCTATTATAATTGTTGGTTCACAACTCCGTGGTTACAGCCAGCTTCTACTTAAGAAACAGTATTATGAGGCTTTCCCTTCTCCAAAGGTTGCCGGTGACTGCCTGCAGGACAACTGTTCAATAAGCATTCTTTCCTAAAATTATATAGGGCATAATATGACTTAGCAGTTTAGAATGTATTTTTCTGAAAAACCAGAAAAGACTAGTAAAACAAAGGAATAATAAAGCCAAGGGTGTTTAGCAGTGACTTTTTAAAACCTCTACATGTAAGCAGTTGTAGCAAGGTGGAGCACGATTGATAGCATGAAGGATAAAAAGCAAACTGTCATTCCCATCCATGCTTTTTACTGGCAGTTATTTGTGTGGACAGGTGGGTGGGTCTCAGCGTGAGTGAGAAGCTTTCTCTGCTCTGCCAGGAGCCAGGATCAGGCCAGGTAGGGGACCTGGATGTGACTTCACACCCACTGAGGATGCTCTGAACTGGGAAGACTCTTCCAAGGTATCCCCTCTCAACAAAGATATGGTAAGAATCCAAACTCAGATAGCAGCTTCACACATCCAAATCCCAGAGGCTTTCCTCTGTGCTCATAGTTGGTATATCTGTTGGTCATTTTGGTGTCTTTGGTTTGTAATTATCCCATTAGGAGTTAAGACTGTAGAAACCCTTTGTGACAAAGCTAATTATGGGTGCTTCTGCATCTCTCTAATTGTTAAGGAGATTAGAGGGAAATGTTGAATTGAATCCTAGCATTAATATTTAATGTGCTAAAGCTGTCCATAGGGGGCGGTTCCCAGTGTGGAAGCTACTAACAGATGGAAAGAGGAAGATTCTGCTCCCTAAAAGAAAATCAACCACCTCAATTCCTTAATGAATTTTCCATTTTTGCATTAGAATAACATTTTAAATACATTTGTTGTAGAACAAATCCATCCACTCTAACAGGGTTTAAGCAGTGTTTTTACGCATATACAAGTTGAGACTGATTTCTTGTTATCCATCCTACAGCACACAGATTGTGGTATACACTGCAGTTCAGTTTTTGGTGACTATTTCTTGGTTTTACCTATCCCTCATTTTCCTACGTTCTACATTCTCCCCACACCAAATTCAATGACTTTTATATTGGATTTAGAGGTTAGAACAAAACCTATCCCAGTGCTGCACCAAACCTACCCCATATGAAAACACAGAGAGGGCAGCATCATGCTGTGGGGGTGTTTTTTCTCAGTAGGGAAATAAAAGTGGGTCAAAGTTGTTAGGAAGGCGATAGAACTAAATACAGAGCAATCCTGGAAGAACAGCTGTTGACTGGAGCGAAAGTTCACCTTCCGGAAAGACGAAGCCTCTAAATATACAACCAATGCTACAGTCGAATGGTTTAAATCAAGGGTGCTAAAGTCCAGCCCTAAATAGCTACCATGCTGTTACTTTTAGATGCATCTCTTTTCTAACACACCTGAATCTAAAGGTTCAATCTTGTAGTATAGCTCAGCAAAGGCATGGTAATGAGCCACTCATTTGATTCAGGTGTGTTGAAAATGGGGCAAATCAAAAAGTTGAGGACTGGACTTGAGTTTAAAGCAAAGCAGAGTCATCTAATAGAGTGGACCAGTCAAAGTCCGGAGCTAAATGTAATCCCTTTCAAGAGGCAAGATTCAAATTGACTTTTCATTGATGCTCAATTTGTATAAGTCTCTCCTATTTTTTCCCCCTAGAAGATAAACTGGAGCAATACTGATAAATGAATGCTGTTACTTCTGTTGCCTTTTTTTCTTTTCTTTTTAATGTATAACATGATGTACATTTCAAGCCATGCTTAGATTTTGGCTAACTGGACTGAAATGGTCAATCAAAACCAATAATCAGAAAGAGACACTTCATCTGTTCCAAACTTTTACTGCTTATTTTGAAATGCTGGTTTCTACCTTTTAATTTAAATTGGAAAAATTATAATTTATTAAAAAGAATATTTGATACCTTTCTTTTTTACCATAAGCTTGTCAAACCCAAGCACTTTATTTATATATATATATATATATATATATATATATATATATATATATATATATATATATATATATATATATATATATATATATATTTTTTTTTTTTTTTTTTTTTGTTTTATAATTTTTTTTTTAAATGTTTTGCTGTTATTTGTAAGTAACAGCTCCAACTTCTAAGCTTTCATTCTATTTTTTTTTCTTTTCATTTTCCTAAACCTTTTCCCCTCCCATTGATTTTTGTTTTGTTTGTTTTTCCATCTGATTACATCTCAGTCCTCTGATTCGCCACTGGGCAGATTCCTCACTGCATTTTAATTGGCCATTTAATTAGATCACACTTTTAGTCCAATTAGACCAGAGGTGTTTGGGAGGGAGGATGGGTATAGTGGATGGAGGAGGAAAGAGAGAAAAAGTCCTCAAGCTGATCTATCTGTCTCCCAACCCCCCAATTCATGTTCTCTCCACTTCTTTTTTATATTTCATTATTTTGTTACTCGCCTTGCTGTCCACCCCCTTCTCTTCTGCAGGCGTCTCATTAGCGATATAATGCAATGACATTAAATGCACCGCCTCTCTTACTTTGAAAGTGTCTGGAGGAGTGGCTGAGATGCATAGACAATCTGAGATGGACTCTATCGCTGATTTTGGTTAACATGTCTTTAGACAGTGGTCCTTCTCTTCCAGCAGATAACGCAGACATAAACACACTAAAAACCGTGAACTGGACTCAACCCTTCTGAGTCAGTGCAGTGTTCCAGTATAATATAATGTCTGATGAAGCTAAAAACATGCCGATCAAATGCAGGCCTGCTCTATGCCTGGAGGACAAAATAAACACTTTGTTGTTTATTCTATGTAGGTTAGACTCTATGCTCCACAACACTTTGCCCACTGTTTATCAGTAGGCGCAAATAGAAACCAACACATGCAGATGTATGCAAATACTCACACATAGACCTGGTTATTTGTGCAAACATAAAACAAAGTTAAACACGGCATCATCCCACTCCTACCCAAACGATGCAAAACCAACATCTATTACTAGAAATATGGACGACGAATCTAGTCCGAAGTTTACATCATTCATCATTGAAATGAATAAAGCGTAAAGATGCAGCTAATTGCTCACCGCTGTCCTTGTTTATCCTGATCCCACCTGTGTTAAAAGTGTGTGTGCTTAAACGTCTTTGCTATTTTAAATCTGAGAAGTGGAGTGATCAAACATCCAACCAAACATTAAAGCCATATTATTGAGGTGCAAGATGCTAAGTGATATTCAAACTAATGCTCGTTGGGGTGTTTTTACAGCAAACATTAAAGTTATACAGCCTACCAACAGGGAAAAGCACTTTAGATGAATGGATAAAAGTCTTAACTAAAAAGCGTTTTCATGTTGATGAGTGTATGGAAACCTCTGACTGTTTCATGTGTGGAACAACAGGAAGCAGGCAAGCATGTTTTAGCCATAGGCATCGCACGCTGACCCCCGTGGCTGTGAGATTGACAGCTTTAGTCCCGCCTAATTGCATTACTCTCCCAGGTGATTGGCTCACGCCCCAGGGGCTCATTTGTCGGGATGCACTCTGGTAATGATGTAAATTAGCAGATCTATATGTCACTCAGCCCGCTTGCCTCCTGCTGATTGGCCCCGCTGTGCCCCCGGGGCTCGGCCCCCAACCAGTTGAGGGAGCCGGCTCATTGGTCTTTGGGGATCTGTGGAGTCCCCCAGAAATAGTGCTTTGCAGATTGGCCATCCCTCTGGACTGATATTATCCTTCCTCCTACCTCTTTACCTGTCAGTCAAAACCTGGGGTTGGTTTCCTGCAGCGTGTATCTTTTTATCTGAGACATACAGACCTGTTCTGAAACACACGCACAGAGGAACATGTAGGTGGCCTAGACAGCAGATATAATAACCCCACGTCGACTGAGAACTTAAACACACTCTGTCATGACTCATAAACTGTAAATCTGTGTGTTTTTTACTCGAGCAATTTATATATGGGTTTGTGTGGCCCCCAGGTTTACCCAGCATGTCAAGGCTCTCGTCTGTCAAAAGCAGACACCTTCACAGTGATGGACAGCCAGAGGACCATTCAGAAAAAAAAAACGCACTGCACAAATGCACTGGTTTCTTTACCTGCTTGTCTCAATGGCATCTATTGACATGCTGGTTAGGGTTTGAGTGCATGTGGAGGCTGCCCAGTGTGTTTGTGTGCTGCACACCTGTAGTGTCGCTGAAAGGTCTCAGGGAAGTGTCTGGATTCTTTGTTAAAGTCATAAAGTGGTTATATGAGCCGGAATATGAATAAAGACTAAATAATGTCAGCATCAGCATGAGTCGATACTCATACAGATGCACAATCACTTGGTCAGGACCTCAGCCGCTGATCGATGGTTTGCTCTGAGTTATTGTCTTCTTATTAACAAGCCGAGCGCTCCCCGAGGAACACGTATGAATAGCTAAATGAGACCACTCCAAACCTCTCAACGGGTACTTGTGTTGTTTTTACACCCTCCTTTGTTTGACTGCAGACACTGCATCTCAAAGAGCCTTTTTAGCCAAATTTGGACGCACGGTGGGTGTTTCTAGAGCGCCGCGTTCCTTCTGAAACTCTAACTGGCTGCGTATGGCGGTTATGAATGTCCCACACACGGCTTCAGGTATTGACTTGTACTTCTCATGTCACTTTTTGGCCGAATGATCACTTTTTTTTTTTTTTTTTGCTTTTAAGATTATTCATAATTGATTTGCTTTGTTCCTTCAGCAGCTGGAGCCTTTCAGGTAGACTTGACAAATGTAAAGAAGAGCCACTGTCTTGCAAAAGTGTTTAGACCTCTTGAACTTTTCTATTTTTGTCATGCTGTATAAAAAATAAAAATCTCTGGATCTTATCAGGATTTTATCTTATTGACCCACGCAAATAAAATAATGCATGTTTTGTTTTACTTCTTCTCAAATAATATCTTAACCTAAATGTTCGCTTGCATCGAGAGGGTTTTTCCATACCAGAACAGGTTCAAGTTTTTACAATATGCTGAATAATAAAAGCAAATATTTATTTTTATTGATTTATTTTTACCAACTGCATTAAATACTGACTGAACATCCAAAAAAAGTTTTTTTTTTTTCACACATTGTTTTAAATATAACAAAACAGAAACCTATAAGGTTATGGAAGAGAAAAAAACAGATGAACAGATATGCAACAGGATATGTCGCTCTTACAGACTGTTACACTTTACTGTCCTTTTTTTTTAAATTGAAGTTGAAGGTAGCTATGATATAGCTGTCTGTTTTCAAGACAGTAAAGCAATCAGAGGATGGATTAACACTTTGTGGTTTTAGTAATGCTTCTAAATGGAGGACTATTAAAACGGCTCCATGAAGTGAATCAACTTATATTAGCCCCTCAAAATGTATATAATGTATTTTTTTTATATTATGTTACAACTGTCTTATTTAATGCCTTCATCTTCCTAGCACATTGTGAATATTTGGTTGAGAAGTTGATGCTGCTTGATGTTGCATTTTGCAACCATATCTCCATTCAAAAGTGTAAAATAATCTCAGGTGGAATTCTGTTTGAATCATTTCTGATTTCGGTTTTGGCAAGCCTACAGCAAGATTATTTTTCTAAAACTACTACTATCATGGGTATAAGGAACTCTGGACTGCTGTGCTGAATTCGGTCAGCCTTGCGGACTCCATTATACGAAGGAAACACACATTTTTTATGTTTAGATTTTCCTTTGATGGTAAACAATATTACTTTAGTTCACAGGCAAAACTTTTAAATATCAATAATTTAGTTTCATTTTTTATATGTAATCCTATTATTTTAATGTGTCATTTTTGTTTTTCTTGACTTAATGTCACTGATGTACTTTTCTTTTTTTAATTTATAGCACTTTAAATCATCTTGCAACTAAAATGTGCTATGTAAAGTAAAGCCTTGCCAATCAAATCAGGGTCATGAAACAAAAACTACAAAAACCCACTTAAACAAATATAGCACACGACTGGAACCCCAAACACATGAAATTGTGTAAATGTGCATGTGTCACACAAAGTACAGGAGAAGAAATAATGTATTTTTCATAATTCCATGAGGCAGGCTGTGCCATTATGTCATGCCTTGCAAAGCATTGTGGGAAACTGTATAGCTCCTTTGCCCCAGATTGGATTGTCAGGTGGCCTCTTGAAGCATCTTGCTTCTTCTTCCTTGATGTGGACATGGGCTTTTTAACTTGAAATAACTTGGAGTTCTTATTTGAGTCCAAATAATCTAAATAAGAACAGAGTATTAAAATATAATTCCCCTGCTATATATATGTTTCAGTGACTCCTGAGTGATTATGACTTCTTAATTACATAGAATTTAAACAACAGGTCTTGGACCAGACTTTGGATTTGTTAGTTTTGATATGATTTTATCAACTTAAGATTTATTTGAGATTTGATCACACAGTATTTATTCCAATGACTTGGTCCAACCTCTGGCATAGTTCTGGTTTAATCCAACCAGCACTACTGTATAGTGGAGTGGCTTTAATCAAAGCACATTCATTTACTACAGTGACTAGGTTCCCCCTTAAGTATAAACAGAGTCCAAATGTTCAGGATACTTCCAGATTTTTATTTGTAAGAGTCTGAAAACTTGTTTGTCTAACATTTCAGTGAAATACACAAATTAATGTAATTTAGGTAGATAATGTGAGGTAGAGGAATCGTTTTGCAGGACACTTAAAAGTTCAAATTTAGGTGATGAATACTGTTTAACTTAAAAAATAGTAATAAAGCATTTGTTGTTTCTGCACATGTTTAATATTAGTAATAGAAGGCTCCATGCGTGTATGTGCGCATTTCTGACTGAGCAATCCTTGGTAATTAGAGATGTTTAGAGAGGCTTGTGGTTAATCTTGGTGAAGTGGCCGTAAAAACTCTCTGCCTCTCACGGAAGATCGCTTTCCATGACGCGGCACATGGGCCAAGTACTCACGCAGCGACATAATCACACACACACCTTTACAATGCGGCATCTTCCATTTCTTTTCTACCATCCTCTTTTTCACACACAAGGATGTTCTTTGCATCAGGTCCCCACCACCGCTTGGCAGAGCGTGAGAAAACAACAAGCATGACAAGTAATTGCCGTGCTGCACGCAGTGTCTACATTAGCGCTGTTTATGAGGGGGACCAAAGGGAGAAAGAGAGGAAAATAAAGCATCAACCTGAAGTACTTTCATTCATTTAATTGATCAGTTTTTTAAGAATTTAGTTATCAAAAAACTTTAGTAGTTTAGATAAGGTTGGGAAAAAATTATATTTCAAGACTTTTTCTAGTTTAATAATAAACATCTGCAGCCACTTTGTTATAATGCTGCCAATAAAATAAAAGGATTGCATCCATCCATTCCCGTTTAATTCAATTCAGTTTGATTTATTCATATGATGCAATTTAATAATTCAAGTTCATTCTGTTCACTTTATTTATATAGTGCCTATTCAAAACACGTGTCATCCTAAGGTCCTTCACAGAGACAATTTAAACATATCATGCAGTCAGATTGGTTCTAAGTTTTCTAAGAAAAACCAGACATTGTATTGAGTCAAAGACTTGCAGGATTCTTTCCTCCTGGATGAGGATGTGGAAACAGTAGACGTTCACTTGCATCATGTCATTGACTCTACAGCAATCCTTCACACTGAGCATACATGTAGTGAGGAGAAAAAAATCCCATTTTACAGGAAAAAAAAAAACTTCAGTAGAACCAGGCTGTTTTAATCATCAAACTTTTATCTGATTTTTTTTTTTTGGCATCAAACAAGTTTTTTATTATTTTATTTCATAAGAATGTAAAGATATTTTTCATTTTCATGCATTTAATAAATCTAGATTTTTATTTTTTTTTTATGACTCCAGATTTTCACTAATTGGAGCCCTGAAATGGAAACATTTGTCAGATTCCTCTTTCTGGGTAATTGATTGTTGCATCTTTAGTGTTAAATCAGTTCTCTTTTCAGGCCTAGTGATGAAATAGTTTTGGGGGGGAAAAAACAACATCTTATTGTAAGGAAGAGTTTGTGCCTCGAGCGTTTATGTGTTTAGGGGCAATAATTGATTTCTATGTTTTGCCCCACAGGGCTCATCCCACATCTTCCAACCCCAACACACACATACACTAACACAGCCAGGCCTGCTGCAGTATTAATGAGACATGAATAAGACATGAAGAGAGACCCCCCTCCTACATGCTCACACAGGGCCCCCCCCCCCCTCCCCAGATGCTTCCTGTCTGCAGATTACCCAGCTTTCACTGGGTTCTGGTTAAGTGGGGCCAGGAAGAGATTTAACCCCCTCAGCAGGAGGAGACACCCAGCATACATGTATCAGTGTGCAGACACACACACCTTATGCTGTCAGTCCACATCACTTCTTTTATAAAGTTATTGGAAAAAGCGTATTAATGTGCTTGAGGTGTGAATGAATAACTCCAGATGGTAACCGAAGTCATCTAACAGCTTTAAAATGTAGACATAAATTAAATAGAAACATTTTAATGTAAAAAAAAAAATGCTTTCAATATTCAAATAATTCTATACATTTAAGCCTGAAAAATGTGCTTGAGGCAATAATATTAAAACAAATCAAAAAGAATGCGAGCGGCATGACTCTAAATAAAACGTCGTTGAAGGACCTTTACATTTCATTTCAGCATTCAATTTTCTTTAGTTGGAGTCTCTCAGCTTTACCTATTCCAATTCTAGTGGACTTTTTTTTTTAGATTAATACAAGGACACACAATGACAATGGAAATATTCAATATTCAGTCCAACTCTTGTTTTTTAAGGAAAAATAGCCTTATACCATGATACCACCACCCCTGTGTAAAACTTCAGGCCAATGTCTTTTCTGAAGAACTGCTCTCTTTAATCAGATATAAGGAGAATATAGAAGATTGTTATTTTATGTATATACCTTTTGTGCTGCCTTCTATCCTTCTGCAGACTCTGTTACCTGTTTCTTTGCCTTTTTTGGTTGATATAATGTTTTGAACATTTTTAACCTCTCTGTGAATTAAAGCTGTAGCTAAAGTGTCAGGAAACGACCAACCAGGACACCTGAACTTTGTTTCAAATTGACTAGATTAGCTAGAATTAGTGGTAAATGTGAACCCAGGAAGACCAAACGCTAAAGATAAGATCAACATTGCTCTAACCATGTAGAAGTATTAGTGGAGCATATTATTATTAGTTTGATTAAATTGTTTTGTCACTTAAACCTAGGCTTGATAGAGTTGTATTGCTTTTTAGATCTACTGTAGATTACTCTATTTGTTCAGGCTAAAGAGGAAATGCTAATTAAAACCCACTTCCACTCCAGATGAGCTAAAAAGATGTATGTATCTGCTCTCCAAAGTTTGTCTTAATTCAGGCCATCTTTATAAAGAGCTGGTGATGTTGCTCAGAGCGAGGTGGACGGACATAAAACTGTATAGGCTCATTATATTCCCCATTTAATAAGTGAGCCTGTGTTGCTTTAGGTTGAGTTGTAACCTTCGGCGTGTTTTTGTTGCAGGCTTCAGCGGTGTCCAGCTCAGGATCAGCTTCCCCCGGCTCGCAGGTTCACGCGGCAGCTGTCAATGGGGATAGGAGCGCCCTCGTCAAACTGATCACAGGTCAGAGACGGCTGGCTGGCATTCATCTTGAATCTTCAGTTGCTCCCTCTCCTTATCGCTGCACCCTTTCAGTACATCTACTGGATTTGAGTAAAAAGACTTAAATGTGTTCTCAGTTGCTGCAGCTTCATGCAACTGAGAAATATATAACAGCCCAACATTTAATTACATAATCTGTCTCAATCTGCGATGAACAATATTCCAGAGAGTCACAAATATCAGCGGGAATTTTTCTTTTAGTGTGAACATTTGATACCTCGTTGATTCATCTGATTTGCGTTTTTAGGTTAAAGAACAAACATACGCCCTATTTAAGGAGAGAATAAAGAAACTTTGTGGATGACATTAAGGTCATTTGAAAACATTTTCAAATTTGAAAAACTAAAGCACATAGACTGCAGTCTAGTGATTCAAAATAAATGACAGTGGTTTGCTCAGACTAAACCCAAAACAAGATTCTTTCAGTTAAAATCTCAATTGAATTTGGCAGAATGCACAGTTTTAAATTTGATTTTGTAGAAGAAAAAAAAGGCTAATTCCTGGTATGCCTTTAAAGAAACTAACTACCCTTTCTCTTTATCCTCCTCCAGCTTTGTGAAGCTTTGAATTATTACTTAGTCTGTGTATATAGGAAGGTTTAAATGAGAAGCGGTCTCTCCTATTGCATTTCCTGATTAAAAATGATCAGCACAAACTACCTAACTTAAATGGCTCATCTTGTCTTTGCTATTTTTAGTAGAAAAGATAAGCTCCTGTTTTATATCATACGCCAAGGATTTGGAAAATCATGGATAAATCATTAAACGCTTTAAGATTAACGTAAAATGCAAAGTATAAAGAAATAAAAAACTCTAAATAGTAATAGAATAATTATATGAATTCCTTTAGATGGCCAAAGAAAGCTGTAATAGTCAGAGCAGAGTTTTTTTGTGGATTCAAAATGTACTTTTTTGGAACTAGTAGCCTTTATCTGTATTAGGCAGGGATGAAATGAGCAGAGAGGAAAGGGGAGGACATGCATTAAAGATTCTCAGAGTTAGGAGTTAGCCTCTGCATATGTCTGGATGCTCTATCTCTAAAACAAACTGCATCCCATCTTAACATATCCTCCCAAATCTGTGTGCAGCCGAGCCACAGTTGAGGGACCATGAGGACCAGTTTGGGCGCACCCCTCTGATGTACTGTGTGCTGGCCGACCGACTGGACTGTGCTGAGGTTCTGCTGAAGGCCGGATCCTCGGTCAACAAAACAGACCACAGCCAGAGGAGCGCTCTGCACCTTGCAGCGCAGAAGGTACAGACACACCCTCAAACATTCACCTTTTCACGTCTAAAATGTTTGTTGTAAATTTGGTAAACCATAAGGAATAATAAAAAAAAACATGTCAGTCAAGATGAAAGTGGTGTTAAATCAGCTCTAGTAGGGAACTAGTGCCCCCTAGTGGCTGCAACAATAACCTGAGGGTTTATTGAGTGACATGTATTGATTGAACACAAACACTGCAGCTGTGAGTTTTTAAATCATGCTATCATACTCCCACATGTTAAAATGGACAAGTGGGAGCATCCTTTTTGGGAAGTGATGTGGCAAAAATGTTCACCACCTCTTTTATCACCAAGTAGGGTCTACTTTTAACGCTGGATCATCATATCGTTAGGACGAGAAGAAGAAGAGATGGAAGGTAATAGGTTATTGGTTAGGGTCTCAGCGATTTCAAGTGTGTAGGGGTGTGTGTGTGTATGAGAGTTGGGGGGGGGGGAGGTACAAGTGATTGGAAGCCCTGTCTCTTTGACATCTGATCAATAAGCGGCTGAGACAGCAAGAGAGACCAGGGATTACTGATCTAATTGGACTGAGAATGGAGAGGACAGGATTACACACACACACACCGATCCACCCATACAAACACGCGTGCTCTCTTTCACAGTCCAGATGCATGCTCACACACAAGATAGATCTGTCAGACTGTGGCTTTTGCGATCTCAGAAAGGCAAATATACAAAAAGCGCCCGCATGTGTGCACGGCCTGAGCTCTTCGCTGCAATGCATCACCCAGGGGGCCTGGTAGTTAAAGAGGCCAGGAGTGAGGGTGATAATGATGTGGAGGGGGGGTGACAGGCAGAGACGTGGCCGCTGTTTACTGTTTAACAGCTCATCACAAGCGCTGAGGACCGAGGCAGGGGGACGGGAACGAAGATGGATGACCTGCGGATTGAAGCAGACGCGGCTGAAAAAAAAACAGGGTGCATGGGGCCCCCGGGGTTGGGGGGAGTATGGGTGACACTGCTACTGGTTCATAATATTGAGAAGAATGGCTGATTTCTGAGATTTCTCATCAGCATGGTGTGTTTTGTTGGTGTGTTTGCAGGGAAACATGCGTTTCCTGAAGTTACTCCTGTCCAGACGGGCCAACTGTCTGCAGAAGGATTTGGAGGGAATGACCCCTCTCCACCTGGCCACCCGACACCCATCTCCTAAAGCCCTCGCACTGCTGCTGAAACACATCGGGCCTGGAGAGGTGGACATCCAGGATAAGAATAAGGTTCTAGAAAACACACACAGATATAATAGAAGCTTTTTATAAAGACTATTTTAATTGAATTTTCTGAATAGAATGACATTTTAATAACCAGAAATATTTTTTAGAGCTATTTTCCTTTTATTAGCTTGGATATTATGTTTTATTATAAAAAAAAAATGTATACACCTTAAAGAAGTCAATCCATGCTACATCTTTATGCATTGTTTTATGTTTTTTCTTGATAAAATAAATAAATAAACTGTTGGCTGTTTAAGATGGCAACAGAAATAATAATACATGTTTTATTAAAAAGTTATAGAAAAGGTTTCAGAACCCTGGCATATGGTGCATGGTTTTTGTGCCATAGACCATAACAAAGTAGTCCATAGTTTTAAAGTGTAAAGAAAATAACGAATTTACAATCAAAACTCTGAAAATGTTTTATTTCATTTGTATTCGGCTCCCCTTACTCTGACACCTCTGGATAAAATTCAGTGTAAGCATCCACTTTCCAGAGTAATCATAAATGGGGTCCTCATTTAACCCCATTTTACAGCCAGCTGCTCTGTCAAAGCTTCAGCGGTTGTGGAGAGGTTTATAGCTAGATTAGGTTATAAGATTATATTAGCAACACTGCAAAAACCTCCGGAAAATTTGTCAGAAATTTCTTATTTTAAATGTAAATTGTCTTATTCCATTGGCAGTGTCTCATTTACCTGCTCAAGTCAAGGAACAAGGCAAGGCACATTTATTTGTATAGCACAATTCAGTACAAAGACAAATGCAAAGTGCTTTACATGATTAAAATAAGGTAAGTAAAACACAATCAGAGCAAGAAGAAGAAATAAAATGCACTTATTTGAAGAAAAATTGACTGATTTACATTTTTTTGCTATGAAGTCCTGAACATCTCAAAAAGCACTGATGGAACATTTCTGCCAGAACTCTAAACCTACCAGAACAGAGCAGAAGATGCTTGGACCGACTTGCACCAACCTTTATCCATCACATGAACTCCAAAAAAAAAAAAAAAAAGCATTGAAAAGTTAAGCTGTAATACACTAAAATGTAAAAATCATAACGGTATGAAATACTTTTTCCGCTGTAGTGTCTCAGTTAGAAAACATCCAGTCTAGGCGTCTACCCAATGACCTGAAGAGAGATAACTGACCGGCTCAAGACGGTTTCCTCAAATCGTTGCACACAACAGCAAGCGCTCCAACAATCTGCGGCTTTGTTCTCTATTCTCCTGATAAGACCACAAACACACTGTCTCCTCTGTCTGCAGGAGCTGATGGGTATCTGACATCAGTATTTAGTTTTGTAATAATCCAATATGCATCATCGCGTCAGATGATGGTGGTTTCAGCCCATCTCAAAATAGCCGAGCAGCCGTCATGGAGTTTGTATCTTGGTTAGAATCTCCGCCTCGGCCCTTCAGTGTGAGCTTTGTGTTGTACGTTCCTTTATTTTCCCTGACCGTGTCATAGTGGAGTCATTTTTCTGAAGCTCTCTGTCTCCTAAGACTTCATTCATCCATTCATTCATTCATCTATATATTTTTTATTTCCTGTTTACAGCAAACTGCTCTTCACTGGTCAGCGTTTTATAACCGACCAGAGCACGTCCGCCTTCTCATCAAGCATGATTCCAACATTGGCATCCCGGACAGTGAGGGGAAGATTCCTCTGCACTGGGCTGCTCATAGTCAGGAGGCCAGCGCCACACAAACTGTCCGCTGCATACTGGTAAATGCTAAAGGGCACTTATATGCAGAAATTAACTCGATCTGCACACCGTCTCCCATCAGACTGCATATATTTTTCCTCTTCTTTTTTTTTTTTTGTATTGTTGTGTGTAAAGGAAGCAGCACCCACAGAGTCCCTGCTGAACTGGCAGGACTATGAGGGCCGGACGCCTTTGCACTTTGCTGTTGCCGACGGTAACAAGGCAGTGGTTGAGGTATTAACGTCCTATGAGGGTTGCAATGTCACAGCGTATGATAACCTCTTCAGGACGCCACTGCACTGGGCAGCACTGCTTGGTGAGTAAAAACACAGCCCTATAGGTTCTCTGTTACTGTGGTTTGGACCGACTTATCCCAGCAGCTGTCAGATAAGTGACGATGACAATTTGTGTGGACACTTATGATGCAGTTCCTTCAGAGGAAAATGAGAAAGTAGATTTTAGTGTTCTAGTTTATTGTGAGATTATGGAGAAACCTGTATATTCCTGGCTTGAATCCCAATCAGATCCTTTAAAATGTTACCCTTCTCTCTTTCCTTTCTTCTCTCTTAACTTTTTTCATCCTTGTGCCCTTCCTGTGGTTCTGCATCCCTTCCTTCCTTCTATCATTCCATCCTTTTTCCTTCCTTCTGTCCTTCGTTCATAATTTAAATCCTACCTCCCTTCCTTCTCTTTCCTTCCTCCTTTTACGCTGATCCTTGAATGTCTCCTTTCTTGCTCTGTATCTTTACTTCCTCACACATGCCCCGCTACATTCCTTCTGTTCTTCCTTACTTGTCTAGTTTCTTTCTTTCTTCCTCATGAAGTTCCTTCTTCCCTTCCTTACCTGTGTCCTTTTTCCTTCCCGTCTCCTTCATTTATTTTTTTCTATTATTTCCTCTGTGTTCTACTTCCTCCCTTCTTTAATTATTTTCTTGCTTGTATACATGTTTTTGTGTGTTCTAACTACTTTCTACCTTAGAAACACAAGCCAAAAAGCCATGGTGAACCTTATTATTTTACGTTTTAAACTAAACTTAAAGGCCTGAGCTCTCTGAAAATCCAGCTCAATTCAATAAAAAAATAATTGATAAATTGTGAATGAAAAATGGAATAGATTAACATCTCTTATTAGATGTAATAGTGTCTGGAAAAGTCAAACTTTTAACATGTCATATTTAAGTAGGCTCTCTGAGAATGTTAGTATAAGCTGCTGCTGTTTTTATGTTTCATTGTAATGCAAGGAATTTAAATGTACAAGATTTATGATCACTAAAAGTATATAGTATATGTAAAGTATATATATAGGATTTTTGCACAGGTTATTGCACTGAGATATTGCACAGGGTATTAAATAGTGATTGCACATTACTTTTTGCAGAAGTTATTGCAGTTATAGTACCACATTGTAAAGTCTGATGGGAGCAGGGATGAATGACTTGCGGTAGCGAGAACGCACAAACTTTTTGAATCCCCTCCTGATCGATTTTATTGGATATTTTTGACAGTGTGGTTCATGTCTCTACCCCTCTAACATCATATCTTCCCAATATTAATAAACACAGGACATGCAAAAATTGTCCATCTGCTGTTGGAGAGAAACACATCGGGGACAATTCCTTCAGACAGCCAAGGAGCGACGCCACTGCATTATGGGGCTCAGAGCAACAATGCTGTGAGTTTAACACGGTTTCCTCTAACCTTCTCTAGCTGTAGGGAAGAAAAAGCCTGTGGTATTAAAAACCTGCTGGTGATTTGGGTGCATCTTTATGCTCAAGCTCAGCAAAGAAAAAAAAAGGTTTATGTCAGTGAGTCCAGTGAAGACCATCAATAGATTGCTGCTGTCTTTCTTTGCACTTGCAGGAGACTGTTGGTGTATTTCTGTCTCACCCATCTGTGAAAGATGAACCTGACCTGGAGGGACGGACAGCCTTCATGTGGGCCGCCGGGAAGGGCAGTGATGACGTTATCCGCACAATGCTTGCCCTTGCCACCCGGATCGACATCAATATGGCTGACAAATACGGCGGCACCGGTGAGAAACGCTGGACCGCTTCAAACCAAGCCTTGCATAAGGCCAGCATAGTGCTCAAATCCATTACATACTGTGTTTGTATGATCAAAATGGCTGTATCCCATTGAACAGCAGCCAGGCAGGCAATGTTCATATATATATAAACATCTTCATCAGTCATAGTTATAAGCTGGATTGTACAGCGGTAGAAATGACCGGATCCCAAATCAGTTTTCACTCACATGACTGGATGCTCATTAGATGCCCTCTGTTTAGCTCCAGCCAATGGGAGAGCTGATTTTAAGTCGATAAGTGAAGAAAGAGGGAGAAGAGGAAGGCGTTTAGTATCGATTGCTGGATCTTTAAAGGTGATTTTTGTCTGTTTGTGTTTAATCAGCGCTTCATGCAGCCTCCCTGTCCGGCCATGTGAGCACAGTGAAGCTGCTGCTGGAGAAGGGAGCCACAGTCGACTCACTGGATGTCATGAAGCACACACCACTCTTTCGTGCCTGTGAGATGGGATACAAAGATGTTATCCTCACTCTCATCAAAGGTGACGCCATAGTTCTCCAAAGTCTTTCACTTTTTGATACTTTTTTTATTTTATATGATAGACCTACACTAAGTAGTATGTAATGTATAGTTTTGGATAAACACATGTGCATTTAGCTCTCTCCCCCATAAGCATGCTCTATAACGACATTTGCAGGTCTTTTTTTGGGTTTGTCTCCACTAACAACTTGAAACAGATGTTGTTTTACAAATTTAAGCTTTAGGTCAGTCATCGGATAAAGAATGTCTGCTAATATTGGTTTAGCCCCAACACATGTATATGTGCTGATCTAAACCCTTCTAGCTCTGTCTGTATGTTCAAGGTTGTCATCCTGCTGGAAGGGGAACGTCTGGCTCAATCTCAAGTCTGTTCATCTTTCCATCTAAGGCTACGTTCACACTGCAGCATGAAGTGACCCAAATCCGATTTTTGTGCCAATATGCGACCTGTGTCTGATCTTTTAATGAATAGTCTGAACAAGACAGATCCGATTTTTTCCAATACGACCCAGGCCACTTGGCTATGTGGTCCTGAATCCGATACGAATCTGATCTTTTCAAATGCGTCGTGTGTGAACGGCCAGATCGGATTCATCCGACCTGATCGTCATTAATACCCGACAAAGGTCACTATTCTGCGTCTTGCTACGCAGAAGTGGGAAGAAAACCAAACACCATGGCAGATGATGATGCGGAGAGCAGTATTTATGTTTAACCATATTGAAAAAATGTTGTTTTTATGGTTGGAAAAGACCGCTAGATGCGCGCCGGCACTACCATCCATGTATACTTCCAGAAAAAAAAGAGCATGCTGGCCTTTCACGTCATTGCGTCCTCTTCTGCGCATGCGGGACACTTGCGTTGTATAACTGCAGTTCACACAGGAGATCACATACAAGTCACATATAGTTGGAAAGATGAACGGCAACAAAAAAAAATCGGATTTCGAAAAAAAATCGGAATTGAGCATCAAGGCCTGCAGTGTAAACGTAGCCTAAGTAGCTTCCTCATTCCAGCTGATCCCCACAGCATCATGCTGCATCACTTTTTTTATTGTATAGGAGGGACGATGTTGTTAGTGTGATGTCCACTCCTAAAAAGCATTGGTTTCATCTGAGCAGAGGAAATTCTTCCATCTTTGCTTGTTTCCCATACATGGCTTTTCTACTAATATTTTTTTTTTTTTAACAGACCTTTTGTTTCTTTACAGAATTACTTTATATCCTCTTTTATTTTTTTTCTATTCATACTGATATTAAGCCACACAGTGGGGGATTGATTTGCTTATCAGACAGCCTCTATTTAGAGATATTAGAGTCACGGGGGCTGAATACATATGCATGAACATGTTTGAGTCATTGTGATAAATCCTTTTAAAAACTATGCATCTTTTTTCCACCTTTGTGTTAATCACATCTGTCACTGTTAAAATCGGTTCTTTCAGATATTTTTTTCAATGAACCATTTTGTTCAATGTATTTCCCTAACACACGAAATGCAGGTTCTGCTTGTGTTGACCTGGTCGATGTGGACGGTCATACTGCTCTCCACTGGGCAGCTCTGGGGGGGAACGCTGAGGTCTGCCAGATACTGATGGAGAACGGGATCAGTCCCAACGTACAGGTACAGGTCTAAATAGTTCACCGATTTCAAAAGCTTAAAGTACTTTAGAGTTTTGTGTCACTTTTTCAGTGCACAGCAAGAATTGATTGTATATAAATGGATAATTTCATGAAGGACCGGAGGGTGGTGCATTTGTTGCTACTTTTGACGTGAAAGGGTTTGCACCTTCATTTCATGCATGCATAGGTGAAATTGCTGGAGACCGACAGCAAACATCCCCCGTAATCTTGCATAAAAGGAAATTAAGATACAGTTTACAGGTGGAATTTAAAGTATAATAAATCAGTTAATCTACCTTTATTTTCCCCTTTCTTCTATCTGGGACTGTGTTTAAATTGTAAATGACAAATGTAAAAGAAAGACCGCTTCAGTATGGGGTTATTTGAATGATTCAGTTTATCATTTATAGTACAGCACATTTCAGAGTAATCATATCTACTATTTTCTGTTAAACTGCATGATTTTTTTTCTTTGTTTGTTTTTTTGACTGTGTGTTTTGAAAGTCTGGTTGAAACGTAATGCCTATAAATCTGTTTAACATTACCTGTAGACACCAACTATTCATTCTTGGGCCTCAGAGGCTTTATTAAAGCCTGAATTATTCAAAAATTGCACAATAAAACCTTTTCCTTGAGTTCCTAGTTTTAAAAGGCAGCTACCGTCCAAAACAAAATCTTCAAGATAGCATAAACTATTGTTGATTAAGTCCACATTAAAATCAGCATTATTTCTTCTCAAAATAATTGTGTTTCTTTCAAAGTTTTAGAATCTGAGTAAAACCACGGTAGAGGTTAAATTTGGAGGCTTTTGTCCTCTTTGCAAAGGATATAAAACTGTAAAACTATGTACAATCTATCTTTCTAACTCATGATTCTCCTGCTTTTCTCTGACTTTGTTTTTTGTTTCCTGTGACTCCCTTCTGTCTGTTTCGGAAGTCATGAGTTATTTGTGCGTGAAAAGTCTGCAGCTCATTTATTCTGAATGGAGAAATGTGCATGCTGCCAGGCTGCAAAAATTCAAAGATCGGCAACCAAGCAGCGGCAAACTAGTTAAAGAAGAACTTCTTCTGTGATTAGATTAGGTTCTATAGAGCCACTTCATCTTAACCGTGAGCTGAAACGATACCGTTCTACCTCACATCACCACTCACTGATCAGTGAAGTTTGGTGTGTTTTATACCAGGCAGGAACAGCTTGGTCACAGTAGATGGTTCCTGAGGGGGTGGCTAATAACTGTCCTCCATAAAACAGCAATTATCTGGTGAAAACTTGTTTTTACTTAGATAGGGAGGAGTCTGCCGTTCAGAAAGCAACATTTATGAGGATTACTCAGAAATGCATAAATTCAGATGCTTTGGGTATGATTTAATGATGGAAAGGTATATTTAAGCGTAAAAACATTTGTATTCCATGATATGTGGCCCTTTGAACTAACCTTCCATTTGTTCAATTTGGTTTCAGGATCACGCAGGACGCACTCCGCTGCAGTGTGCCGCATATGGTGGTTACATCACATGCATGGCTGTTCTCATGGAGAACAACGCCGACCCAAATATTCAGGACAAGGAGGTGAAGATTCGCTTGTATATATGTCCTTCAGTCACACTTGTGTCTGAGTCGGGGTCTAAAAGAGGTCAAATAATGTGAGCCTTGTTTGTTCTGTATGGGAGGACAGGGGCGGACTGCGCTCCACTGGTCTTGTAACAACGGGTATCTGGATGCTGTGAAACTGCTCCTGGGCTACAATGCCTTTCCAAACCAAATGGAGCACACAGAGGAGAGGTGAGGAGGCAGGCAAGGGGGAAGGCAGGGGAGGTAAGGAGGCTAGGGAGGGAGTTCTATAACTCTGTTTGCTTTGTGCAGATATACCCCTCTTGACTACGCTTTACTAGGGGGGCACAGTGAGGTCACCCAGTTTATGCTGGAGCACGGCGCTCTGTCTATAGCCGCCATCCAGGACATCGCCGCTGCGACCATCCAGGCTGTCTACAAGGGCTACACCGTCCGTAAGGCCTTCAGGGAGAGAAAGCAGCTCCTAATGCGGCACGAGCAACTGCGCAAAGATGCAGCCAAGTGAGAACAAAGCACACAGAGACACACACACCTGAGATGTTTGATGATGAGGTGTCTTGGGGGGGGGGGTCTTTCAACCTATTTGTCCTTTATTATAGTTTTACTCTTCTTTGTCTGTCCCTGTCATCCATCTCTCTGTCATCTGTAAACACATGCATCTTCCCACTGTCTCTGGCCTGCAGTTTGCTCCTTGCCTGTTATTTGCTCATCCGTTTCTCCTTTGTTCTAACTGATAGATTTTGTTTCAAACAGGGGGATTAAAAATGACATTTATTAATACTTGCTAAGCCAGAAAATATTACAAGATAAGTGAAAATTTTTGTTTTATTTTTTTGTAGTGTAAGAAAATACTGGAAGGAGAGGTGAGCACAAGAGTGAAGCAGGGTTAGCTTATTGTTTGAAGCTCTGGATGGAGTAATAAAAAGAGTTACTGTTAGCATGGCTAAATGTTAAAACTCTCTCTCTAGGTTTACCTGCGGTGGAATCTATGTGGTACGAATTATTCCGTTTTGTTTTGTTTTTTTCTGTAGAAAGAGAGAAGAGGAGCAGCGAAGGAGAGGAGCAGCGCAGCAATCTCAGGACAAACCAAGGGGTTCATTTCAGAGAGCAAAGCAGGCGGAGCTCTTAATGAACATCGTGGAAAATCCAAGCATGAATGATTCCTCTGTGGATTCAAAGAAACAGAGAAAAATCAAAGAGGGGAGACATAAAGGTGCAAACACTTTCAATTGTTTTATTAACAGTGTTGGGCTGTTCTGTAACCTCTTTCTCATCAACATCATCATCTTTATTTGTAGAGAGCTTTAAAACAGCTACAGCTTAAAACAAAGTGCTTAGCATAGCTAAAATAATAAAACACAATAAAATAATAAAATACAGCATAAAAATATGAAATAAGGCATTCATTTTTTAAGCTAAATACACAACATCACAACATCTAAGTCCTGCCAGTGTTAAAAGCCAGTTAATAAAAGAAAGTCTTTAGCCTTGTTATAAAATTCCTCAGGTAAGGAGCCTTCGTAAGGTGCAGCGGGAGGCTATTCCATAAACGAGGAGCAGCGAAAGAGTTTCTCTTTAAAGTAGCTCAGTTGCTCTTACCTTACGCTGAGTTTGTCTGTTACACAAGATTTGTGAAAGAAAACAATCAATGCTGTTTGTGCATTTTACTTTGGGTCTCTGGCAGGCAGGGCAGCAGCAATTAGAGAAAAGCAGACACCTAGTGGAGAAAACACTAACATAGCCCATTCAGCATAAGTGGCTTAAGATAAGAATGAGGTTAGTTTCAGTTGACGAACCTTAGAAAGGAAAAAACAAGTGTTTTAAATGTATACTTAAAATACCGTAATAGAAATATTACGGGTATTGAGAAACGATCTTTAATTCTGCAAATCAAAAATTCAGATTTTTCTTTGTAGCGGCTCTTCAGAAACTTCCTAAATGTTTATATATTATTGCATATAGCCTTTAGGTTACCAGGTAAAATATATTTAAGATTAAGAACATATTTGCCCTCTGCCAGTGCATTTAGGGAGCCGGTTAATGAGTTTATTGCCTATATTGGGATTCTGGGTTGTTTTTGGTTGGTTGGGGGGGTTAGCAGTAAGTAGTCTAAGCAGGAACCTTCAGGTACTATTTATGGACTTATACAGTCCTTCGTATCTACATCACCAAACATATCTTGATGAGATTTACATTAGTCCAAGGTATGTGTTTGAGAGGAAGAAAAAAAAGCAGCATTTGCCAGAAATTCAACGAACAAGCAGGTTTTTCCAGTCTGCTCCTGGTTACCGGCTGAGTTAAGAAATTTCAGCCAGCAGCTGTGTGCTTGTTCTTTTTCCACAGTGGTCAGGTACACCCGTGCTCCTGGCTTCCATAAACCTGCATTTGGGTTATTTTTGTTTTTTTGAGTGTTGAAAATTTTATTTTTGTTTAATTTATTTTTTCTTTGTACAACAAGCTTCAGTGATAACATTTTTAGGAATTTTCATTTTAAAAATTAACAAAAACGTCTCTTTTAATGGAAACTCACTACTTTTTGGTGTCAGAGTTACTTTTTGATTTAAGTAACTAGTGAAGTAACTATTTACTTTTTCAGGTAACTGGCACAAATGAAGAAAACTGGTTTAATACCTTTTATTGGAATTATATGGTTGACTTTTGACTCTGCCTTACAGCCAAGAGGAGCACGTTTCCCAGTAGAAGCATTGCAGCTGAACGACCTGAAGCTTCAGAAGCTGTGAGCAGTAGTTCCCTACAGAGCGTCAGTGTTGAGCCTGAAGTTCAGCAGCACACCAGGCTGAAGAAACTTCTCTCTCCTGCCGCCTCCAAAGAGCCCCCCAGTCTAACACCCACACCTTCCAAAGCTCCCAAAGCCAGGGAGCGGACTCACTCAGTCGCCTCCGCTGCTTCCTCAGACCAAACCCAGGTGAGCTCTGGAGATGGTAGAAAGAAGGACAATGTGCACTCTTCCCCCAACAAGCAAAAGAACCACAAGGAGGCAACCTCAGAGGTCGCTTTCGGAGGCCGAACTCCATCACTAAGGAGCAGCTCATCTTCACATCCCAAAAGGCCACGGAGAAAAACGCAGCCTGGTGTCACACAACCTGGATTAGTGGAGAAGCGTGAGAAGGAGCACCTGAGGAGGAATGAGGCTGCCCGTATCATTCAGCAAGCGTGGCAGAGGTGAGTCGCTGTTCATACATGGACCGGAGCTCTTTAAATTCAATGTGTTCAACTGTGGGATACTGGAGGTTTCATGTGGTGCCCTCATGTGTCTTCTTCCTCTTGTAATAACCCCCCCACCCCCGAAACTAAACTGCTCTGGATGCCTTCAGCGGGAAAGGGGAGAGAGTCAAACCAGGGAGGCTATAATCTAAAACTTTTATAAAAGTCTAACAAGAGGCTAAAAGTTCAGCAGCGCTGCTCTAATAGCTGCCAGCAGCTCCTTTCTCCCTCTGAAGCTCGCTGTGTTTCTCTCAGAGCATGCCAGTCCTCAGCAGGAGGCCCTCTGTTTCTCTGCAACTTTCACATTCGGATTGTCTACATGCTGCTTATTAAGTGCGCTGAATAAACTGTTTACCTTGTTTAAGCTTTCTGAGCATCAGCGTGGGGGACTTGCCTGCGTTTGGGTCTTTGAACACCGTCCTGAGATGTTTTTTTATTTTTTTTTGGGGTGGGGGTGTTTCAGGTTTCGTGCACGCAAGAGGAGGGAGGGGAGAGGCTGTGAAGAAGCTGGGCCAAGCAAGTCGAACCAGATCCACAATAGGAAAAGAGTGGAAAACAGAACTGCGCTCGGTAAACCTGCACCGAGTAAGAGCTCTGTGCTGCAGAGCATCTATGGTAAGAGAGCAAGGATACTATTTTTTTTCCCAGTGCATTTAATAATATTTTATAAAAATTTCAACTTACATTCACCAAATTGAGTGATTTTTTTTTTTTTATTTGGAGTGATATATTCACGAGAACATGAGAAAAACGTTATTTCTAAACAAATCTGGAAAGTGTGGGAAGCATTCACAAATTAACACAGCAGACAGGTTTAATGCAGCCTTGGCTGGAAAACTGCTCTGCTCTATCAGATAAACATTGGAAAGGTTCAACCTACCAAAACTAACAGGCTGGGAGCGCTTTAATCAGACAAGCCACTAGAAGGCTCAGTGCATCTCCGGAGGAGCTGCAGAGAACCAGAGCTCAGGTGATGGAATCTGCTGAAGGGACAGTATATATAACCAGAAAACTATCTACTAGTTCTTATTAGTGTGTCTCATTAAACTAAAAAACTATTGAAGGCTCATGAAATAGTGTGTATCTAGTTTTTAATGGAATTGTTTTGTTCCCTAATAGACTCTTAAAATCCTTAAATGTTATGTTTAGATTTTTGTGAGATAATTTAAACACAGCGGCTGTTTGAATGATCCAACATTGCTGGTTTTATGTCATTGTCGTCACTGCATTTGCACAAACATGTTCTCTGGAAAGAAAAACATGTTTTTAAAATTGATAAAGCAGTTAGCAGCAGTCCTGTGAAGTCCAACCTGGGGATTGGGATGAAAAGCTCTCAGGTGTAAAGCAGCAGTGTTCATATCTGGACTCTATCAGCCGGGTCCTTCTGCCGTGGTTTCGCTCCCTCAGACGGGCCCGACCTTCACCACACATCACTAGGTGATGATAGGAGGACAGGCAGAAACGCACACAAGCCTGCGTGCTCTCCCTTCACCCTCAGAAGGATCCTCGGTCCGGCTGCACCCCCTCCCCTTCCTCTCTCCGTCTCTCCTTCTCCCTACCTGACAGTTCCTGGCACTGTGAAAAGTTCAGAGCTGTCACAGGGAATGTCAAACGACTGCGTAGGGCTTTCCGCCCAACACACACACTTCACTATGTTACACACACAGGGCGGATTTTCTCACTCCGTCCTTTTTTTATTTCCAAGAAGCAGAAGAATGTTTGACACACTATGCTGCTCCCTTCAACCATTTGACCCGTTTTCTTTTTTGCCCCCTCAGGATTTTGTGGCACTAGTGGCTTTTACTCATTAGTGTCTATACTAGAGCATTACAAACATGCAGTAAATGGCTCAGGTTGGAAATCGAACCTGTATCAGCTGCTTTGAAGTCAGCAGCGTCTGATCTTCCACTGAGCCAAGCATTACGAACATATCCAGAATTTCTAAAACATTTCTCACTGTTCTGCAGAAATCAACATCAGCTCATAATTTATATTTGACCACTATATTATTCCAATTCAAATTGTGCAAAATAATTCAAAGCCTGTCAAACTATCTTTCATTTCGTGATTTTCCTCAAAGTTTGCAACCAGCACTAATGTGAAAAAGACTAACTGAGGCAAAGAATAAACTGGTTTACAAAAGTATCTATCTATATACTTTCAAGACAAGTGGACTTATTTGTAGAAGTTAGTGGAACATGATTCATGCAGCCTCATCTTATTGCATTTAGAAATGATGTAAAAATAAACAAAACCTGCCTCCAATGTCATCTAAATGTCCTTTATGTCGCCTCATTTAGGCAGCTCTGTGGCACGGAGAGGACGCACCTTTCAGAGCTCTAAGACTCCCCTCCCGCATGACGTTCCCCTACGCGCACGGAGTCAGCGTAAGTCCCTGCATCCTGCCACAAGACTCTTTACACTAGCAGGTTCTTAACGTTGACCTTCTGCTTGTGTTTCAGTGGGCGGTTTAAACTTGGTGCACCTGACTGATGCCTTGAGTCAAGCCAAGCTGTACTCCTACCACCTGAGGCCACAGAGTGCAGGACAGGGTACGAGAGGCCGAGGGAAACACTAAGCACAGCCTCTCAGTATAAACTACCGGTTCTTTAAAAAAACTGTTTTATTGAGATTTTTGTGCTATAGACTACCACATCATTTTGAAGTAAAAAAAAACAAACAAAAATATGTACTTTTGTAATCAGCTGCTAGTATTTTTGGTCTCTTTATTTTTTACAAAATAGTTTAAGCGTAATCAGATTGTATGGAGAATTTCACATATATAAACAGCTGAACTTTGACTGGGACCTTCTTACACATCAATATGCTTTGATATAAACCCTCCTTCATAGCTCTGTACGTTAATTTAGTTTGAACCTCTGCACCAGTCATACACGAATAGACAACAATGTAGGTACCCTTCGTTTAATGAAAGAAAAACCAACAAAGGTCACAGAAATAAACTGAGTCTGACAAAAGTCAGAAAAAATAAGATATTTATTTCCAACCATGCTTCATCGAAATAAGTTTAAAATATAAATTCATGAAACAGGCCTGAAAAAAGATGGTAGTCCCAGAAAATGTGACCAAAGGAACATATTAAATCAAGGTTTGTCTACTAATTAGCACCACAGGTGTCTACAACCTTGTAATCAGTCAGTGGGTCTATATGTAAGGCTGCAGGTGGTCACTGTGCTGTTAAGTGACATGGTGTATACCACACTCAACATGGACCAGAGGAAGCAAAGGAAAAAGTTGTCTTAGGAGGTTAGAAAGATGTCAAAGGTAAAGGCTAGACGAGCATCTCCAAGCAGCTTGATGTTCTTGTGACTACAGCTTCACATTATTCAGAAATTTAAGCTCCATTGGACTGTAGCCACCCTTCCTGGATGTGACACAAAGGGTACATTGATGACAAAACAAAGCATGGCTGCTAAGCAATGTCTGACTTTCAGCTGTTAATTTTCATAAAATGTTTATTACTGTTTTCGGAGTAGAGTTATTTCTGTAACCTTTGTGGGTTTTTCTTTTATTAAACAGGGAACCAACTTTTTTTATTTCCCATGCAAGTCTTCTTCAGCCTCGAACATGTTTTTTTAAATCCTGTTTAGCCCTAAAGGATTATATAAAGTAATGTGTAGTTTTAATTCAAATTTGAACCCATTATTTTATATCGAGCCTTATCTTTCCGCTTGTAGCGAGGACTTATGATGGATTTGTGATTGTGAAATGCAGGCCAAATTGATGCTATGGATAGATCCCCTAATAAAATTGTTTATTGGAGGCTTTCCCAAAGTAGGTTTGAAGTTATGAAACCTTTTTGGATGATGCCTTAAGTTCAAACTCTTTACCTGAGACCAATCTAATGTGGGGAATAAACACGTACCACCCATCACTATATATTATACATAAAAGAAAACACTGAGGTTGGTGTAATAAGCTGACATGTGACGGCCTTCAGGGTTATTAATGCATCTCCAAGGCAACATATAGAAATTCTTGTTTTCCCAGCTGCCTGGCAGTTTTACCTCATCAGACGTTTCTCCACACAATGTTGGCTCAATGTACCGAGCCTTTTCTAAAATTAAGCCGTGTGACATCAGAGCAGTGACCTCACAGGGTGGGGGTTAAGTCTACAAAAACAGCGTGTGTAAAAGATAACCTTTCATCCATTGTGGCGGGAGTGCGTACACACTGTTCTCCATCGGCGTCCTGTACGCACACACAGACCGAGATAACCTTTCTCCCCTCAGCAGAGAATGAGACAGTCCATCAACAGCCGGTCATACAGATAGCCCACCTGCAGCCGTCAACACACACACTCACTCTCACACACTATGCATCGGTCTGCTCTTTAAACGCTTTCCCTTTCAAGACAATCAGGCTTTTCTGCATGAAGTCTTAAGTGTCAGTGTTGTGCAATTTCATAAATATAGACAATATTGAAGTTAATGTTATGTAACTATGTAAAACATTAAATAAAAAGAAGAGATTGTCTTTATTTTCCTTTATTTTAATACAAAAGTTTCCTGCTGGGAAAATGTTACTCAGAGGAGTGACAAGGTGAAGTTTCTTTATGTGAACATGAAGCAGAAAAAAAAAGTGTGCTAATGAGAGTTGGGTTTGTTGACCCCCCATCATCGCTAAACGGCTGAAGTTAGTACATGTCTCTGAGGCCCATACTTCCACGGTGAGCAGAGGAGCCGTGGGCCATGGTGACGCTGTAACAGTAGAGCAAATCTGTCAGCCACTGCTCTCTGGGCGCTCCCCTGGAGAACCTCTAAAAATAAAGAAACAGGTAAACGGTAACTAAACAGTCCACAAAAACTACTAAATCATCTCAGCTTATAAGTCAGAGGCTGTATGTTTACCGTCAGATTCTGGATGAGCTCTTGCAGCAGCACGGTGTTAGCCATCAGCTGGTTGTGCAGTGGAGTATGCTGCAGCAGCATGGAGAGGATCTGCCCGAGCTGCGGCAGCTCCTCCGCACTTAGGTCCCCTACATGCATGGACTGCAGAACCATCCGCAGCAGGCGAGGAACGCTGCTGAGGGCCGTCACACAGGAAGTCCAGATGGCTTCCCTGTAGATATGAAGCACAGAGACATAAAAGTGTCAGAGTCTATGAAAAAACTATCCACTCCTCTTAATAACTTGGGGATCATGGAAAATCTTTAAATTCCTTTTTTAATGCTATAACCTTCCATATAGTCTTTGCAATCATTTGCAATCATCCATCTGTATACTCAACTATTCGTTTTTTTTTTATTAGTATGCAGTTTTTTTCCATTAACCTTCATTTGACCAAAAGCCCTCTCCATCTTCTGTTCATCCCTCCATCCATCATGTTTCTCCTTTTGTCTATCCTTGAATTCACCCATTCATCTATCCTTTTGCTCATCTATCCATCAATCATTCATCCATCCTACACATTTCTACACTCACCACTTCTGCATTTCTATAAGCAAGTTTTGCCCAAAAGGTATTTGGCCTTAAAGTCTAGGAACCCTCTAGTGGTGGGAAGCAAACCCCTCCCCCCTAAATGCACCTTTTGTGGTTGGCTTCAGTGGGGACATGCTGCTGCAGGATGACGAGGAGCACCAGCAGGCTGAGGCAGCACTGGGACAAGAAACGCAGCAACTGCTCAACAGGCAGGATGGACAGATCTAATAATCTGGAAACGGCTCTCAGCAGCCCAGCCGCCATGCTGTCAGGAACCACCTCCAACTTCATCTAAAAACAAACAAAAAATAATAGATGAACAAAAATGGGGAATACTGTAAAGAGGTGAGAACTGAACAGAAGAATCTCTGTGGGATTTTTAAGGGTTAACGAATAACAGTTCCCACCAGGTATTTGAAAATGCCATTTTGCAGAATGTCAAAGCATTGAGACTTTGATCCGATGGTCTCCAGACAGTGGCACACCTCCTGTGGACCAAAACATACGTGTTAACAGCATTTACAGAGACGCTAATCATAGATGTCCAGCCAACAATGGACAGCATAAAGGGATCTACTGAATAACTGACACTTCAAGAAGAGACCTGTCCTCAAATGCTTAAATCACTCCTAAAGCTTTTATAGCTTTATGGTGGAATATACCCAACACAAATCACATTTAAAACTAAAAATATATATTTGACAAGAGTTTTTTTTTTTATCTAAATATATCAAAACAACTTTAATACAGTTTTCTAAACACATTTTAATCCAGTTTCAGCATTCTGTCTTCTTCAATTTAAACTTGACCTAAATTCTAGGGAATCTTTATCAACCAGATAGAAGATTAAAGAAATCTCAATTCTATCTGAATAATAGCTATTATTAGGTTATAAGTTATGCTGTTATGCCAAAAAATGGGTTTCATCAGACCAGGAGATTTTAACCAGGCCTGTAAAGAAAAGGCTTCTGTCTCAAAGCCTCTCTTTATTTAGGCATTTGACGAAGACAGCATGCGGTGGTTGGTGGTTGGCAGCATACCTGACTGTTTCACATTTTTTATTATGTTTTGGACAAACAAAGCATCCAGTATTCTCCTCTTGGCACAGTGTAGCCTTAAGCAGAATCACAATATTTTAATGGTTGCAATGAAATGTAAGAAAACTGAATTCCACAAATTAAGAAAGGTGCTTAAGCTGAGTTTCTGTTTAAAGAGACACCTGCAGGTACAGGTAAAGAATAAATCATGGCCTTAATATTTTAAGGTTTATAAACTTGTAGAACATTTTAACATAGGTTTGAAGCCAAATATCCTGTCCCTGATCATCCATATTTGTTCTCCCTAAATATGCCAAAAAAAAAAAAAAAATCAAGTAATGATGTTTTGAACAATTAAGGCTGCCACGTTAAGACGGCCGGCTTTAGTGTGCATTTATCTCCACCCAGAATTAGTTTCAGACCTGAGACGGCCTGCTTACCCTCAACTTTTTAAAAGTGGAAAAATAAGACTCTGCTTTTCCTCATTAACTTGAAAATCCAAATCAAATTTCTCATTACCTTTTATCAAATTGAGCTGTGTGAGGCTACGCGTCTAAACGCAGCACCTGTCAGGCATTCTCCCCGTCATTAAAAACAATCCCGTCTCATTAGCCCAACCAGACCTGACACGGTCCGTTTTTTAATGCTGCCGCTGTGCTTCCCCCCCACCCTGGCTGCCGCCTCGCCCTGGCTGTGATTGACTCAGACAGGGAGATGAGAGAAGAGGGATCTGAGGCTTTAATTGAGGGGGGCTGAATTAGTGATTATAAGCCCCCCCTGACCAGCTCACGCACACTTGCCCCGGGGCGCGGTTAGGTTAGTGGTAATTTCTGTGCTGAAATGTCACTCTACCATCATGCCACAGGCTCTCATTAGCATTTGTGGATATCCATTATGCCCGATAACCACGCATCTTCAACCTGCGCAACACGATAAAGGGTCCCCTCTCAGCAGGAGCGCAGTGATAAAACTTCCATTCTCTGAGCTTTTTTTTTGAGGGACAGAGAGACACCAGGGGGGACTAAAAGACCACAGCAGTGTCCATAATATCAAAACTTGACAATTTTCAGACCTGTATTCATGGAAGTTTCACTATGTGCATAAAGGTGACAGTGAATAAGGAGTTTGCACCTCCACAACATCCCAGTGATGTGTAAACTGCTCCTGAGGTGTTTGGTAGAGGCAGAGGGGTGAGAGTGAGGAGGCAAGCAGGGCCGTCTCGTCCTCCTGCAGGGCAGAGAGGTGTTCGGACGAGAAGCCTGCCAGGGTGGAGAACAGGAAGCTGATGTAGTCGACGTCCTGCAGAGCCGCTTCCTGGGTCCCGACCGACCAGCCACTGAGAGACGACCTGAGGAACGCAATTGGATAAAGTCCTTTACAATAGATGCCAAAACCTAAACAGCCTCTGGTTTTACAATACTTAAAAAAAATAAACAACGATGCCATTCTTCCTTTAATGACATCTAGAGATGATCAGTTTCATAACAGAATAAAATATATGTCAGAGCCAAAAGCACACGTAAATAGAGTTATGAAAATGGTTCCTTGCCCTTAGGGAGGATGCACATGTAACCGCAGGAAATGTATCTGAACAACTGTCCGTGTGTTTGGTGAAGCCTGGGAGGCACATGCAGGCAGTGCAGTCAATACTCCATGACGATGCTGCATTCCAACCTTCCAAAGAACTCTTTGTATTAAATCCATTATGTTCACATCCCATCCCATGTGAACTCCACAATCCTGCCGCTCAAAATTTGTGTAACACTGGCCCACTGACACCGTGGGGTTAGGGAAAGGCGGGAGTTTGAGCGGGGCAACAAGTCAGATGCAACATAGCAGGGAAAGGTGAGGAATCTGCTTTTACTAGCATGTGGAATATAAAATATGTTTGCTTCCAAAGTGAATAAAATGCTGCTGAGACATTAGATGGACCCGGACATAGCCCACTACTGCCATCCGGTGGCAATACTTTGCATTGCAAATGAATTTATGATTATATTGTCATCACAAAAAGTCAGTTTACCTTATTTACACTATATTGCCAAAAGTATTTGCTCACCCATCCAAATTATTGGAATCAGGTGTTCCAATCACTTCCATGGCCACAGGTGTATAAATTCAAGCACCTAGGCATGCAGACTGTTTTTACAAACATTTGTGAAAGAATGGGTCGCTCTCAGGAGCTCAGTGAATTCCAGCGTGGAACTGTGATAGGATGCCACCTGTGCAACAAATCCAGTCGTGAAATTTCCTCGCTCCTAAATATTCCACAGTCAACTGTCAGCTGTATTATAAGAAAATGGAAGTGTTTGGGAACGACAGCAACTCAGCCACGAAGAGGTAGGCCACGTAAACTGACGGAGCGGGGTCAGCGGATGCTGACGCGCATAGTGCGAAGAGGTCGCCAACTTTCTGCAGAGTCAATCACTACAGACCTCCAAACTTCATGTGGCCTTCAGATTAGCTCAAGAACAGTGCGCAGAGAGCTTCATGGAATGGGTTTCCATGGTCGAGCAGCTGCATCCAAGCCATACATCACCAAGTGCAATGCAAAGCGTCGGATGCGGTGGTGTAAAGCACGCCGCCACTGGACTCTAGAGCAGTGGAGACGCGTTCTCTGGAGTGACGAATCGCGCTTCTCCATCTGGCAATCTGATGGACGGGTCTGGGTTTGGCGGTTGCCAGGAGAACGGTACTTGTCTGACTGCATTGTGCCAAGTGTAAAGTTTGGTGGAGGGGGGATTATGGTGTGGGGTTGTTTTTCAGGAGCTGGGCTTGGCCCCTTAGTTCCAGTGAAAGGAACTCTGAATGCTTCAGCATACCAAGACATTTTGGACAATTCCATGCTCCCAACTTTGTGGGAACAGTTTGGAGCTGGCCCCTTCCTCTTCCAACATGACTGTGCACCAGTGCACAAAGCAAGGTCCATAAAGACATGGATGACAGAGTCTGGTGTGGATGAACTTGACTGGCCTGCACAGAGTCCTGACCTCAACCCGATAGAACACCTTTGGGATGAATTAGAGCGGAGACTGAGAGCCAGGCCTTCTCGTCCAACATCAGTGTGCGACCTCACAAATGCGCTTCTGGAAGAATGGTCAAAAATTCCCATAAACACACTCCTAAACCTTGTGGACAGCCTTCCCAGAAGAGTTGAAGCTGTTCTAGCTGCAAAGGGTGGACCGACGTCATATTGAACCCTATGGATTAGGAACGGGATGTCACTTAAGCTCATATGTGAGTCAAGGCAGGTGAGCAAATACTTTTGGCAATATAGTGTATTAGGACCTCATAACCAAGTTAAACAAAATTTTTGCAAATGAAAAATCTGCATTTCTATTCAACCTCCCGACTAAATATTTAGTCTTTAGGTGTCTAAAGCTAGTGCACATCTACAGACTGAATAGGAGCTATGATGAAAAGAACATTGAGCAATATGTGTTAGATAAAATAGAGAGGTCTCACTACACATTGGATCAAGTCTCAGACTTTGACTCATAAATCTGCTTGTCTTCCCCTATCCTAGCTAAAGAACAGCACAGCACTATGCTGCCACTACCTTGTTTCACCATAGAGTTGGTACATCCAAAGTGATGTGAAGCAGCAGTTTTCCATCTCACAGAATTCCATACATTCTTTACCCTATTAGTTGACTTCAGTGGTGGATGGTTGCATTTCCATCTTATTCAAGAAAAAAGGATAGTGAAATCTACTTTTCAAGAGCTGCAGCTGCAATTGTAGAAAACCATCCCTGCAGGTTGGTGCTGCAAGATTCCACTGCTGGGGTGTTCCTTACAAAATGCATATTTTTGGTCTAAAGCTGATCAAAGCATCATGCCTGCCCTCTTCTCTAAACACTTTATTTGAGGAGTAGATTCTTCACCTTCAGCTCTGGACCTGAGCAGCCTATAGAGAAAACCGTTTTCCTTTTTGTCTTGTTTGTTTTTTTAAGTCGTAATCAATATACAGTTAATTTTGTATTAAAATCTAGGATCCATCATGTTCTGTCTGGTGCCTACCATTAAATTGCATCACTGACTAAATATTCAGTCAGTCTGCAGCTGTACCTACATACACTAATATGAAATGTGAAAGAGATGCATGATTCTGTAGCAGAGTAATTCAAAATGTGTTATTTAAATACCGGGTTGTTGGCTCACCTAAAGTGTATGATACGGATAAGAGAGGCAGCGAGGCCTGCAGAGATGCGTCCGGCGGTGCAGCAGCCGCTCAGGTTGGCCAGCAGAGGTTGGGGCATCTTGGGGAGGAAATAGAGCAGCTGCACCATTCGCTGCTGGGACTCTGCTGGTAGCAGCACCACAACCCCATCCTGAGGATCTTCACACAAACAAACATTTTTTTTAAAATACTCTGATACCCTCAGATATTCACAAAAAACAGAGAAATTAAATTTTAGAAAAATATTAACATCTGCAGATAATTTAAATGCGTGTGAGGCTTTTTTTCTCTGACGCACATGCTGATGTCAAAGACCACAGACAAAAGGAGTCTTGTGATGGTGGATTGCGGTTGATCCACCCACCCCCCCAGCCCTGTGTCACACAGCCGCCTCTCCACCTAACTATCCGCTGAGCTGTGCACATGAACACGCTTTCAGTTTTGTAACTTCAGTTGAAAGCAGTCTGAAGGAAATGTGGAGTTATACTTCCCCCTAGAGGATACGGTAAAAACCTCATTTCTAAGCTAAAACAACATTCAGAAGCTTCTGAATGAATACAGCCTGTTGGAAGCTCATTCACAAAAATCTAAACAGCAGTTTAGGAAAAATTAGCTTGTAGCATCAGTTCCAGCAGCAACCTTTACATACCATCCTCTAATGACCATAGGCTCATTTATGTTCGTCTCGTAGCACAAACAACCAAACTAGATTCTGCTCTGGCCTCAGTATGGGTCATTACAGAACCCTCTGCTGCAGAATCCAAACAGAACCTACTTGTTGATTTTTTCTCTAACTGTTATTAACTTTAACATCACGGCACAGACTGAGAGGACTGTAGACTCTACAGGATTATCCACCATCTTGGTTTATTTGTTTTGTTTTTTGATATATTTTCAATTGAAAATATATTAAATAAATCTCAATGTCCTCTTGAGAAAAAGAAAATCTTAACAAATGAACAGCTATCAGTTCTTATAATCTGTAGGTTCCCAAAAATCAAGAGAAAACTGTATGCTGAAAAATGACACACCATCCAAGCATTCTGAGATCACAGACGTATCACATGCAGATTCCTAAAAGAGCAGTTTGGGAACAATAGCACTGTTATCAAAACTAAAATAACAGCAGCTTTATTTGGTCCTTTTACATTTTTTGAATGAGTTACTCAAAGAAAACAGTTTGATGGGTAAAATATTCAAATCGATACAGGATATGGAAAACCAAATAAATTGTTTAAAAAATAATAATAATTCAATTAATGGAGCATTTTGAGCTTGTTGACTTTTACATAAAAAGAGAACAAAATTAATATTATGGAAATAATATACAACATAAAGAGCTTACCATGGAGTACAGTAAAGGACATACAATCATCTAGATCTGCAGACATTTCACTAAACTCTTTTTATTCTTTACTTCTTCAAACCTGGGAAATACTGAAAAACAATACATTTTTTGGTACCAGACTGTTTGGACTCATCTAAGTGGTTATATTTCCATTTATATGCAGAATATCAGAGACGGAATAACGTCTGGATTCTCTAAGTAAAAAAAAAAAAAAAAAGATTTCCGTGTTCCATTTTTCCTATAAATATCTAAATGTTTAGGATATGCATACCAGACTGTGTCTCTAGGAAGAAGGTCCAAATTCAGATTTTTTTGCTCCCAGTCAGACTTACAGAAGTAATTTTGCAGCTGCTGAATAGAAGACCGGCTGCAATTCAATACCTCATTTAAATTTTGGTGATTAGGAAAAAATGAAAAGTTTAAAAAATATTACTAACTTTTGTCTGAGTTTTAAGAGTGGCAATTCAAAACAGAGCTGTTTCCAACATTCCCATATGCTTATCTTTCCTTTAAACAGGGAAGCTCACCATAAAGCCTGCAGGCGTATGTCTGCAGACTGTTGAGAAGGTCTTTATTTCCCCGAGAGGCTGCGGCCTGGATGGAAATGATCAGCTGAGCAGACAGCGTCGGGTTACGGTGGCCCAGCTGGGACAACTGCACAGGAAGAGAGGCCAGCCATCTGCAAAGCACCTTGCTCCTTCAGGCAGAGAGAAAGCGTAAACTTGTTACTTCAGTGAATAAAGAGTAGGACCCATACATCCTCTCCACCACATAAATTTGACCCGAGATAAAATCATTAATCATCAATCTTAGATAATTAGGACCGATATGTTGACAACATCTAACCTGGAAATGTGTGCGTGTCCTTGTTCCTGCAGGTAGAGTTTGCTGTAGAAGGAGAGCAGCAGAGATCTGGTCTGAAGCGGCAGGTTCTTCTGCTTATAGTAGATGTAAACGGCTGCCAGCAGCTCCTCTGTCACTGCTAAACAAACAACACAGAGCAACACCTTTAAGCCGTCTGCACGCACATCAAGGCTAATCCCTTAAAACATCTGGAACTCATCCAGCTCTGGAGGTAGCAAGCATATTTGATTTGATGCATCACAACTTGCAAAATGCAAACTGCAGATTCTACTTAAAAACAAATACAGAAAAAGAAAGGAATTACACTTGTATGATATTTACAGGTGCATGTATCGTCCCAACATAACTGACATCTACAGCTAGCATTGTTGATGTATAATCAGCTGCCATCCTGCTTAGACAGTCTGAGGATTTCCTAACAGTTTTTATAATAATTTCATAGTGGGTTTTATGATCCTTATGTTTCCTTATTCATGAAATGAAAAAATGCTGAAACTGTCTTATAGTTTGGTATGGGCTAAAGGGTTTCTTTCACTGCTTTTTGGACATCTAAACTAACTTAGATAAGATTAAAAATAAATAAATGTCAAGCACATGGACTGGATTATTTTAGATGCAGATTCAGAGTCTTTACTCTGGTAGTAGGAAAACAAAACAAATTAAAAAAATAAAAATAAAAGCTCTTTTTAACATCCCAACCATAAACCTAGCTCTGATCTATGAAAGCAAGAGAAGCAAACCATTTTAAAACCAGCTCTGAGTTCTCTTAGTTACAAAAAACAGAGTTCAGAGTTTTTTTTATTAGTATTCAATTAAGGCTACGTTCACACTGCAGGCCTTGATGCTCAATTCCGATTTTTTTGTGAAATCAGATTTTTTTTACGTTGCCATTCACATTTCCAAATATATGCATGTTGTATATGATCTCCTGTGTGAACTGCATTCATACAGCTTAAGTGTCCCACATGTGCAGTAGAGGACGCAATGACATCACAAGCTGGCGTGCTCTATGTATACGGAAGTAAACATGGATGGTAGCGCTGGAGCGCATCTAGCGATCTTTCCAAACCTTAAAACCTCAATCTTTTCAAGATGGTTAAAAAAAAATACTACTCTCAGCATCATCATCCGCCATGGTGTTTCTTTTTCTTGCCGCTTCTGTGTAGCAAGACGCAGAATAGTGACCTTTGTCTGGTATTAAAGGTGTTCAGGTCGGATGAATGTGACCTGGCCTTTCAGACACAGGTCACATTTAAAAAGATCAGATTTGTATCAGATTCAGGACCACATGGCCAAGCAGCCTGGGTCGGATTGGAAAAAAAAATCGGATCTGTGTTGTTCAGACTGTCAGGAAAACATCAGATCCAGGTGGCGTGTGGGCAAGAAAAATCGGATTTGGGTCACTTCAGGCTGCGGTGTGAACAAAGCCTAAGTTAGAACAAGAAAAAAAGTGGAAGTCACAAGATTTTATTTTATTCACACATCAAAAATTTCCAAAACTGCAGAGAAACCCCTGGATTGGAGCTACATATTATGATCATAATGGCTCGTTGAGTGGGTTGAGCTTGACGCATACGTCCAAGCAATCCACAATGGACTCCTGTGGTTGTGTTAAACTCACGCCTCTGCTTTGATTAAATCCTTAGCATGCCTACCTCTGCTCCTCTGCGTGAGCACCATCTTCCACACGGTGCCCAGCAGCATGTGTAGCTGCCTGTAGCTCAACCTCACACCGTTCCCCAGGGTGTCCCGAATAAAAGCCCTCAGCGGAGACAGCCAGTCTCCGTCAGCCTCCTGACCCGGACCCTGCTTCTGGCTTAGGGAAACCATGACCTGGCAGAGGGTGATGTTTAAGGCCAGGGGCTCCACAGTGGGGGCAGGAATGGCCGCACTCTGTTTGCTCCTGGAGAGAGGAAGATAGAGGAATCAGCAAAACCAGCAGCATCAGAATCCAACCACAGAATACAGCTAGATTTTAAAAAAGCTCCTTAGTTGGTTTCAGCTTCACATTTTGTCTCATTTAAAACAAACTCCAGTATATTTTATTCTGACTTTATTTGCATTCATTAGCAAAGTGGATGAAGAGGATCAATCCTTTTGGAAGTTTTGCTGATAAAAGTCTGAAAGGAATGCCTAGAGGCTTTCCCCGCTGTAAAATGATAACTCTACCTCCACCACCTATAACTGAATGAAGGGTGTTTTCTAGGTGACGTAAAACATTTTTTTTTTTTACATTATTAGAATTTCACAGCTCTTTTTATCATGTTGCTGCCCCATCTATGGGTTCTGATAAACTGCAAACAGGATTTCTAAAGGCCTTCTTTGTGACTAGGGCTGAAACAATTAATTGGATTAATGGTGATTGTTCGATTGAAGATAATTATAACTGAAATAATCGTTAACTAATTTAACTGGAACTGGAGAATAGACCGTAAAATACACTTTCCGCTGTCAGAGCAACCCACTTAGAGCTCTAATTATATCCAAATTGTAAAAAAAAAAAAAAAAAAAAAAAAAATAATATGGACATTTTGCATTTAAGCTTAAACATTTTTTTTTTGCCTATCAATATGCTCTATCCAGAAAACAAGTTGAAAAGTTTTAGTTTCACCTGGTTTAATCACCTAGGGGAGTGGTGGCCTAGTGGTTAGGGCATTGCGCTTGAGTCCCAAGGGTTCTGAGTTCAAGCCCCACTCCCACAGTCTGTGGCAAGAGTCCCACTCCTTACTCCTAACCCCACACTGCTGTGGATCTAAAGCTCCTCCAAAGTTACAACAGGCCTCTTGACAACCTACCTAGTAAATGCCCCTTAGATTATAGTTCAATTAGTGCTCTGTTGTAAGTTTTAGCTTGAGTTTCTCTGTTTTATAAACTGACTCTTTTTCTAAACTTCTGTAGTAATTAGGCAACTATGATGGCAAAGCATTAAAACAAACAAAAAAAAAAAATCACATTCAACTCTGATGCATCAACTGTGTGTGTGTGTGTGTGTACCTGTCTGGCCCTAGGAGGGAGGACCCTTTTTCCAATTTCGTTATAAAATTCAGGACCAGTGTTTGCAAAGTGAGGACATTTTGCAGGTCCTCACATGCTATTTTGCTAATGGTTAGGTTTATGGTTGGTTTTAGGGTTAGGGGATAGAAAGTGTTGAAAATAACTCAAAATCCACGGAAGTCAATGGGAGTCAACACATGGTCCTAGTGTGTTGAATGAGTGTGTGTGTGTGTATGTATATATATATATATATATATATATATATATGTGTGTGTGTGTGTGTGTGTGTGTGTATTTTCTTTTTTTACAGAAATGACAAGAAATACACTAAATTCTATTTGTAATTTTCATTTTGCCTTCAATGTTGATCACAAATCTTAATGATCAAAAGATGAAACTGTTGCTTGAAATTTTAGAGTTGCTATTCTATTTTCCAGGAAACGTTCAGATTGGCTGAGCTGTTTAACATCACTTAGAGTCATGTCAGCAGCTAAAAGCAACTCAGACCTCTGACCATCTTTAGGATATTCTATGTTGTTACTAGGGGTGGGTATTGCCAAAGAAGTCACGATTCGATTCGAATCATGATTCACAGGCCAGGATTCGATTCTATCACGATGCATCACGATACTTGAATTATTGCGATGCATTGCAATATTTTCTCCTCCATGTTTTGTTTTTGAACGACTCGGCGCAGTAGAAATGCTTGTGACACAAGGCAGCGTGTGTCAACACATCCGCAGCGACATCTACTGGACTGGAAGTTGTATTACACTTGTTTTTGGCTGATGTTCGCCAACCATTAATGCAATTTTATTTATTCATTTTTTTAAATTAATAATCGATACTTGGCATCAAGAATCGATGCAGTAGATCATGAAAATTAGAATCAAGATGCATCATCATGACGATTATTTTGCACACCCCTAGTTGTTACTTCATGTGCCAAATCAGGTGACTATCTCCAGTGTGAAGTTTATGCCCCCTCAGCCAGATCTCTCTACTCCCTCCTTTATTTGCATTCCATCAGGCTCCTCCTCACAGGAGATTTTTTGTTTTCCTTTTTCTCAGCTGCTCCATTAGGTATCTGTTCCCAAGGACTGGTTTCTCTCATCTTTTGTGTTTTTTTTATGGCATCTACTGCTGTGAGAGAGGTATAGAGAAGTTAGTACACCACTGTTTCTTCACAACAGGTCGACTAGGATTCAGGTTTGGTTACTCTCTGTTTTCCTTTCTATATGAATTTTATTATTAAAATACCACTATGGTCATTTTCACCAATCTCATTTGTTAATTGAATAGGTGCAGTGCACTGATCTCTACTTATTCACTAGATTGCTGATAGAGTGAATAAACTAAAGTCATCTGCAGCCATCTTGGTACTCCCCACTCTCACTGAGTCACACCATAAAAATGCCTTTAATGTGATGTTGTGTAATTACCATAACAATGTAATCAATACATGTATATCACATATACATAATCAATGTAGTACTTCTGGCACGTCTGGGTTATTATGCTATGTGATGGATTTGTATAATATGTTATATTACATGATTTATATACTTCATAGACTTGATGTTGAATATGCAATGTGATGTGCCCATTTTTTTATCATAAGTTAAAGTGATCTACTTATGTGTGTGTCAAAGTGATTAATTTATCTTTGTTTTAAAAGTCTTAAGCCCCGCCCCGGAAATGAAAATCATCGTTGTTCGATGCTGTAGTGCACGTATTGTTTACATTCCAAGGGGTCTAACTAGGGAGTACCAATATGGCGTCTGTTGACTTCACAGTACCGTGTACTACCAACGGCCTATCAGCAATCCAGTGAATAGAGATCAGTGGGGCAGAAGTGTTAGGTGCATATTATATTTTCTCCTTTACATAATGCAAAATCAGAATCGCCTAAAATCACCGATAACAGGTCAGAGTTTTCTGACCTCAAAATTTTGAAATCAGAGGAAGAAAAGCTTCTGTAAATATCAAATCTAAATGTTAATCTTCTTCAATGATTCCAGCATGCTGAGTATTATCTTTCATAATGTAAATTCTGCTGGTAAAACCTGAATTTCCCCAATAAAATAAGATATTTGACATTTCTATTCTCTTATCAATCATTGGAAACTTTAAGAAGTCTGCCATGGAGGTCTAATCGGAACATGGTGACATAAACACAATGTGTGCAAACCTCCATGCCGTATAAGCAACAAGAGGTGGACAAAAAAATAATGGAGTAAAAAAAAGCTGAAACCTTTAGCTGCTTAGAAAAAAGCATTTTATAGACTGGGTCCAAAGCTATAAATAATCTTGAATCTCATAAATGTGCTGGAAAGCTGGAAAGTGCTGGAATGCTTTGAACTACTTTGAAGAAAGCTACAGTAGATGGATGTCTGATGGTTACCGTTGATGTATTCCTACCTTTTGAGATCAATTTTTCTCTTATGTTTGGGTGTGTCCCGAAGACCATAGGGAAAGTTTTTCATGAAGTGTTGTTTAAAATCTCCAAGATATTCCTTACGGAACCATGCATCCTAAACAAAACAATGGTTTGCGTCATTATTTGAATCATTAGAAATGATTTCAACACAAAATAAAATAGAAATGAAAAGTGCCTGTCTGATCTTACCAGTGCGTCCTGGTTTTCACGCTGGGTGGGAAGTTTTCTAAGCAGCTGTAGAATAGTTAAGACTTGGAACATTACAGACATGGCGTCGGGTGTGAGGAGGTGGGCCCCCTCGGAGCTGTTCCAGGTGCGGTCTCCGGCGCAGGCCTCCACCCAGACCTCCAGCAGCAGAGGTACCAGCGTAGCCGCAAACATCTGAATGGACTCTGCTGATTCCAGACTCTCACTGCCCACACCGCCAGTGTCCACCTCTGGTCTGTGCACCAGTTTAAAGGGAAAAGAGCTTTACATCTACCGTTCACACGACTGTAAGAGAATATTTTTCTTCTCCTAAATGACATCATACCTAAGTTTAAAGGTGGAGTGGGGAGTGGGTTTGGCCCCAGAATTTTCATACACCTTAACGTCGATCTTTTTGTAAATCAACTCCTCCCACTTCAGATTCAGAGGGCTAAGGCCGTGCTTTCCACTTGAACCAAACACTCCTTCGGTTCGCACAGACAAGTCCCCCTCCTCTGTGGGTCTTTCCTCAACAACAGCTTGAAGAAAGTTCCCAAGTCTGCAAGATGATTAAGTTAAAAAGGGTTTTATTATGAAAAAGGATTTCCTCCCTTATTCCCTTATTGAAAGCCTGGAAAGTGCCAAGATCTGTTTGTTTGGTACAGTATGGGGCTAGAAAGTAGGTTAGAGGTAAAATATAGGAGTCTAACTTTCTGAAATAAATAATAATAATAACTAGAAAAAGCTGTTTCGCAGAAACAGCAAAGTGGGAATGCTTTTTTTGCTGAACGAAATAATAAAAATTAGCAAAAGAAACTGCAAGAAGGAAAAGAAGCACAAATTAGCTGAGGAACATATGAACATGTGATAGGAAGTCTTCAGAAACTTCAAACTGCAGAAAACATTTGAATCATCTGAAGATTTTGTAGGGTAGAATCATTTGGCAGTAAAATGGCAGAAACAGACTCCTCTTAAAAGCTGCACAGCCAAACCATACATGATATCAAAAAATGTCTTAAATGTGGGCACTAGAAGGGTCTAAATGTAATGTCTCCCAAGTTTCTAGAAAAAGTTCTAAAAAATTTTTTAAGGGGGGGCATCTACTTTCCAGAAACATGTCAGATGAATTAGCAGCAAACAGAAAAGCTTAATTCCTGTCCAGAAAGAGAGCAGAATGAAGCCAAAGTTCACAACATAGGCTGAAAAGTATGAAATTAGCTGAATTAGAAAAGAAATTACAAAGAAAAACTTGAATCTTATCTGGTTGAAGAAAAAATTAGTAGCTTAAGGATGGGAAGTAAAATGTTGAGGAAGATGGTATTGAATAAGTACCAAAATTTTCAAATCATATGTGGAAATGTCAAGACTTGGCAAAACAATTTGAAATGATTTAAAATGTGTCGGTTGATCAGCATAAAGAAAACAGTGTCATCCTTAGAGGATTGAAAATCTAAAAACCTATGTGCAAGACCGACCATGACAAGCAGAGGAAGGACAGAGAGAGAAGCTTATAGAAAGAGAGCTAATACCACTTAAGGAGCTGAATTTATAAAAAATTTAACCTGCATGTTACGAGCCGCTGTGTTGATGACAGCACCGTTGGCAGGCTTAAGCTGCATGTTACGAGGTTAGCAGATGCTTTATTACAGTGTAAATCTTAGAACCTGATTAAGAAATATGCACTGAGGTGTGTGGTCAACGGGCCTTGGTAGTGTAATTTGAAGAAATTGGTTGAGTTTGGGTCATAGCTACGAGCCATACGGCACAATGAATGAGTGTATGTAAGGAAGAGGCTTATATTTTGTAGACTCCCTTTAGTCTTATCTCGAAAGTCTATCCCTGGATGTGTGTCAAGAGAAGGGTCATGCCCAGCAGTGATATAGAATCCATTTCTAAATATGAAATCACTGATTTTCCATGTTATTGGGTGAATAGATGCTGTATTAGAGCATAAATGGTAGACTTTTATTGTGAAATTCGCTCGGGTATGTTTTGAAAAGGTCCCTAGAGTCTAATAGAATCAAGCTGGTAGAGTTTGAGTCATAATGCTGATCCATTTGCATCAATTAATGCACGAGTATACCATAGGCTTTTATTTTGTAGGATCCCTGGAGTCTTATTTTGAAAGTCTAGCAGGGTTGTGTGTTGAGAAAAGGGTCAGACCCAACAACTATACTTGAAGACTTTCCAATCGTTAAATCACTCTTTTCCCTGTTATTAGGGCAGTAGATGAAGTTGCAATGGGAGGCTTTTATTTTGAAATTTGCTGTGGGGTGTGTTTAGAAAAGCCCCCTAAAGTCTAATTTTTAAAAAGTGGTTGAGTTTGGGTCATAATGTTGAGCCATATGCTGGGAAAAAATATGAGTTTAATGTAGGAGCTTTTATTTTGAAGGGTCCCCGGAGTCTTATTTTGAAAGTCTATCAGGGTTGCGTGTGAAGGGAAGGGTCATGGTCAGTAGTCATATTGTATCCACTTCCTAATGTTAAATCAGTGTTGTCTCCCTCCATTAGATTAAAATGTGCTGTTTAAAGTGGTGGAGGTAAAATCTCTTTGAAGCACGGTTACCTTGACGACGTTAACGAGCCTGTCAGTGAGAGAGAGAAACGCGCATCACTTTCGTTCCTTAGTTCTCAGGCTTTTTTGAATGGGATTATCAGCTCCGAACAAACAAGTGCTGAAGACAAACCGTAAATGGTATCTAAAAAATTCATTCAGTCTAAGCGAGAGCTATCCTTTGTCTCCAATTGGGGTAACTTTCATGGATGTAGCTCATTCACAGCCTTAATGGGAAGGAGAAATATAAAGGTTTGTAAATCCTGCTGGTCTCATTAAATAACATGCAGCTCAATGGTAGAGCAGAACTCTCAAAAGCAAAACTTTCCCTGCGAACAAACGAGCGGTGAGCCAAAACCGTAAAAGGTATTCAAAAAATTCTTACGTCGTGAGCGTTGGCAATCTTTGGACTAGAACTGGTGTAACTTTCATATTTCTACAATATTTGGTCTAGGCGTGGTGACGATGTAAAAAAGTGTATAATTGTCAAAATCCTGATTTTGGGGTTCGGACAGATTTGTTACCCCCGAACAAACCTTTTTCCTAGCTAAACGATAAAAGATATCGACACACTTCCTTCAATGTGAGTGCTAGGAAGGTCTGAGGAACAACTTCCACCAGGCTCATGTTGCTAGGTCGAATGGTTCCCAAATGGGAGCGATACGAAAAATTCTGTTTTTTTTTAATTTTCAGTTCGGATTTTCAGAGAGCTCTCATTGGATTTCTATGGGGGAAGTGTGGACCTCTTCGTGGTCTGGGCCAAACTGTCGGAAAACTGTAAATCCCACACAAATGAGGGTTACATTTCCTGAATCCTGACAAAAATCCCTACGTTTTGATGTAAAATGTATCTAGATAGAGTAAAAAATGAGCGAGTGAGTTGAAGCTGTTCGGCATGAGTGAAATGTTTGAAAACGCTAGAGTGGCACAATCTAGCAGCTGAACATTCCGTCCATAGACTTCCATTATAAATTTGAAAATCTGTAAAAATTGTTTAAAAGTTTGAAGCTTCACTGAAGCAAAACTGTAAAAGTTAGCTGAAAGCCGAGTTAAACAGTAATAGCAAAAAGATACGGAAACATTTTAAAAGTTGAATGGTGTTTCTAGCTGAAAGTATGCTGAAGTAGTTAAAGGTCAAAGATGATGAAGTCTTAGCTGAATTTGGCTGAAATCTAAGAATTCTACATGCATTTCAATGGGACAAAAAAATCGCAGAAAAAGTTGAATATCGCGAAAACTACAAAAAATATCTTTACCAAAAGACATAGCACAATTCTCCTGAACAAGCTGAACGTTTTGATACCAAAATTGTTGAAATCGTTGGAAAACTGCGGGACTAGTTAGAGTCAAAAAAATTTAAAGTGAACAACAATAAGTGGGAATGCATAAGCATTCCCACTTGATAATAAAATCCCTAACCCCCACACTGCTCCCTGGGTGCCGCACAATGGCAGCCCACTGCCCAACAAGGGGATGGGTTAAATGCAGAGAGTGAATTTCATTGCTTTGTACTTGTAACAGTGTAACGACAATAAAGCTGCTTCTTATTATTATTATTATTTTGTTTGATCTAGGGCTGAAACAATCGGATTAATTGTGATTAAGTGTTTATTGAAATAATTGTCAACTAATTTAGTAATCGATTAATCGTTGACTGTATTATAGAGATTCTAAAACATACCTTCAGCTGACAGAGCGACCCACTTTGAGCAGTAATTACATCCAAATTGTGAGACAATATATAAATATTTTGCATTAAAGATAAAAAAAAAAAATCAATTTTTTGTCAATATGCTCTATCCAGAACTCCCAGAGTGGTAAAGTTTTTGTTTTACCTGGTTTGTATTCTTAAAAAAGATCTTCTTTAAGGAACCTTTAGCTATCAAATTATTAACCAGTTAATCAAAAAAATTATTGACAGATTAATCAATTTACAAAATAATCATTAGATGCAGCCCTAGTTTGATCATGTACCTGAGAAGGACAGACAGCCGCCACTGCTGGCTGGTCACCCTCCTGTCCGGGTGGACTGAGAGCGCCCAGGTTCGCCCTTTGGCATCCAGGGTCTTCCTGATGCCTCCAGAGCTCTGCCTGTGAGAGATCTGCTCCAGAAAGTTTGTGAGGAGCACCGCAGGCCGAGAGGCCAGCAGAGAGGGGTAATATTCCAGGAAGATGTCCAGAACATTCATGGCGTCCTCCTGGATGCCCGGCTCAATGTGGGTCATAGCACAGGTGAGGTGAGCGCTGAGGAGTGGAAAAAACGGAGCCACTCGTTCTGCTGGCACAGACTGTGCAACAAACCTGTAAGAAGTTTCAGATAATGTGTTTAGGTTAAGATCCTAACACCAGCATCATTCAGCCAATGTGTGCCTTTTCTAACCTAAGAACGCGGGTAGCCGCCACGCGAACGTTTCCATCCTTGTCTGTGAGAACAGCTGCGACCTCTGAGAGCAGGCGTGAAAGATGCTGATCTAACAAAGAGGGACTCAGAGACAGCAACTCTTTCAACCCCAACAAGGCACCGTGTTTCACGTTGGCATTGTAATGATGCAGCTGAGACAGAAGCTCCTGGAAATCAAAGAAATTTTGAATTGAAGTTTAACGTAATATCTAAGCAATAAAGCGCCACAGGAAAGTATTCACACCCCTTAAACCCAACAAATAAAAGACCATCCAACCAAAACGACAGGCAAAGGGATAAGAGCATCGTCTCTGCATGCATGCTCGCTATGAGGGATTGCTTCAGTCAGTAACACAAAGCAAGCAAATGTCAGCTGTTGCTGCTTACTCATCCAGAAGGAGTGAATCCTGCAAAGTTAATAAATGAATGCACTCAGCTGTTGCTTTTTTGGATAAAAAATAAACTTTAAACCACTTTGCCTGGATTTGATTGAATTCTCTCTGTAAAGTGGCTTGAGGTGACACGTGTGATGAATTGCAGCTACAAAAATAAACCAAATTGAATTTAATCATTCAGAGCAGTGGCTCCCAAAATGTCCTTGCTGGCCTCCCTTATGTATTCAAGAAAGTTTTTGCCCCCCCTCATCTCTGACACATAGAATTCAAATTGCTAGATTGACTCCTTAACCTTGGAAAAGGGTTCACAGATTGATTAGTTCAGGTGTTTTGTTTTTGATGGGTGGCTGCGGGTCAATAAGCAGAAAGTTTTGTATCTGAAGGTTCAAACTTTTAGTTTTTTTTCTCCGATTCTTTCTCCTTCTGTCACATGTCGATATTGGCGAGGGAGAAATAGTGCGTTCATGCGGTATTGTTGGTAAATTATGGTACTACCAAAAATATCAAAAACTGACATGAAAAGCTAGAAAAATTGTATGATATCCAAGCTGTCAGAGACTAGGTGAACTTTGACCTCTCAACATGGCGGAGAGCACAGATTCTATGATGAGTACTGCACTGTTAAACATTCTCTGTTGGTGTGTTTGTAACCTACACAATGCTGTGACATACATTTCATTTCACAATATCACCATTTTAAGGTTTCAAAATAACCATTGATGTTTGACTTTATCAGAGGCTAGCTAGCTAGCAGTCCATCGAGGACTGATTTAGTGGAACCAGAAGATGAGTCCAAGTAGCAGGTCAGTGTAGTCTATGGAACCATGTTCCTCTTATCTACTGTAATTTCCACTTTACAAGAGGAAAGGGTCATCATTACCAGACCACATGAAGGCAGCATCAACCCTGAGTTTAAACTATTTTAGTGATCGGTATGACTAGATAGGTTATATAAATTCAGTCCATTTACCATCTGAAGCAGATGCATCTGGAAGTATGTTATAGACCAGGGGTGCTCAAGTCCAGTCCTCAAGAGCTACCATCCTGTAACTTTTAGATGCATCTCTTCTCTAACACACCTGAATCAAAAGGCTCAATCCCCTCATTTAGCCCAGCAGAGGTGTGGTAATGAGCCACTCATTTGATTCAGGTGTGTTAAAAGTGGGGTGCATCAAAAAGTTGCAGGATAGTAGCTCTTGAGGACTGGACTTGAGCACCCCTGTTATAGACAGAGAAATTAAAAGGAATATCAGTCTCTAAATGTATAAAGCTGACAGAGAAATTTCCCAATTGACAAACATTTGGGTGGTAACATTGTAATCTTTTTTTTTTCTTATATACAAAAGCAACTGCAAAATGCAACATTTAGGGGAGTGGCGACCTGGTGGTTAGAACATAGAACATGAACTGTTCTAGTTAAACAGTTCAACTGAAACATCATTAGTTCAACTTTTTTATTTTCTTTAGTCCAACTGTTTTTAATGTTCTTTTTTGTTTCTGCATTTTTTTTATTTTACTTCATCTATTTGTTTTTTTTTTCCTACTTGCTTTGATTCTGTTTTATTTTCCTATATTTTAATCATGTAAAGCACTTTGCGTTGTCTTTGTACTGAACTGTGCTATACAAATAAATTTACCTTGCCTTGCCTTGCCTAGAGCTTGGAATCCTGAGGTTCTGAGTTCGAGCCCCACTCCCACAGACCCTTAACCCCACTCTGCTCCTCGGGCGCCGCACAAGGGGATGGGTTAAACACAGAGTGTTAATTTCTTTGCTCTGTGCTTGTGACAGTGTAATGACAATAAAGCTGGGGGGAAAAAAAGTTTTCTAAGCCATAAGAAGGCCCCAGACATTTTGAATTGTGAAAGCTTGCTGGATGGGAAGCGAAACGTATTCAATCTTGGGGGAAAAAAACTTTTTTTTGGAATGACTATTACCTGGATGACTGAGACTCTTCACTAGTGTATTAAAATGTATTAAAATAATGAAACCTATGCTGTTCTACAATATATAATTGAGACGTGTCTGTCCATGCAGCATTTTTTGAATAGTGTTGATCCTTTTACAGTTAATACAATGTTGGTTTTGGATCTCTGCAGAACTTACATTGATGCCCAGCTGTTTGTGAGTTGTGGGGCCACTTGTTTCTCTCTTTAGCTGCTCAGGCAGACTGATTCCTCTTGTACGAAAGTTGGTGTTGGTGGCATTATCAGCTCTGGGCTTCTTCTTTCCTACTTTAAGCTTGACTTTTTGGAAATCGTCCTGCCTCTTCTTCTTTTTGGCCTTCATCTTAAAGTACACTTAAAAGAAATCTGTAAAACAAAAATTATACCGAATCAAATGACTGCATTTAAGCCGAGACAGAGTAAAAACGTTGTTGTTATTGTCAGGGATGTGGAATTAACATAAAAAAAATATCAGAGCGCCTGCACTATTGTTTGGCAGTTACCTTTTTACATCCCTGCATCATGGAGCATGTGTTCAACTTACCACAAGGATACAGCGTCTAGCTTCAGCCTTCAACACCCCTCACCTGATCAAACATTAAATCTTACTAAACACTTATAAACCTAGTTTGAGGCTTTCATTTTAGATTAACAGTATTTATTCGGTTTCCTCTCGGTTGTTCACTGGGTCCGTGATTCAATGCGTTGGGGTCATGTTGTTCATTAACCCGTTAGATTTGTTCAAATTACGGTTGTGGAGCTAATGACCAAAAGCCCCCCCTAAAGAACAAACATGTGACTGGCGAGTTAATGGGTACGTTTTTGATTCCGAAATAAATGGAATTAAACAAATTGTCACAAACATTCCAGGAGATACAATAAAAGTCGTTTTAATTAATGATAACACTACAAGCTCCTTTCTGGGCATTAGTTCGGTACGTCATGGTATTGAATCAAACGCACCCTATAGGTGTCCGCACAAGCGCCTTATCAATAAAAATAGTTTAAGATCAACTACTCTAATATAAAAGACGAAATATGAAAATGTGTTAAAATTTTCTGGAAAATAACCCATTTAGCTGTTCGTTTACTTAAAAAATATCTCTTTTAATTTGTTTTTCGTTTTATTTTATGGGCACATATTTGTCTACCTAAACTCGTCAGAGAAGTGCCCATTTTATTCCGAAAGGAACAGTACAGACCGTCTGCTGGTTTATAGAAACTCTGGTTTTGCAATCAATTTCTCAGGTATGAGTGCTGATGCATATTTTTTGTCCAAGTTATGTGCCATTTAATGAGTTTTAGCTTTGATGACTTTGAGTTTATAAACAGACACCGCTGATCTTTAGGGAAACGAGTTCCATGGACGGTTAGCAAGGCCTCTGATGCAAATCGACGCTAAAATAATCTGAAATGTTGGGGGGGTTAGGGGAAAATATACGCAAACCTCGAATACTTGCTTTGGTTCTAATATATATTTCAGATAATTTATTAATAGCGAAAATGACATAGTTACATCATCAGTATACCATCGTCATGGTAGCGGCCCACTAATGAAAAATACAATTTCGATTGTATAATATAGATATTAACACCCCGTCCTGTTGTTTAAGATTTGATTATGTTTCGGTTTCTTGTTGCAGTGGTGAAACTATGGAGACTTACCAAATGGATGCGCAGGCTAATCCCATTGAAGATCAACCAGCACCAAATAATGGGCCCCCACTAATTAATGAGGGACCGTTCCAAGGGCCACCGTTTCTTCAGGAACCGATCCAAGGGCCACCTTTTCTTGAGGAACCGATCCAAGGGCCACCTTTTCTTGAGGAACCGATCCAAGGGCCACCGTTTCTTCAGGAACAGATCCAAGGGCCACCCTTTCTTGAGGAACCGATCCAAGGGACACAGTTTCTTCAGGAACAGATCCAAGGGCCACCATTTCTTGAGGAACCGATTCAGGACCCATCATTAATTGAGGACCCGAATAATGGGCCACCAAATAATGAGCAAACGACTAACGAGCAACCGAATAATGTGCAACATCATCCTAAGAAAAAGAAAAAGAAGAAGGTATTTAATTTGCACTTGGATCTTCATAAACCTCAGATTTTTTTATTTATTTTTTTGGTTCAGCCTTCAATCTGTCTAGGAACCATCCTAAGAAGTACAGTCCAAGCCCCTGGTTTTTATGGAACTGGGCTACTGGTTTTATCACACCCTGGTGCTGCAGCATCATTCAATGCAAATCTCTCCATACATTGTTGTGCAGAAATCCCAGTTTTACTGGCACTGATTGTTGTCAGGGGTTTGGCTGCCAATTATTGAAGCCTAGAGCTTTACTTTTAGGAGATTTCTGCTGCCTAACTTGCAGTCGAGACAAAATTAATAATTAGCCTGTTTTTCAACCACACATGGTCCTTTAAAACCATTCTTAAGTGCATCGTTTGCCCCATGACTTTTTGTGGTACATGTGGTAAATATTAGAAACTAATTCTAGTGTGATTTGTTGTACTATCCAGGTGTAACACCAGTGGGCAGTATCTTCTTATAAAAGTAGCAACATTCATATCAGTCCTTGGATGAAGGGCTGCAACTGTATTTATTTTTGCATCTTTTTCTGTTTATTAATACATCTGTCTGTCCAGAGGAGCAGGCAGGTCTTTACCTCAGTGCTCTGTTATCTGGCTGCTCCAGACAAGGATGTGTTTTGAACACTGGTTATCCTCAGTGTTACAGCTCTACGTTTCCCCCTGGAGAAGCGGTAACTTAATGTTGCTGTTCTGATGTGATGAGTATTCATCACTTGTACGGAGTCAAGAAAAGCTGATTCCCGTGGCAGTCTCTGCGTGACGTAGGGCTCACGGAGAATGAAGGAATTAAACTGCTCTGCGGCATGTATGGTGTAGGGGACGTGGATGAGGTGTCCAGTCCTCTGCTGAGTGTCATTCTGTCACTAATTCCTGTATGTGTCTCTCTCCTCCTTGTGGGTTTATTCCCTCCGTGCTGACAGAGAAAGCCACCGCAGTCTGGTGATATAGGTAAGTCTTCTGACACACGGCACCACTTCCTGTGCTGAGAGCTGAAGCTTGAGACCTTGGTCTCTCTGCTTCAGCTTATGAGTGGTGGGGGCACATGCTCACTGCTCAGCATTTGGGGGACTATTTCGGTGCCATTCACACAGTTTTTAACTCTCTATTTGGTTCCTGTCTGACTCAACAGGCGGCCAGTTTAGATGGTAAAAACTTCTTCAATGGCGACACATTCTCCTGAGGTGTTGCAGCATTATAAGCAGCATCACTTTAGTTGGATAAGTGTTTAAACGTTTAAATGCTGGCAAATACAGTGTTTACACTGGTAACTTTCTTATGGACCCAATTTTCACCTGGTCATCATGTTATAAATGGGCAGATGCTTCATTTCTGTGGCACAGCAGTGAGTCCGGTGGAAGCACTGCATCTATAGTGTCTCACAGACCAGTGTGGGCCTAAGTGGGGATTGGCGGAGAGCTGTTCTTGTTTTTTTCTCTGAGAATTTCAAAAGTTTGAAGGGGTTTGAATGCCTGTTGGTGTTCAGTTAATCAGAAAGTATGCTCCCTGGTTATTAGTTGTTGCAAATTTTGGAGTAATCTTGCAGGCTCCATCAGCGTATCATTAATGCAGTGAATAGTTGGTAGTTTTTGGGCAAGCAATTATTTTGATTACTGTTTAAAGTTATGTTGTTCTGACCACTGCTGTGTTTTTGCAGTGTTCTCCAAAGGAAATTCTTTCCAAACAATGCCTTCACTGAGCAAGCTGTTAAAGGACGCCACAGAAACTATCATCGGTAAGAAAATGAATAATTTCCCCCCTTTTTACAGGGCATGGTGCTAATATGAATTCAGTTTTTTTCTTAAAAAGTTTTGGATGATAAAAAAAAAAAATTAATAATAATGCATTATTGTGAAAGAAAATTAAAACATTGTTCTAAACAATTTTCAGCAAATAAAAATCATGTTTTCCGTACTTGTTTTTTAACTATGATAGTTCTTTGGGGTCATATTTCTATTACCTTTATGCATCTTTAGTCAGAATTTTGGTTGTATATAATTCTAAAAAGCAAAAAAAAAAAATTTGTGTATGTATGTATATATATATATATATATATATATATATATATATATATATGGTTTTTTGGGTTGTTGTTGAGGCTTAGTTGTGCAGTTAATCTTTACTCAGAGCTTGAGACAGGTTTTTTCTTGAAAATCTGGATTTAAATTTTTTTTTTTGCTTCTTATTTCAGTGAGACTGACATCAGTTAAACAACTTTTGTTCTTGAATGCATACACACAACTGATAAAGTAGCGCACTATGCAATAAATGAATGTGTTATTATCTAGTAAAATGCAGTTTATTACTTGGCATATAGCAGAAAACCAAAGCTAGAAGTTGCTAGAGTCTTTAAACTCTTATTTATATGTAACTTGAGTTCAGTTTTATAATGTTTTATTTACCTGATCATAAGTTACAATTTACTTTGTAAAGCGCTGGTTATCCTCCTGCAGCAATGTGTCGCAGTGAGCTTGTCGCTGATATTTTTTGATTTATGCCCAGTATTGAAGCATGTTCTGTGGTATATTATTCCACACCACAACGCAAGAGGGACGATCACAAACTAGCTGTGGGTCTAGATACGGCTGAGGCAGTGAGGAAGTGGGGGCAGGTTTGTGCGGCAATGGAGGGACATGAGGAAAAAAAATAGCGGGGATTCAGGTGTAAAAAGGCTCTTCTAGCTAGTTCAACTTCGTGAGTCGTTTTCCACAATGGTGAAGTGAAGTGAGGCCTCACCGGAGCAAGCAGACGTGACACAGTGGGGACACAGCAGACATGCATGAGCTGCATCATCTCCACTGCACAAACCATATTTGCAGCGTTGTAACAACTACAGGGTGTTTGCTGGTCAGACCCAATTTGTTAATGTCTTCAGTCAGCCTATTGGCTATATCTGCAGCTGTTTGGCTTGAAGTCATCTTGGTGGCCTGTAGCACGAGATGCAAGGCCCCACTCATTATTATTGTAGTGGGAAGTCACCTTAATGTCACATATCCAGCACATTTTCTTTAGCTGTTTTAAATCCAAATTGGTTCCAGACATCAGACTTCAGTTGGGACAGCTTTGCTGAGCGGTGTGTTACTTACTTTGCACACGGCTGCTCATTTGAATGTGAACTTCACATGCATCACTATAAAAATTAATCAATCTCATTCCCTACACATCAATTTTGCAAAAGTGTACTGCAGTCGATCCAAAATCGATTAAATCGATTTTTTTTTTTTGATTTTTTTTTTTTTTTTACCCATCCCTACCCAGCACCTATTGGCTGATTCAGTCATTTATGCTGCCCTTGACCAGCCTGTTAGTTAGGGTGGATGTTTTTGTAGGTTTAGGGTTGTGCCATAGTCTTTCTATTTCTAGATTATGCACTGAAACGTGCTCCAGGAGAAGTTCAAACCATCAGATACTGTTTCATAATTTAAACAACTTAATTGCCGACCGGTCTCCTGAGTTTTGTTGTGTTCTGTTTTTGTTAACAAAAAAGTAGTTTTAAAAAAAGCAGCTTTGGTTTTTTGTGAGGTATTTTAGACTTTTTTTTTTTTTTTTTTTTAGATGTATTTTTTTTTTTTACTATCGATAATTGTCTGCAGGTCTTCAGTATGTGTGGGAGTACCGCAGCCCAAGTCAAGCTGTCCAACCGCACTACCAGTGCAAACTGTGTTCCCTGCATCGTGTGCAGCATGACATGATTGATCACGTCAAAGGCTGGAAGCACAGCTACAGATATATGGTAAGTACAGCTGTTTCCCTAAGCCACAGAGCCTCTTTGTTGAAAGCAACCAATTTCAATGTGTTGTGTTTTGGGTTTTTTTAAACAGAAAAAGACTCATCCTGATAAGGTAACCTGGGAAGAGGAGGATGGCGTCAAAGACCCTGTGGTCAGAAAGGCAATTAAATCTGCTGCTGCAGAAGTGGAAAAAGCAGAGGGAAGGGGACAGATTAAGGTATGTAATTAACGTATTATAACTGCAACTTAAGAGTGGCTTCTTTTATCAGTCTGGTTTAGAGTGATTTAATGTTTTTCACATTAAGAGCTGAATTTTTAAACTTCAGGTTTTTAAGTTATATGCGCACATTGACCAAATTGGTGCACCTCTTTTAATGAAAGATAAACCCATAATTGTCAAAAGTAACTTGAATGCATAATTATGATAATACAAATTCTATGAAAACAAATAAATCAAATTCAGAGCTTCTGCAAGAATGTCCTATGGACAGATCAGACTAACATGGAACCTTTTGCCAGCAAAAATCAGCTATATTTTCAGAGGTGGAAAAATGAAGCTTATTAAGAAAAGAACAGTGTCCCTACTGAGAAGCATGGAGGAGGATCTGTTATGCTCTGGGGCTGCTTTGCTTCATCTGGCACAGGGTGACTAGAGTCTCTGCTTGGTGCAATGAAATCCTAAGACTATCAAGGGATTTTCCTCCCCAGTGTCAGAGAGCTGTACGTCGGTCGCAGACACACAGCTAAAAACAACCGAGAACGGCTAAGAGGAAAACATTGGATTACTCTAAGATGGCCTCCTATGAGCCCTGATCTAAATCCTATTTAGCATCTTTGGATGAAGCTGAAAAATCCCGTCTGAAAAAGGCTCCTTCAAACCAGAGACAACTGGAGCAGTTTTTTTCTTAAAAAATGGAAACAAAATGTTTGCTGAGAGGAACAGAAGTCACTGACAAGAATTGTTTGATAAGTGTTTGCCTTGTGCAGCAAAATATTACTATCATCCTTAGGTCGGAGTTGAGATTAATCATATTCTGCTCTCCTTCCAATGTCCAGACTCTGATCATGCCATCAAGTCGTGTCCACAGTTCAGCCTCAGTATTTATTATTATGATCAACACAAAGGTTCGATTTTAGCACTTTTGTCATACATTAAAAAATGCACATACATTTCATATTATTGTATATTTGCTTAATACGTTATAGCAAATATTTAAAGGCACATTCCCATCGAACATGAATTTCGCAGTTGAAGCAAAGAATTCCCATGTTATCTCTATGCTGAAGGGCAGATCTGGAGCGAAACTGTGAGGTGAACTGCATAACTTTGGTGAAGTTGATGACATTTGATTGATTGATTGATTGATTGACTTGTTACATCAGCTCAAATAGTCAGAGAAGAAGAATGTGTCAAAGGAAGAAAAAGTTGCATGGGATAGATACAGTACACACAATGCGTCCACATATCACAGCTTTTTTTTTTTTTTTTTTTTTTATAGTAGGATCATTGTACAGGCTCCTTTTTACAAACAGGGTGTAAAAGATTGTCGCCTCACCTGCGAATGAAGTTGAAAGATCTGAACTTTTGTTTACATTCCCGTCGTTAAATCCAATCAGGGCCTAGATGTGGCTGTGAGCTACAGTGAAGATGCGCAGCGGAGAGCACCTTTTTTTATTATTAAAATGGAAGATGGAGAAAATAATGTTGACAAAGGATGAAGTAGGAATGCTTTTAAAGGGGGACACCGTTTTGTTTTGTTGTTTTTTTACATTGGGCCCTTGATTTTACGTTATTACATCATGTTCTACTCACCTATATTAGTTTTGTTTCATTTGGAGCCGTTCTGAAGATATTAGGTTTTGTAATCCAAGTAACTTCTTCCTATGGGCAACGAGTTGAAGGCACAAACTAAACTGTTCAGAATATAATCTTTATGGTACGCCAGCATTCATAACATGTAGGCGAATCACTGTCCCCCAGACATCCGCGGTTATATTTTTTATATTTATATATTTTTTAAACAAAGCGGCACATGTATGATGTCATCCACACGCCGGACTGCGGTTGTGACAGGCAGCCCGGGCCACAGGCAGCTACGCTCTACCCCTTCTATTTATTCGGCTAGCTAATCTGAATCGTTCAATTCCATTTCGAGAGCGAGATCATCTGTGGTAGTAAAACTAGACATCTTAGACATGTGAGTAAAACTAGCAGCAGTTCAGCGAACAGGATGAATGAATGGTAGCCGGCGCGCGCGGATGATGTCATACACACTCCGCTTTGTTTTTAAAAGATATATTTAATTTGCTTCTATATTCTATAAAAACTATTTGAAATGCTCCATTCTATTGAAGTGTAGTTGAAAAGCAAAATGCCTAACTTAAAGGTACACTATGCAACCGGTGTTGATTTTCCAGCGAGGCTCCCCCCAGAGGGCGAAAGTAAAAGTGCACTGTCGTAAATATGCACAGCTGTTCTCCTGGTTTCTCCGTCAAGCCAGGCGCGATTGTTTTGAGCTTAGCAGACAGGCGAACGCAACGAATGACTAACACAGTGAAAATATGAACATGCACACAGAGAGAGAGAGAAACCATTCCAATGTTACTTACAATCGCATCAGCAGAAACGCGAGGTCCGCGTCAGCCTTGCAGCCTTCTTTTTATTTTAGTTCTCGCCATTCGGAAAAAGCTTGCCAGATGTTCACCCGTGTACGACTCCTCTCTCTGTCCGGAGCCCTTTTCCTCTTTCTTGCCTGCTCCGACATGGGCTTTCGCTGTTTTCACGCTGGTTCCGCCATGATAACTGCACAAAGATCGCCACTGTGCTAGCAACGAGCATGCTTTTAACTGGGGGCGTGTAGCAGTTCTCGCCGTAAAGCAAGACTGACTCTCGCGAGACTTCTGAGCCTGTGGGTGTGGGTCGAGGGCTCCTGCAATTGCAAGTGCGGTATTTCCCCCACAGACCACCAGGGCGGCCGAGAATACCTTTGTTCAACCTGAAATGACTAATTTAATCATCCAAAACGTTATGGAACACATTAATTAACTGAAAAATGTTGCATAGTGTGCCTTTAAATTTAGTAATTTTCAGAAAATTCTTATACCTTTTGTCAGATTAAACTTATCTCTGTGACTATTCTTTTTTCAGCCATTAAATGGAGAGTACCAACAATTTTATTCACCTGTGTATTTTCAACTTCTCTCTTCTTTAATGTTTCCCCAGATATTAAGTTGAGACCTTTCTGTTTCTTGGTCACAAAAATTAAAATGATTTATCACATTTAGAAATTTGTTTTAAAGGCAAAGGGAAATAGTAAATATATATGTTTATTTGTTTATTTTTATTTTGGGGGGGGGGGGGGTTGCAATAGCTTATGTAAATTGTCATTTCCCTGTTTCTCTTCTGGCCTTTAGGTGATTCTGAAGGAGCCCTATCTGGTTCCTGCTTTTAAGGGACTCCGTGAGTGATCTTGCTTTTTTTCCTTCTGTGCTAAACTATTACATGCAGAGAACTAATGGATTACATTTACTAATGCTTTTATGCAGCACTCCTCTGATTTTATGTGTCTCTTCGTTTTTATTTTCTCACAGGTTCTGCTGCTCCTGCAGCAATGCCTCCACCGAATAAGGGGATGGGGCCAATGGGTCCTTCATTTGGTGAGCTCCTTTTGGTCAATTAGAAAATCATTTATGGTACAATTGTTTCACTTATTCAGTTCAGTTAAGGTTCATTAGATTAACTACCCACAGTGACATTTTTTATTTCTGTGTATTGTGGCTTACAGCTGATAAAACCCTCAAAATTTGGTTTAAAACACAAGCATACGCATGTACTGTATTGTATTTACACCCATTACTTGTTCTGGTCTCTTTCTGAATGAATTACTCCATTATTGCAAGATTTTTTTTTTTTCTTTACATTAATGCCACTATTGTCGTCCATAGTGGCCTCTCTTCCTTCTGTTTTTCTCCCAGTCGTAAGCCATTTAGATGTCCTCTCTTTGATGGTACATCTGCCTTTTTAGAGCTAACCTCACTTCTGTATCTGAAAGTGATTCTTATTCACCAACGACTAATGGTTCCTCTGCCTGCTAATGCCTTTGCTGTGTTTTGTAACTTCCCTTTTTTCATCTCACATAATTTATTCTTCCGTTTCAGTGGTTTGCTTTTTATCGATTTGTCTTAATGCTAAACCCTTCAAATAATAAAGTTAGCCAAAAAGCACAGCGTTGCGGTCAGCTAGATCACACAGCCACATACTTAACAGCAGCTCTGACGGCTTGCTGATTGGCAGCAAGCATGTGGCCTTCATAGGTTTCAGCTAAATGCTGATACAACTTTATTCACATCCCAAATTTCTTTGATTCAAGCAATGAAATGTAGAAATAATCAGTGAGTCAATAATTGAATGTCCACAACTTCTTTTAATGAATATAATTGCTTTTTTAAGAACTCAGCAACAGAAACAAGTGCGTTTTAAACTTATTGTGCTCTGAAAGAAAAAGCCACATCATGTTCAGGAGTGTCTGATTTCCATGTACTTTGATTGGGGTAACTGGATCCCATCCACCTTATCCCAGCATCAGTAATCTTCAGACTCATGAATTGAATCCCTTTTAATGCAGGATCTTTAGTCCCATTCAAGGCTCCATTAACTCCCCTAAACCACCGATCTTCATCCCATCATGTGGTTAGCTGTAACTACTTGTTAGTTCCCTAATCACACCTCCTCATTATGATGGAGTTTATTCTCAAGGATTGTGACGTTCTCATACATCTGCATCCTGTGGTCCTTTCTCAATGATATCCAGCTTATTTATTCTATAAGCTGTAATTCAGCTACATTCAATTTCCTAACATTTGTTAAAAAACTGGACTTGATTTATTCAAGCAGCTTGAAATTGGACCACAGACATGTTATCTTCAAAGGTTTTGGCTTAATGCAAGGTGCACATAGAACTATATAAAATTCCATGTTATACAGTTAGAAAAAAACACTTATAAAACATTTAGCTGTACCTTTTCTGTCTTCCCTAAACATTGTTCTAAAAGAAAATTACATGAAGAATGCAATTCACAAAACAGAAAACTATGTATAGTCTACTCTTCATTGATCCACTGCTAGTCTTAACTGTAAATTATAACACATCAATTCATTGTATGGTCCTTTGTATGATTTGGCTGTTGAGGGGGAAAAAGAAAAGGTTAAAACGTTCATAAGCCATCTTCTTTAAACGTAACGGTAGATGTGAGAATTCTTTGAGCCACGTTCTCTAATTATTCTCAGTATAGGTATATGAAAGGATCCTGCTTCATCTTGACGCCTTGTGTTGCTTATATAAAAAAACTGGTTACCCACTGTGCGTCATTAGCAGGAGGATTACTTCAGACCTCACGTCTCTGCAGTTTACTTCCATCTGAAAGGGTGAACGATCAGGCTCCTTCTTTCCTTAGCTGAGGTTAAAACCTCCGGCCTCTGTTTCTGGACAAATGTGAGTGGGATCCATGTCCTGGATACATTTATGTGGGATAACAGCCTTGCTCCACTCCTTGGTTATCTTCAATGCAAATTTTAGTTAGCTACTGTTATCACTGTTGCTTGTGCATTCAGTAGGTCTTCTGTAAAATGTTGGGTTTGGTGGCCTGCTTACCATGAAAAATCAACAAATCTTTCCATGTTTTACTATATTTTTTGAATAAGTGCAATAATTAACTTCTTAGATGTTCTATTTCACAGGATATGAAACAGAAGAATTGAATGTGGATTAATATGGAGCTATTGTGCATCTTACAGGTCCCAGGTTCCATAACTCCAGGTTTCAAGGAGAGTTCCCCCCTCATAGAGGTGCTCCCTCCAACTATCAAGGTGGAGAATATGAAGAACCTGGGTATGGAGGCTTTATGCCAAGACCAGCGTTTCCTGACGGGGGTATGAATATGGGTCCTTACCCGGACAGTAGGGGTCCTGGACCAGATGGCTATGGAAGGGGCGGACCGATGGGTGAAAACACAAACGCAGCGTATCCTAATGAGTTCCAGGACGGCTTTACGAAGAGACCGACGAGCAAACCAGTGAACCAGCCTAGATTATTTGGAGAAGCCCCGGAGAGTAAAAACATTCCCGCTCTGCTCAAACACCTGGTGCGAATCTCCTCCTGTTGCATCTCCGCTCCTTTGACCAAATGATATATATAAAAGACTATTTGTCATTTCTGTCTTTAGGACTCTTTCCGAATAGAGACCGAAAACGATGCTCAGTTGGTCCTGAAAGTGACACAAAAACTAACCGACGCGCTGATGGATTACAGGCTGAGGAGCATTCCAGAGGTACAGCCTGTTTTCCTCTCTTCAATAAGTAGCTAAAGCCAGCCTGCTTCACTTTATGATTCAATACTTCAAGCTGGATTTTGGACTGTGGATAAAAGTTTGGGTCTTCTGCTTCTTTTACCTCCACAGCCATCGACATTTAGCAGCTTTCCCATGAGGTCTTCAGACTTTTCCAAACCACCTCCAAGATTGCAAGGCAACAACGAACGATATCCAAGTAATCATTCAGGTACAAGAAAAAAAAAATTCTAGTTGTGTGGTAGGGTAACAAAAAAAATTGTTCAAATTGGCAAGTTTGGAAAAAAAAAAAAAAAAAAGATTTAATACTTTCTTACAAAGATTCACAGAATCGCTTTAGGGAAGAAAAAAAACTGAATGAACATTGAACCTTTCGTCGTCTTTGTTTCTTCCTGTGTTGTTTAGGTCCATCCAGATATCCAGATGGTCCAAAGAGGTATTTCAAATGATCAGCAGAAGATGGCGCCTCACTCATCCTTCTCTCACAGATGCACAACAGACGTGGAGTCTTTTTTCCCTTTTGTGTATATACATTTATATATACTGAATGTGTCATCTTGTTTTCCCACCAATAAAGTTTTTTTTCCTACTTCCTCAGATAAATGGAAGTTTTTCACAACATGAACAGGACATGTTTTAGTTGACCAATTGTATTAGTTGTTAGTTTTTGTCCAGGTTTAATAAAGGTCTTGTTGAAGTAACTGTAAAAGTCATTTTCCTGGTCTCACAAAACTACAGTAATACTGTTAAATCCAATGGCTTGGTCTTCCTCACGCCCTGAGACTCCGCCTCCAGTGGCTTGCTCCATCTTGTTGAATGCATATTACCCAGGGCGTTCTCCCCGACAACTTTTATTTACGTTTTCATGTTACTTCCTCCTGTGCAGCCGTTTCCGTCTGCGGTTAAACTACCTTTTCTTTATTTAGCAGTTGCTTGCAAATCCTGTTGAAGTTTGTTTCTCCTGTTTTAACAAAAGGCAAATATGAACCCTGGAGCTTTAGAACTTGTTAGAACAAAAACTGATCTTCCTTTAGAATTCTAATTCTAATGATTAAGCCATGCTGATTCAAAGTCAAAACCAAAAAATCTGAATTCTGTCATGGGTGAGAAAATCTCCAGTCACCCCTTCCAAAAAATATCTGTACACTTCGCCTGGTCTTCTTTTCATCGTCGGATAAAAGGCTTTGAAGCATCTTGCATCAACAGGAACGTTTATTATTCATTTTGTCAAAAAGAAAAGTACAAAAACGCAAATGTACAGGTGATCCTGACGTAAGACTTAAATGCCAAAAACAACCTCAGATCAGGCAAAGTTTCTCAGTTGTTCAAAATGTTCTCCACTTGCTCGCCATTTATGAGAGTAAGCAGCACGCTTGTCCCCAGGAACTCCTCGCCGTGCATCCTCTGGGCCTCGGCAGCTTGCTGCTCGGATTCAAAGGTAACCACGGCCTCCCCCCTGCCGCGGCCCTCGCTGTCATGCAGTAACATGATGTCGTCCAAGCTCAGATTATTAAATTTACAGAACAGGCTCCTGATCTGACTTCTTTTTACATTTGCAGGCATGTTTCTAATAAAAATGTACCTCTGAGCCATGTCTGTTTGACTCTCCCGCCGCTGCGTCCCGGTCTTCTGTTCATCTGGTTTTCTCAGGTGAATGTGTAATCTTGGGTCGGTAGGACCGGTCCTACGGTTCCTAGGGTTGTTTTTGGCTATCATTCCCCACATGATCTGCTTGGTGATAGAAGTAACCTCAATGGCACCAGAGCCTGCATGGCAGCCAGAGAGATTTATGGCATAGTCAAAGTCCTGTCTGCGGTTAAAAATCAGAAAAGCCGTGTCTGTGAGGTCTCCTGCTTCATCCAGCAGATGAAGCACGTTTCTGTGTGGCATGTGTGTGCATGCAAATAGCTCTTTGATTTCAGTCTTGGTTATGGTTTTGGGAAGGTTTCGGACCATGACTGTATATTCTGAGGTTTTTAATAATGAAGAGTCTGTTTCAGTGTCACGTCTTGGCTTTTTCAGCGGTTCCAGGTGAACTTGATTGTCTGCTGCCCTCTTCCTCTGCAGAGGGGAAACAGATTTTCTCTCATATTTTTCCCTTTCCTTAGATCTTTGGTATTGATTACTTGGCCAGGCATCTAATGCATTCCTGCATTCTTGTAGCACTCTGTCCCACATTTTCTCATCTCCTCCCCGTACCTCCACACAGAATGAGCCCAGCAACTTCAGGTTGAAGCTAAGAGCATCAGATGCATCTTGCATATTTGCAAACTTCACAAGGCAGCCATGACCCTTTCCAAGTTCAACGTTGACTATAACCTCTTTCACATGCAACCCTTTGAAAAAAGTACAGATTTCTTCTTTAGTAGTTGAAGATGGCAGCCCAAAGAGTCGAACGTAGCCTGGTTTCAAATCCGATGTGTGCTTTGGGCTTCTGACATCTCCAGATAAGGTTGTGCTAACATCCTTGTTCAACTCAAATGCTGGCACAGTGGTTTCAGACTTGAGACTCTTAAGAACAGAGCAAACTCCAAGCAGAAAAGCAGTACTAGTATCCAAAGGTTTTTCATTTGAAAATTGCTTATTTACTGTGCTCAGCTGAAAATGTTTTGCATAAGCAGCTGGCAGACTGGTAGTTTCGGGATCAAATGAAGATGCAACTGAAGTACAGTGCGACCTGGATGTTGTTTTCCCCTTAGCCATTTTAGGATCCTCCCTCCTGGGTTTGGGTTTCATCTTAGTCATTCTCCCGTCCTTCAGCTTAGATTTACTCACATCGTTTGGGTTGGATTTGGACTTAAATTCAACGCTGCCATCATGTGGACTTGGCATTTTATCTGCAGCTGGATATTGAGTTTTCCTTTCAGGGCTTACGGTCTTCTTCCCAAAGGATTCCAATTTCTGCTCCATCTCCTTTATACTGCTAGCGTGCAGAAACACCATGGAGCCTTTCAGGAAATTACCATTATGCAGCAAGGCGATCTGTGCGTCGTTTTCATTGGCAAATGCAATAAATGCTTCACCGAGACTCCCCCCCATGATGTAAACCCCTCCATCAGGTATATGCAGGGATTTAAAGAATTCCCTTATATCTTGAGTGCCTGCCTTCACATCCAGGCCTTCCAATCGTAGGATTGTGCTCATTCCTTCTTTCTTTCTTCAGCCTAGGTGTTTGCTGAGAACTCGGAGGACTCTGGGAGGAAAAGTGGAGAACAAAGGTGTCATTGTGAAGCCTTATAAAGAGGACCTGTGCCTCAGTAAAACACGTGCGTCACAAACGGAGATGAGAGAGAAGGAAAGTGTGGTGAGCTGTTATGTAAGCATGAAGGACCCGCCAATACTCACGTAGCTTCGTTACGTTTAAAAGTCGGTTTAAGGACACCCTCAGAGCAGAAATCCAGTTTTAATTAACTCTATCCGAAACGATGCAGGCAGCTGTGTCTTCCCTCCCTCCGACTGATCTGCACTGAGCCGCGTTTTCTCCTTTTATTGGCTCGGATTTACCGCAATACTGCCCTCTAGCGGAATGGAAAGGAAAATATGTAAAGGTGGAAGTTGACGAAGTGGAAAATATCGGGTTTTTTATTAATTATTTCTGAAAGTAAGACCTCTACATATTCGATACTCTACCAAGCAGATCGATCTGGAAATATTTACTCAACTGCTAGGGACTTTCCAGGCTTTCATCAAACCCCACCCCTTCTTCAGTCCTATCACTGTGAAGATAGCAGGGGCGGAGCTAAAAAAGGGCGGCCATGGCCACCCTTATTCAATCATTGGCCACCCCTACCATTTTTCCCTCTAATACAGACGGTGGCAGCAGTAAAACTTTCAAGTGGAATGTTCTAACTTATTCAACATTTTAATTTTCTATATGTAAACATTTAGCTGACAACAAAAACACTGTGGTTAATTATGCACATCAATATACTAACATTAAAGATGAATACAGAATTCATGCTCTTTTCAGAACTAGATTTTGTGTTTTATGGGGTAAAGAAAAAATTATGTCTCTGCAAGTCATCTAGGAATCTTCACTGAAATCAGAGATAAATAACTACTTTAATAATAAGCAATCAATTCAATGTATATATTAGTACATATAATTATTAATTTTATGCTGAATGATTTTTAATAAAAGTAGGTTAGTAATGACAATGAATAAGATGTTAGCCCCAGAACTCAAACTGAAAGAATTTTGTCCACTACACCTTTAATTTAGACAGCATGGATGTTTAAATATATGCGTCCAATTGTTAGCACAGGCTGTAGGAAAGTATAGTTTGTCTTTATTTGGAAAATATGCATGTCGTGATTGTTCATTATCCTGTTGCAACAGTGTAGATTGAGCCTGAGGTTCTGGCACCTATCTACTTTTGGCCACCCCTCAGTGTACATTGGTTATTGCTTGGCCACCGTTATTAAAATTTTCTGACCCACATGACCCATGAATAATAACTGCATTTCTAAAGATGAAATGCACTGGAACAGATATGGTAACTGAATGGTCCTTCAGACCCGATTTATTTTCATTATGATTGGAAAAATTAAGGTGATTGTTTCAGTCGTATTGAGAAAGGATCACAATTTTCATCCAAATATTATTCTGAACCAAAAAAAAAACAAAAAAATCTCTAATTTGTTACAGCTGAATTGTTTTACTTATAATTTGATTAAAATTGATTATTTTTATTCGAAATAAGTCAAAAATATGTAATATACGTCAACTATGAATTATCATTGACCTAATATTCCAAATATTAACTGAAATGTAACCCTAACCCTAGTAAATATTTAGCAACTAATTATTTCAGTCACTCTTTCCCCTTGTAAAGGATTTATTTAATTGTAGATTAAATAAAATTAGCATTGTCTCTCAAAAATACAAATTTTCAATTGGGAAAACATAAAATTTCAAAGGTAATGTAAATCCCTCTATTGTCCCACAATGAGGAAATTCACTCTTTGTATTTGACCCATCCCCTTGGGGAGCAGTGGGCTGCCATTGTGTGGCACACGGGGAGCAGTGTGGGGTTACGGGTCTTGCTCAGGAACCCAGAGTGGAGACTGTGGGGATCGAACCGGGTACTTGCAACCTTCTAGGAACACAAGCACACTGCTCTGAACACTAGACAAACACTAATTTAGATTAATTTTAAATAAAAAAATTACATGGAAATTTGACCTAATTCGGTGCAGAGACACAATTAACTTGTTTTCCCTATGGCTCTCTTAAATATATAATTAACTATTGTTCTGTTCATGCTTTTCTGTGCTCACATGAAAAAACACTGGGCCCCACCCTGGCCCCACTTCTTAATTTGTTCTAGAACCACCCCTGCTTGATACTCATCAAGTACTGAGTTTATTTTTATCAGTATTAATCTTGTACTGCTTTTACAAATTCAAAACTATTAAATCGATGGATATGTATTCTATTTCAAAAATCATAGTTATAAGATGAAAGTATTTTTCCGCAAAAAGAAAAACTGCCTCCTAGCAGAGGCCGAAGCTGATTTATATTGGATTTTCTTGATTATGTTATTCAAAAATATAGTATTTATTTAAAATACCTTAAAATGCCCCCTTTTTTAGCCAAATGGGGGACCTCCTGGGAAGTCAAAATGTGTGCTAAAGTGCCCCTTTAGGAGCCCATCTGCATGTTAAAGTGCCCCCTTGGGAGTGAAAATGCATTAAAGTGCCCTCGACTGTAGTGAGAAAACACTTTATACAGTGGGTACGGAAAGTATTCTAAAATCAAAACAGTTCATTTTATTTCTCATTAATGAACACTTAGCACTCTGTCTTGACAAAAATAACCGAAATATAAAATTCTTTGCATATTTATTAAAAAAAGGAAAACTAAAATATCAATGGTCATAAGTATTCAGACCCTTTGCTGTGACTCTCATATTTAACTCACATGCTGTCCTTTTCTTCTGATCCCCCTTGAGATGGCTGTGCTCCTTCAATGGAGTTAAGCTGTGTTTGATTAAGCTGACTGGACTTGTTTAGGAAAGGCAAACTCCGCTTTATGGCAGTGTGGCCTGACGGAAGCAGTGCAAGCCATATGAAAGCCCACATAGAGTTTGCCAAAAAAAAAAACACATGAAAGTCTCCCAGATGATAAGAATTTAAAGGTGTCTGAATACTTTCCATACCCACTGTATGCCTCCTTTTCTATTTCCACCCCTGCCCTTCTAAAAGTCTGTGCACGCCACTGTCAGAATCAGACTTAATTTATTAATACCTTGCGGGAAACTCTTTTCTTGCAGGGCAACCATTTGCAGATGAGAGAAAAATAAGATTGCAAGTACAAATAAGATAATAAAATAAGGCCAAAAACAAAACCAGAGAAAGACAAGAATAAAATAAGGGTTACAGCATATTTATTTAAATAAATTAAAATAAATAAATATTTGCACCGTGTAATGCAAATGTGATGTTATCAGTGTGATGCAGAGTCTCAATTTGTGAGTTGATTTAGAGTTTTCAACAGTCTTATGGCAACGGGGGAAAAGCTGTTACAGAACTTGCTGGTCCTGTATCGAATGCTGCAAAGCCTCTTTCCAGAGGGCTGCAGGGAGAACAGTACATGGTTGAGATGTAAGGGGTCGGGAAATGCAGCACTGGGATGAAATGTCTTTTAAGAAGGGGAGTGGAGCCCCGATGATCCTCTCTGCTTCTCTCAGCACTGTTATGTTCTTCCAATCTGTGGTGCTGCAGCCTCCAAACCAAACAGTGAAACAGCTGGTCAGAATGCTACTGTAGAAGGTCATGAGGACGGGTGGGGTCAGGAGGAGGTGAGCCTGTCCAAGGTGTGCCTAGTCCTTAGAAAAACTACAGTTCATACTGTGTGTAGGTTTTTAGAGGACCCAAATGGAGAGACGGAGGCTGAGGTGGTTTTTGTAGATTTGATAGGCAAAAGGTGGCAACAAAATACAGAAAACCAAATTCCAGGAGACATCAGGGAAAACACACATCAGGAACAAAGAAACAGCAAGGAACCCTCAAAACGGTAACTGAAGAGAAGTAGTATAAATGGCAGACTGAACAAATACTAGGCTAATCAGCAGATTGGGAGCAGGTGTGGGCAGAAGAATCTAGCAGGGAGCTAGAAGAAGGAGACTGACACAAGAGGGTAAACAAGAAATACATAAGAACTTAAATACAACCCAAAACAACTAGAATAACCTAAAATGGAAATAAAACTAATGAAAACTAAAGAGATAACTTAAATAGAACCAGCAGGCAAACAACAGGCCTCCTCCAAAGCAGATCACATGGCATCACTGCCTGCTGAAAAAGCTAAGTACACTTCAAGCAGTGTGGATTACTCTCTTACTCTCAAGTTTTGGGAATTTGATTTCCAAATATTAGGAAAATGCAACAGATGCTTCTGTTCTGTTGCTGGTTCTGATTCAGTAGTTCATTGAGATGAGAAATAAGGGTAAAAAGTAGAATAAGAGTTCTCTTGGAAATATGGACTATTTATTCATAATGTATGAAGCCGTTACATGATGAAATAAAGATGTATCCGCTGTTATTATGAACGTATGAGTTTTATTTTAAATGCATGTGTGTTTGTCAGAATAGAATAGACAATTAAGCTGAACCATGAGAGGAACATGCTTAGACATGTTCAGACTCTGAGTTTTTTTTAGGGAAGGCCAGCATACGACTTATCTTAACTCTGTTTGGAGGAGAAAATGTTGAGAATGAAGACACAGAAATCTGACAGAGACACATGATAGTCCAAAATGTATCCAATGAAATAACATTTGCCGATCCACTGTGGTGGGAACTGAATATAGAGTTATTGCATAAAAGTGATCAGGCAAGCTTGGCCTCCTCTGCATTTAATTATTTCTTTGTTTACTTAATAAGCTCATCTGTCTCCTGGTGTCATCTTTTAGTAACAGTTAGCTTAATCTCTTCAACCGTTTTCCTAATCTAGCCTTGATTTGTTTTTATTACATTCTCTGACCGCATACTTGATTTTCATAGTCTTAATCATCCAAATCTTTAATTCTTAGGGCTTTCTTACTTCTTCAAAAGAACAGAAAGGGAATTACAGTATAACAGCAAATATAGCTGGTCAGGTCTTCAAATGAGCGTGTTCGGAGATCTTAATGGAATTATTATTCTTTAATCAAATTTTAATATCTGCAAATCTCACCTTTATCGGAACATGTTAAGACCACATATTAATGATTGTTGCTCTAGAGGAAAAGAGGGAAGTAAAATCATTGCACAGATGCATGTGTCCATTTTCTTGGAAAAAAAGAAAGAAGAATCTGACTCAACCATAAAAGCTTTCTCTTCTTCATGACGTGACACAACCACAAGAGGGTGTTACAAGAACAGTGTTTGGACCAGTCACCATCATAACCAAAGCTGGAAGTAGGATAGCGGTAAAGATACGTTTGGGAACGGAAAGAGTCGGTCAAAGGTTTCGGATCCCACCATAGCCCCGGAATTCTCATCTAAACAAGAATGGAGGATTGTGGGTAATAAAGAACGGTCGCTTACCATGGCGACAGGGACGCTACTGCCTGTTAGCAGACCCATGAGAGGATTTCCTTGTTTATTATTTTTGTTATACTTAAATCTGCTCTCTTGCCAGCAGTTTATTATCCCATTTAAA